TAAGTAAGCTTTAGGTTGAATAAAAGTCTTTCAACTTCAAAATAAAAAAAATCCGTTCTCATGAATGAAGTAACACATCCAAATTGGAACCTTACGTAATGCTACATATTTGACAATAACACGAACGTCCTAATGGCTTAAACTATATGTGTCAAGTATCTTGACCTGTAACTTTCAGAATTTTAGGTTTAGAATCGTCTAACGCGTTTTACTAAGTCGCTGAGCTACTTGATTCGATAAACATCGCGTATTATTTAGTCAATAATAAGTATTAGTTTACTTTAGTTGTTGGAGTATGTTGTTGCAGTTAATTAACGTAGTTTTTCTTTTATATTTCTGTAAAGTGTTAAAAAGTTTTCAATAGAGTACCTCAGGGTTTTGCTTTGCGCCCTACGTTTCACCTCAATTTTAATCGTTTCGAGTTACAACGTTAACGTTTTTACGTAGTAATTTCAGTGTATTAAGTAGTGGAAATTCTTTTTAACGATATTTTCCATGTCTCGAAAAATTCAATTTCATTTATTTACAATTCATAATTAATTAATTAATTTTTGGTTGGACTGGTAAAAGTAAACTGTCTTTGTTCAACGAACGTACGAATAAACGGTTCTATTTCTGCAATGCAGTTCGACTTACACAAGCCTGAAACTCTTCCTGTTCCTAAAATAGACAATATCGTTAAGGGAGAGTGATGTTCGCCGTGATCTATCGTCAAACCATTTGTGTTTGTTAACCTTTCGTGCAATTACCAAAGTACCAAATGCAGCCAATAAATTGTATTTAAGTCATTACAATGATGTGTTCCATCTTTGATAATAGGTTTATATTTTATATGTATCATCGTCAAGTCGTCAATTTTATAATCTTTAACTTTAAAATGACTTAAAACCTCCTACTATAATGCGAAGCTTTACACCGTTCAGTGACCTGTACCTACATAATGGGTGATTTTTTTTTGTCGTCTTGAGATGCATTTAACGTATATATTAGGAGTACGATTTGTTTATTTATGGTCTTGAATATTAGGACGAAGGCTAAATTGAAAGGATGAAATTGGGTCCCTCAGATGCATATTTTGTATGACTATGTATGGCTATGCTATATATACCTTTCTGTCTCCTAGTCGGTCCATGAATTTTTTGCATATAATTTTAGAGCTAGAAAGAGCATTGGGACATAACAAACTTTATTAAAACAACAATTAATTTTATCTTTTGCTGTGTTTTAGTTCGCATCATTGTTAAAAAGTATCCTATGTACATACCTACGTACATACATCGAAATACACACGTACATAATAAATCGAAATTTAGTTTGAAATTTACCATGACCTTTTCGGTGATGAAAACTGCACGTTCAAGAAGGTTCACAGCCCTCGGGAAACGTGTAAAATCCCCAACCCGTATTGGGCCAGCGAGCGTGGCGAACTATGGCCTAAATCCTCGCCTGAGAGGAGACCCGTGCTCACCAGTGGGACGTAGAAATGGGTTGATAATGATGATGACATACATACAAACATACAGCTGAGTTACATCATTTATATTACAAATAAAACCCCTATGCCAAATTGCTTTTATTACCTTTGTAATGAGGAGGTAATTAAACACTCAAAGGTAACTTTTTAAGTAGAATCTACCGATTAAATCGCATGCGAAGTTAAAGTAAGAATTGTGACCTTGGAACCGCCTATGTAATATATAAAGTCAATGCCATCTCTAATAGTTGTTTACAGCCACTGTTTGTTTGCACATGTACAAAGCATAATTGTTAGCAAATTTTATCATGTTGTCGTTTAGTCTCTCCTTCAAGGAAAGATTCTGCGGCCACTACATAACTACATATTCATTGCATTAATATTAAAACTCTTTTAACAACACTGGTTCTTTGTAGGAAAAGGGTAAAGGTCTGCCAAGATGCTGTTTAAGAACTTCTAATAATTTTATTTACGTCTTATGACATGTTTGTCAGTCGGGAAATGGGGTCATTGTGCTTATGTCATTTAAAAATTCGTATGAAATTGTCAACTTGGTCCTGCACCAACGCGGCTGCGCGCGCATCTGTCCACGAGTTTCCCTTCATCGAATCGCCCTAGTCATTTTCCTAACCTCAAAAACACAGCTGTTTACCGGAATTTTCACTCCACACTTTACGTAATTAGCAAATTTAGAAACACAATAACAACAAGACGCGTTTAGTCGCCACGGAAGTTCATTACGAAATGATTCAAATTTAGAATCCGCTATATTTTTTTCGATTTACGGCTTTCTCGACGCGTGTTCAGTTTTCAGCCAGTCCGGTTGGCAGTCAGCTGTGTTCGGTTTTAAAATTACGCATTTTAAACGCAAATTATTTTCATAAAAATGTTTAATGCTGTAGATCTTAGTAGTATTCCTTTTAAATTGGGTTTTTTAATGTAGTGTAATTTTTTTGTAGGTTACATTTTAATTTTCTTATAAGATGATTTCTTTATGATGTTAAACGAAGTGAAACTCAGTGTAGTGTGAAACAATGTTAGTGACAAGTGTGATAGACGAATAGACGCAGTGCTTTGATAAATAAACTTTAATCATGGAGGAATATGAATACGATTTCGCGTATGAATGCCGGGTTGGTATTTGGTAACATTTTTTATATAGTCTTTTATATATTAATGCCACCAACACTTTAAAAAATACTGTTAATAAAATATGCACATATTCAGAAAAGAAATAAAATGCAATTAAATTCCAATAAACATTTTTTTAGTTCTAAAAAACGATATGGAATCTCTATTATTGGTTATATTGTTGTATGGAATGGGTGGAACTATTTGCGATAAAGATATAACCGCGTCACGGTTCCTCGATAAAATACCTTATATTAGGCTTTCACACACTAGTTTTACACTCAGTTCGAAGATTGTGGTATGTGATTAGAGGATGGAAAAAATAAAGGAAATATGTCATTATTTTTTAAAATATATTTACGGTTCTGGTTACTTTGTCCGTTTGAGCTGAGCCAATATTGATTTTAAAAATGTGTACAGTTGCCAACGTACTTTAATATGCAGATATATTTTTTTTTAAACCCAAAATATTTTTTATCATCAGTTTGTTTAAAAATAACACCTGATTAAAAAGTACCCAATTTTATTATTGGTTACAATATTAAACTTGTCGATATCATAAGACAAGACTGCTTCGTACGCAAAAAGTCACAGGTATAGATTCAGCATCTCTATGCAGTGATTAATTAATTCGAAAGAAATATTTGTGTATTACATTTCTTTCTAAATAAATAGATGTATAAAATGAAAATACACTCCCGAACACATAATTCTTGCCACCTTGTATTTTTATTCTTAAAGGGTTAGAATAAAGAAATATTATAAAGAAATATAAGATAAGTTTTCCCCGGATTTACATATTCAAATTTCCAACAAAACAAACAAAGGGTATACGGAAATGATGTTTAGCATACCGTTTACAAAATCGCATAATATTAGTTTTTGATCAAACAGTCTTTTTAACCTGATGAACATATGCGGGTAGATTTAATTATATAAAGAGATAAAACATTCATATGCAACAATGCTTGTTATGTGGTAGTTATGTCTAATATTTTATTTATATATGTTAATTTGTATTGTCATAACTTTTCAGCGCCTCGTGGAAGCGATGGCGCCGCGGTCGGCTCGCTCCTTCCGACAGGAATTCAACATGCAGGACCTGGCCACCACCGAGCATACATACACTACTTACACTACTGAAAAGTGAGTATTTCATATTTTTTATGCTTTAGACCATAGATTAACGAATTCTCAAGAAATAAAATAGACGATTATCTCTGGTTACTGGATTGTTACCACTACGTTATGACTTTTTATTCTTCTCGCCATGTTTCAGACCAGTTTCACACTCCATGATTAATGTGGACTGGCAAGTGGCATTTCATAGATTGTAAGACAAATAAATATATGTCTTAACCACTTCAACTAATGGTAATCGTTTAGTGAACGAAAGACTTTAAAACTTTTTTTATAGATATTAGGCGTTCCGTCAAGTAAGCACCATCACATATGTAATACAGAACAGCAAATTTAAAATAAAGCATTGAAACATTTTAGGAAATGAAACTATTTTTCCGAATTTTACAGGCCCTTTACAGGTCCCATGATCACGGTTGACTGGGTGGTACAGTCTTCAACCAGTTATGTCTAATATTGATGCAAACCACCTTATTTTTTCACTATAGTTACAATAGTTATTAATTACATACCTTATTTTAATTTTACAAAGAAAACATTCCAATTTACGCTACATTAAGTTTTACAAATTATTTTATTGAATGAATTTTTATTAAGTTCAATTTATTATTAATTATGAATATAAATTAGAATAAACTAAAACATATTAATTAGTACTGCAGTCTTATGTCTGTTTGGGATTTTTCATTAGAGGAAATACTGGATCCCAAACTGGTGGTACGGAGAAACCATCTTCCCTGAAAACTAACTGATTTTTTCTTATTACAACAGATATGTGAGGACAACACATTCGTCAGAAATTGATGGTCATTCACCGATAAAATCAATTGCCAATGGTAAACTAAGCTCGCCTAATTATACAACAAAAACTAACTTTGGAGATGACGACCGGCCAGACCTTAGGAACCTTAAACGAGTCCATAAAATGTACGAAGGACCAAACATTATTGAATCTAAAGGCATAGTTCATCCTGAAACGAGAGAAATCTTGACAGTTGGACAAGCCATTAGTATGAGAATCCTCGATGTTAGGACGGGAAGATTATTATCTTCACCGGAAACTAGACAAACTATGACGCTTGAACAAGCAGCTAACGAAGGTCTTATTGACCCCAAACTGGCTGCAAGATTAACAGGACCCTGCGGTGTCACTGAAGATGGAAACGAAGTCACTCTACTAGAAGCGATACAACGAGAACTGTACGACGCAGAACAAGGACTGTCTGATCCAGCTGAGAAGAGAGTAAAGGTAACAGTCGAATCACAGAAACCTGGACAAGGCATGAGTATATCCGATGCTTTAAACCACGGACAAGTCGATCTTCAAAGAGGTCTCTATAAGTTGCCAGATGGGACGTACATCAGTATTGCTGAAGCGTATCAAAAGGGATACCTTATCTATAATGAGATTATCAAAATTAAATCGAGTGCTTTGTCTTTGTCTGACGCGATTACTCAAGACTTAGTCGATAACTCTGGTTGGATTCTGGACAGAAATTCTGGCGACAGATTCCAATTAGACGTGGCTATAAAAAATGAACTAATAAACCCATACGTAAGGGAGGTTGTAGACCCTCAAAACGATACTAAAGTCACGGTTGCTGAAGCTATTGAAAGAAACATAATTAATACTAAACATTCTAAGTACGTTCATAATATTACTAAGGAAAGAATGACATTTAAAGATGCAGCAAGTAAACGCTTTATTTGTAAACCGATGACCTTAAAGGACATTTGTGATAATAATCTTATGACTAATGATGGTAAAATATTGTCTCCAACTAATAGGGCTCATTTGAATATACTTGAAGCTATTTCTGTAGGTGTCCTTGATAGTGATAGTGTTAAATGTATTACGGATACAAAGACAGGACAGTTGTTAACATTATCGGAAGCGTTGGGTGCTAAAATTATTCTTCCCGATAACAAATTCAGGGACAACTTAACCAGTGAAATCTGCACTATTCCTGAAGCAGTAGACCGTGGCCTTATTACTTCTGTATCACAGAGATCTATTTTCGACATCGATGGCTTCAGAGATCCTAAAACTGGTGAATTTGTGTCTTTCAATGTAGCTATGAGTAAAGGTAATTTAAAGTTTGCAAATGGTGAGACCTTCCTTAAAGCAGAAAGCGGAGATTTCGTGTACCTAGAAGATTGCACTAAGGTTTCCACAGTACGCCCTGAAGTACTCGAAATGTTTAATCGTAAAATAGGGGTTTATGACCACGGCAAAGAGCTTACCGTCCTAGAAGCAGTATTTAAAAATATTTTAGATCCACAAACGGGTTATTTACTCGATTCTAAGACAAAGAAACCCATTCCGTTTAACAAAGCTGTAGAAATCAACATGATAACACCTGAAGGTGCTGCTTTGTTGAATTCTCTTTTGAACATAACACTCACATTGCAAACTGTTACTAAGACGGTAAAACGGTACGTTACAGTAACGAACACTGGTGCGTCTCAAAGAGCTGAGACTATAATAACGTTTGCGGAAGCTGTTAAACGTGGCCTTATAGATGAAACTACGCAAACATTTACAGACCCTACTACAGGAACAGTGTTTCCAATACAACAAGCCTTAGACGATGGTTTATTAGGTGTAGAAAAAGATGAAATGCGTGTAGTACAAATTTCTGACCGCACTACAAAGAAAGATTTACTACCTGGTCAGGTAGTTGAACTTAAAATTACAAAAAAATCCTTTATCAAAGATATGCCGCTCAGTCCCGAAAGTAAAGTCCAATATGACAGCAGACCCGAGACTGTCAAAAGCCCTGATTATGCTATTCGTGAAACGAGTATCCCCCGTGAAGGTTTAATGAAAGAAATTAGAACAGTAACCTCAAAATCTATTGCAACCGAACCGTCTGTAACGTCGTTAACTATAAAGAAAAACACTATTGAGCTACCTCGTGGTGGCTGGACACTCAAAGAAGCGATACAGCAAAACCTTTTCGATCCTGACACAGGAATGTTTAAAATCCCTGGTACAGATAGAGTTCTTGATCTGGAAGAAGCTTTAAAACTTAATATCATAAACCCAGACTCGGCTAATGCAATTGATCCTAATACAAAGAAAGAAATTCCTCTTAACAAAGCTTTACAACTTCGTATTTTAGACAACACAGGACATTACAAATATTCTACTAGAAAAATCACAATGAAAGAGGCGATCGATCGTAGTTATATTATTTTCGTACAATTGACTACACCCACATCTTTACAAAAAGTCATTACTATTACCTCTGTAGCCGGTATGCCTGATAAGATGGAGATTTCGGAACTCCAATCGCCACTTGAAACAAGTTCCGAAGATCAAACTGCTTTCGAACCTGTTCAAGTAGCTCAAGGCGTTATTTATGATCCCGCTACAGCGCTAGTTATTTGTACTACTACTGGAGTGTCTGAGAATATTGTAGAAGCGGTCAACCGCGGTGTAGTGCCTTCCGACACAGTCAAAGTTATCGAACCCCAGACAGGTACGCAAATAGCATTACAACAAGCATTGGATAGAGGTATAATTGACAAGAAATCAGGACATTACAAAGATAAGTCAGGAAAGAAAATCAGTTTAGCAGACGCCGCCAAAATAGGCCTTATTGCGGTAGTGGGCGCTCCTTTGATGGCTGCATCTAAAGTGATTCAAGTTGTAAAAAGTACAATGGTTGTAGACCCGAACACTGGAGAGAAATTGCCTATGGAGGTAGCTTACGAAAGAGGTTTAGTTGATCCTGTAACGTATAAGCAGTATGAGGATTCAATTAGGGAGAAGACGCCTGAAACAGATTTTATTCAGCAAGGCACTAGTACTGTAACATTTTCTCAAGTCACCAAACCTGTTTCAGTAGGAGCAGCTGTGTCTGAAGGCTTCATTACAGTAGAGTCCATTCAGAGCAGTATAGCATCTGATAACAGAAAAGTCATTGGTACTGCAATAGATAAGACCAAGACACATCCACCTAATGTAGTGCAAATCACCAAGACTCAAACGACTACTAAACCGAAATATAATATTCACATAGCAAAAGAACGCATTATAGATACTCAGGTACTTGATACAAAGCCAGTCGTTCTACAAAAGCTTAGAAAGCGTGTAGTGCTTCCTTTAGAAGCTGTTGAAAAGGGTATGATCGACAAAGATACTGCTAAAATTCTAGAGGCAGTAAAAAATTACAAAGACGAAAATGGAGCACCGATTACACTTGAAATAGCGATTGAAAAGGGTTTGATAGATGAAAATAAGGGAAAAATTGTCGACCCACTTCACGGTGATACAATTAGTATTAAAGAAGCTATTGATAGAGGAATTTTAGATGGTGAAGGACAGGATGAAGTATTAATTCCATTAGCTAAGAGTTTATCTATTCCAGAAGTCCTTGAGCAGGGTCTTTTAGACCCGGCTACGGGAAAAATAATTCATCCTGAAACCGGTAGTCTTTTAAGTATTAGAGAAGCAATTATTTGTGAAATAATTGACCCATTGTCTTGTATTACTATCGCGCCTGGTCAGAGCATAACTCTAGCTGAAGCTATTAACCGCAATATCCTTGATAATGACAAGAATATTATAAAGACCAGTGATGGGTCATTAGATATAATAACTGCTGTAAATGCACAAATTTTCCCAGAGCCAGAAATTGTCAAACCTATTGAAGATATACCTCCTGCGGGTATGACTTTGACTACTGCTATTAAACAGAAAATAATCGATCCTACGACAGCAGAAATAAAACATCCACTTACAGGAGAAAGAATTCCTATTAAGGAAGCAGTCGCTAAGGACTTAATTATGTCGATCCCGTATCCGCAATCGTTGCATACTATGATATTACAAGAAGCGTTAGATAATGGTGCTGTAAACCTGAAAGAAGGTACTTTTACCGATCCTAAAACTAAGGAAATCGTTTCTCTGGAGAAAGCAATGGAACAAGGTTTGTTGGCTGTGAAACCAAACTCTGAAATAATGCAAGCAAGCGGAGTTGTAACTACCATTACTGAAACATTTACATCTCAACATACAATCACGGCTAAAATGATCAATCTTTTGCCTGATTATGTCTTAGTAAGTGCACATGTGGTGCAAAATAGAAACACTGGAGAAAAAATGTCCATAACCGAAGCGCGTCAGAAAGGCATTGTAAAAGACGAGCAAGAAAGCAAAGTGCAGTTTATTAAAAGTGACACTAACATTACCTTTGAAGATGCACTTAACCTTGGGTATATCAATATTGAAGAAGGTACATTTACCCACCCTAACACAGGAGAGACAATAACTATTTCAGAAGCAGTCAGCACTGGAATATTGAATACTGAAGTGCCAAAAGACACTGGAAAAGTATCGCCTACAAAAATGAACACAGATACGTTGGACCTGAATGATGCATTTGAATATCTCTTCGATGAAAATACGCAGAAATTCAGAGATCCAAAATCCCCGAACAAGCAACTGACGTTCAACGAAGCCCTTGAAAAGAAACTTATCAATCCTGATTCAGTGATATACGATGTTATATCTGGAAAACCTGTAACTGTTAAAGAGGCAGTTGACACAGGACTTATTGACAAAAAGACGGGAAAATACATGGAACCCAAGACAGGTAAATCTGTCGATATTAAGAACGCTGCTAAGATGGGACTAATTGCTATAGTAGCTGCTCCGATATTGGCTGGTGCTGCCGCTGTACAAGGAGTGAAATCTGTTGCCAGTAAAATAATGAAACCTAAGCAAGATGCTGTGGTGACTGCGGCACCAAGCCGGGTCGATAAAGTAACGAAATTTGGGAATATTGAAGTTAAAAGAGAAAAAGACAAGTCAACGATTGGCTCTGAAGTAACTCCTAAGCCAGCTAAGAAATATGAAACTTTCCAAAAAGCTGCTCCCATCCCACAAACGGAATCTAAAATAATTACAGAAAAAGAAAAATCGAAATCCCCTACGAAAGAAAATGTCCCAAAGGTGAAAGATGGCACTCTTAGAACGCCAGTGGAACAAAAGTTACCGAGACCTGATGATAGCCAAAGTGGCTACGAAAAGAAAACAGTTATTTCAGAAACAGTATCGTCACAAGAACCAAAACTTATACATACTAAAGAAAAGAAACAGAGTTCAGAAGGCGCGAAATTCCAAAAAGAGGTCGAAGAAAAACCTATCATTCAAGAATTTAGGCAAACAATGCCTGAAGGTGATCAAATTACAACTATTATTAAGAAAACTGTTACTACAAGTGAACCTACTGAGTATACCACTGAACATACAAGTACTATTGTTACTACAACTTCTACCACATCTCAATCTGACACTGCAAAATATGTTGTAACCGAAATAAATGAACCTTCTCAACTGGCTGAGAATTTAGCTCCTCGTAGAGACGAAGCAGGTATTGCCTATTCTAAAAGTAAAGAACGAAGTCCACTTAGAGACGAAACTAAAGTGGTAGAAAGCAAACCAATTATCGAAGAATATCGACATACAACTCCCGAAGGTGAGGAAGTTACAACAATTGTTAAAACGATCATCTCTAAATCAGATCCTTCAGAAATTGTTACAGAACATACTAGCACAGTCATCACTAAGGAATCAAAAGTAACCACTGTTGAAATTACTCAAAACGAATCAACGTCTTATAAAGTCATAACCGAAGAATTTGCTGGACCTTTTGATTCTACTGAGACTACCATCAATCAATATACTATAGAATACACCGATTCTGACCAAGCCGATAAAGTACCCACTAACAACCAAGTTTCAGAAAATAAAGTAGTACAAAAATCAATTAAAAAAACAATATCGCCGAGTAAAGAAATAAGTCCGGAGACAAAAACTTGTAAAAAAGAGCCTGATTTTGTAAAGGATAACATTGCCCCTAAGCAAAAGACTCCTCCAGGTGACTGTGAAGAAATTGATAATACATCTAAACCTGTTGAAGTAGCACCTGGTGTTATTTACGATCCTGACACGTCTGTTGTTATTTCCTCTACCTCTGGAGTTTCGTGTGATATTCTGCAGGCTGTAGACAAAGGAATAATACCTTCCGACAGCATAACTATTACAGATCCTAAATCTGGTCAAAAGCTAACTCTCAAACAAGCTATAGAAAAAGGAATCGTTGATAAAAAATCTAGTAAGATTAAGGACAAGTCGGGTAAAAAGATTAAATTTGCTGATGCAGTCAAATTTGGACTTGTCGCAGTTGTTGGAGCACCAGTTTTGGCTGCTTCTAAGATCATTGATGTGGTTAAGAGTGCTGTTGTGACTGACCCTAAAACGGGAGAGAAAATGCCTTTAGATAAAGCCCGAGAAAGAGGTCTTATTGACCCTGCAACATATAAGCAATATAAGGAAGAAATTAAACAAACACCAACTGAACACAAAGTAACAGTAGCTGAAGCTACTGAACGTACTTCTAAAGAAGTTGATGGTAAAACTAGCTCAGCCATGTTATTAGACGCTGAGAGGCAACCTCTAAGAGTAATCGACGAGATTACAGAACAAAATGTAACTAAAATAAAATCGGAACCTGTCAAAGTTCTTTACGAAAATATCCTTTTAATAGACGCAATTCAACAAAACAAAATTGAACCTAAAGTTTGTAGGATTATTATCAACGGGATTGAATCTCCTTTAACGGTTCAGGATTCATTAGAACAAGAACAAATTAGTAAGTTTGCTCCAGTTGACATCGTGAATAAGAACTGTGTGATTGTAAAAATGACCAAACCAAAATACTTTGTTGCAATTTCTCAAAAACTTACTCCGGAAGAACTGTCTGAAATGGGTATCTACGATATTGAGAAACAATGTTTTTTGAACCCCGATACTGGTGCTAAAATTAGTTTTGAAGAACTTGTTTATGCTTTACATATTTTCGATCCAGAGTCAATTTTAGTCAAAGATTTAGGTTCCAAATCAGATAACTATATTTCATTCGACGAAGCCATAGCGAGACCAATAATCGATAGGATAACGGGACATATGGTCAACCCTAGGACGGGTAAACGTGTGCCTTTTGCAGAATGCGTACAGCTAGGATGGATAGTTGAACGACCAGATGATGTGTCGGTCAGTGAACAAGTTTCTATAGATTTCGCTTTAGAAAAGGGCTTATACAATCCTAAAACGGGAGAAATTAAAGACGTAAATACTGGAGTATTAGTGCCCATAGGTACAGCTATCGAAAAAGGGCTTGTAGACCATGAATCTTTGTATATCAAAGTGCCTCATACAAATGAAAATGTTCCATTGTCAGATGCTATCGAGCGCGGTATAGTAGAAATTCATGAAGGTGTGATAACAATAGTTGAAACACATGAGGTCATTGAAATATCCCTTGCCATTCAGCACGGATTGATTGCAGTTACTAGAAGACCTGTTTCCATCGCTGCTGTAATTAAGAACGATTTATATGAGCCAAAATCAGGCAAGATCAAAGACAAAGTAACCGATCAATTAGTTACAATAAAAGATGCAGTTGATAAGAATATTGTGCATCCAACTATTTCTGAAATTAAGGATACAGTGACGGAAAAATTTGTGTCCTTATCTGAAGCCCTTGACACTAAATTAATTCATCCAGAAACTGGAAAAGTTAAAGACAAAAAGACTGGTAAAACTATTCCATTGGACGATGCTTTAAAGAAAGGTCTAGTGGGAACTAAAGATGTAACGTTCACTTTGTTTGATATTATTGAATTAGGATATTATTCTCCAGATTCTTGCCAAGTTTTGGACCCCAAAACGGGCAAAACTGTAACGGTAGGCAAAGCTATTAAACATAAACTTATCGACACCTCTGATGTTAAAATAAAAGATGACGAGTCTGAAGCGGTAATACCTTTCGACCAGGCCGTGACATCGGGTCTTATTGATTTAGACAAAGGGATTCTTACTTCTCCTGTATGTAACCTAAAAGAAGCTAGCGAGAAAGGTTACCTGCTCAGTGACAAGAAACCTTGGACCTTACAAGAAGGTCTAGTGCAAGGTATCTATGACCCTGAAACTGGTCTTTTAACTATCAACGGCATTACTATGACCTTAGACGAAGCTATCAAAGGAGGCAATATTAATCCAGAAGCCTTATCGGTTAGAAACTCCTTCACGGGAGAAATAATTACACTTGCAGATGCTATCAAAGCAGGTATCATTGATTCTAAAGAAGGCAAAGTCAGAGATCCAATCCAAGGCGATAAGATCTCCTTCACAGATGCGTCGGAGCGTGGCTTAATAGTACCCGCCAAGCGTAAACTTAGCTTACCAGAAGCAGTATTCAAAGGTTTTTACGACCCTAAAACGGGCAAATTCTCACACCCGCAAAGTAAAGAAAAAGTACCTACTGACAGGGCTATTAGAAAACGTATGTTAGATCCACAGTCAACTCTAGTACATGTCGGGGGGAAAGTTATTCCGTTCGAATTTGCGGTTGACAAAGGTATTGTCGATGGCAGGACGGGAACTATTGTTTTAGGAGATGAGAAGGTAGATTTCCGAGAAGCATTCGAGAGAGGAATTTTAGTTGAAGTCCGCAAACCTTTGTCGCTTATAGAAGCAATTGAAAAAGGCGTTTATAATGAAATTACTGGATTATTCTTAGACCCTCAGAGCGGTAAGAAATATACTCTCGCTGAAGCAATCAGGCGTCACTTAATCGATCCTCATTCAGTTCATATTCAAGACAATAGATTAGGCAAATGGGATACTATTACACTTCCAGAATCCATTGAGACGGGAGTCTTAAACGATCAGTCAGGCAAGATTAGAAACATAAACAGTGACAATGAAGAAATCAGTCTCCGTAAGGCCTTTGAAATAGGTTTGCTTGTTGATAGCAAAGCGCCTATTAGTCTGCAAAGAGCGTTACACCAAGGCTTGTATGATGATGCTACAGGTAAAATTATTGACCCAGCTACGAACCGTAAGATCACTCTTCATGAAGCACTTAGAAGGTCTATCATCAGTCCCAAATATCTCTGCTATTTTGATAAAAAATCAGAAAAGCCTTTGACTCTAACTGAATGCTGTCGTAGTGAAATTATCGATAGACGAAGTGGTAAATTCCGCGAACCAGGCTCAGACGTTCAAATCCCTTTGTCTGAAGCTATGAGTTTAGGTTTAATCGTCGATATCGAAAGTGCAGGCTTCACTTTGTACGATGCACTAGCTATGAACATGTACGATATTACTGAACTTGTGTTTGTCCATCCTGTCAATGAGAGAAGAATTTCTCTCCAATCTGCAAACACTGAAGAACTTATCAACCCCGAGACTTCGCTAGTCAAACATCTTCCATCAAACAAATACATTAAACTTAATGAAGCTATCCAAAATGGGACTATTGACGATAATAATAGCGTCTATGTTTTACCCAACGGTAACCAAATTAACTTGGTAGACGCAAAGCACCGCGGTCTTATTGTTACTACCAAGAAAAACTTAAATCTTGAAGAAATCATTCGGAATGGTCTATTCAGAGCCGATAACGGCAAAATCGTTGATCCCAGCACTAATGAATACGTAGATATTAACAAGTCAATAGAAATCGGTTTACTTAATCCAGATTCAACAGTTGTTAAAGATAGTTTCACGAATAAATTTAAACCTTTGCCCATTGCTATACAGCAGGGTGACGTTGATGTTAACAAAGGTAGAGTTCTTGATACTAAAGCCAAGAAAACATACAGTTTAGATATTGCATTCGATAAAGGGCTTCTTGTAACTGTAAATCAACCTTTAACTTCTCAAACTGTAACGAAACGTTATGTACCCGAGTCGTCAGCCACAAAGGAGTCGGTGCTTAGAGAATTTACATTAGACGAAGCCATTAAATACGAATTTATCGACCCTGAAACAGCTTTAATTAAAGATCCGCATAAAAATAAATACATTCCACTAAAATTAGGTATATCTGAAGGCATAATCGATAAAAATGCGAAAGGTTCTTTCGATACACAGAGATCTAAAACTTTGTGCTTCCTTTTCGAGAACGGTCTTATTGTGTACGTACGTGAACCGCTAACGTTTGAGCAGGCGATCGAAAATGGACATCTCAACATCGTAACAGCTAGATTTACTGATCCACTTTCCAACGAAGTTCTAACCATTAAAGACGCGGCCACTTTGGGTTACATAGATCCGGACACAGCACTTATAAAAGATAATCTCAAAAAGAGATTGGTAAAACTTCCCGAGGCATTCCGTAAGGGCCTCATGGACGCAGAAAAAGGCAACATCTTAGACACTGAGACCTCTAAACTTAATACGTTACAAGCAGCAATTGAAAGCGGTCTTCTTATTACACCTAAAAAGAGTTTCAGTCTGATAGAAACACTTAACTTTGGAATTTATAATCCGACTACTGGAGCTCTGAATGATCCGTTTATAACGACAAGTGTCATAGATAGAAAGAGATTAAGCTTAGGCGAGGCGATTCAACAAGGAATCGTTGATCCATCCAGCACAGTTGTTAAAGAACCCCAGACGGGAAAGATATGGCCATTGGTTCAAGCGATAGAACAAAAGCTAGTTGATCCTGTCGCAGGAAGGCTGACCATAGATCCTGTAAAGAGCATCAGTCTTGATTTAGTCAAAGCTCATAAAAAGGGATACTTGCTGCCAGCAGAAACGAGGGTAAGTTTCAATATTATTTACAGTTATCATTGTGCTTCTATCAAGCAGGTGTTGCTTACTTTCTATCTCTACTTCAGTTCTTAGGTGATCTATCTTAAGCGTTTGGCTAAGATTATTAGCATGGCACGACACACTCGCCGCAGTGTCGGGTAATCTATGCTATTTTTCCTTTGGTGACGTCACAGTTTGTTTGAAGTGGCATATACTAATTTGAAAATCATCACGATCAGACACATTCTTAAACTTAAGTCATCCATATATTTCAAACTTAAGTTGTTTAGTCTTTAGAATTATATGAATTATTGTTAATTTTGTTCAAGTAGTACAATCACATATCTTTTAATATTTTTTTTCTATTGCAGTATACCGTTAGCAACTGTTAGCTTACCACATTAGGCGAAGCAATAGCTTTTTAGTAGATTAATTTTCAATTATTCGATGTCGTATTTAGATGCTTAAGTTTAGGTTACTGCGCTCTTTTTGTTCTGGCTTTCCCTTCAACTGTATTGATGACTTAATTATTTACCGGCTCGACGTTGGGGCCACCATCTTTTTCTCTCTCTACATTTTGAAAATATCGTTTGAGAAAAAGATGGCAATAGGCTCCATCGCCGATCCGTTACTTCGAAAATTATCATTGATGAAGATGGAAGGTCTTAAATTGTAAACGAGCGAAACTGTGCTTACTACCGCATTGTATTAAGGCTCGATGTTTGTTGTTTTTATTTCCAGCCGTTGCCTGCGATGCTAAAGACCCCTTTTGAGCTAAATCGTGAATGCTTGCCTGTGAGGGATCATTTTAACGACGATATTGAGAGCCATCACCGTTTCGACAATTTAACACATTCACATTGTGCTAAGATCGGCCCATTTGGCCGGTACCATGACCCGCTTTCTTTTGTTTGCTTCCTCATTACCAACCAGCCATTATGACTGCTGGTATGTTCCTCCAAAACTCATCTTTTAAGTCCTTTGTTGATAATTCCGATATACTCATTCCTTGGACCTTTCTCGAAATGCATGAGATTATGCTATTGTGATGTCGTTATAAGGGCGGACACTCGCGATGCAATTCACAATATCATATGGTAAAACATTTTCGACACACAATGACGGAAGGTAGTATTTATAATTTTGGTCTTTTTTTCTTTAATGATCTTATGGTGAGATTTTATTTCATTGATGTTTTTCGAGCATTTATTTCTATATTATTACGTTTATGTCCGTTATATTTTACTTTTATTTTATTTTTTTCTTGACGCATGTTTTGAAATAAAGTCTCATTATTTTAATCACTTTTATCAAATGTTAAAACAAATTGTATATTTTTTTTTTGTAAAAATTTTATTCAATTTTGTATCTTTGGTTACTTAATTTACTGTACAAGAAATATTTTCGAAATTTTCAGATTTCCAAGGATTTTAGATTTAAATTAACACATTTAACTTTGTAAACAATTAAATTAACACTAATTGAAGATGTTGATACCATTACGCTAAAATGCGTTACTCTCGTTACACATAGTATACAATGAAAAAAAATTCTTTTAAATTGTATATCATGTGTGACAATTTAGTGCTTGCATGACGCGCTTTGCATGTTTAGTTCTATGTTCTTACGCAACTTTTGACTTGTTGTGTTGTCATTTCGTTTATTGGCTGTATGTTGTTCTTGCCTTAGTCTTTTCGTTCAGGAATCTCGCTTCTTGTCCAGCTTTTCAGGTTCTGGTGGATCACTTAAGCATGTTCTTTTAATAATAAGTCGTCCACCTATTGTCCTAGTCTTGTAAATAAATGTATGTTTAAAAAAGTTGCAAATGCACTTTTAATTTAGTAGATAAAAAGTCGTTTAAAATGGACTGAACTGCACAATATGTAGCTAGTGTTGTAAATGCTGTAGTTAGTGCTCGAAACGGGCTTTGTAAATGCTGATTAAAAATTTCCCCGACCACACACTAATTTGTTTTTTTAATAATATAGCAAGCAGTTGAAGAGAAATACAGGCTATGCGATGAGACGTTGTCAAAATTGCTGGAATGGATCGCCATTGTTGAAGAGAGATTGGCCAACCAAGAACCCGTCAAAGAAGATCTGGACGAACTTCGCAACCAGATTAATATTCTCAAGGTATTTCATTATTTAGGAAATAAAACAATTTTTCGGGATTTAACAAATATACGCGATTTAAATCCGGAAAAATAGTTTCATTTCCTATGTGTAACAATCGCGAACAGAAGAACTCGATATGTATTTCATAATATTTTTTTGATTAATAAAATATAAGTGCGCATTTGATCTCCATCTCACCCGATGTAAAGTGACGATGAGGTCGACGCCATCGATGAGCACACCTAGCGTGTAGCGTGCACACCTGAATAATGCCTATTCACTCTGGCCTTTAAAAGGCTCAAGTTATAGCGTCCAGCAAAATAAGTCTGCTCGCAGAGAATTCCACTCCATAGCCGTTCGTTTTAATTTGAAATTTACGACGAACTTTTCGGCGAAGGAAAACATCGTGTTGAAAGTTGTACGTCGAAGAAGGTTCACAACCCTTAGAAAATGTGTGAAGTTCCCAACCCTCATCGTTTCATTTGAACTACCACAGCAGTATACACCAAAGTTGGTATACACCAGACAATATTCAACGTTTTACCTTCATTCCAGCTGATCAAGGATGACCTGGAGAGCCACCAACGGCAGGTGTCGTCTTGCGCCGACCAAGCCAAGCAGCTGCTTGTTTCTGGCGGTGATGTGCTAGCTCCTCATGAAGTAAGGGTTTTGATATAGTAAAGAAAAAAGAGATGCTTTCTCGCATTATGAATTCATTATCGATGATAATAATGTATATTAATTAGTGTTCAATCTTTGTATCAATAATTATAACAAAGTAGTGGAGTAATTTCACAAAAATAATTGAATATCAATTCAATAAAAATTTAAATACAATGGGTAGCGACATATCCAGCCGGGGCTGGTAGCTGTAAAGGTAATCTAACTGGGTAACGAAATACTTAAGATTTCTCATAAATGGTGCTACGGCTAAAAAGTCGTTGAAAAAGCAAATACAAAGACATGACTACAAACACATAGAAAAATTTGTGAGTTCCGTTGGTTCGTTCCGTGGCTTAGTTGGTATAGCGCCTGACACGGTATGCTAGAAAAGGTCGTTTCGAATCCGGCCGGATCGAACCTGTAAAGGGCCCGAAACGTCGATTTGTTTGAAACAAGTGTAAGAATCACGGAAACCTAAGAAGTCGAATTGAATATCAATTCAATAAAAATTTTATTCTCTCTTTGTTGAAAACTCAGTATTGGTCCCATTTAAATTTAAAGAAAATATTCCACCTCTAAAGGTGACAAACTAGAGGATGAATCCGGTTTCGCACACTTTCCGTTAACCGATTGCAATAAAACTTGGCAAATTCCAATAAAATTCCAATAAAAACCGATAGGAAAATTTTCGAGGTCGGTTTTCTGCAGGTCTTCACTCGACTTGGGCGGTTCAGATCCGAAAAAAACAGTAGTTCATTGTGTAACAATCGAAATCGAAAGGCTAAGATCGGCGCAAATCGAAAAGCTAAGAACTCGATAGTAGATATACATTTTATATTACTAAAATTTTATTTGAGCACTTCCTTTGTTTTAAATACGACATGTTGTGTTCACATCTAGAAGCCATCGAGTATATAACCGGAAATAGAGACGAAATAAGGGCTTTATATCACTTTTAAATATCAACTCTCGTTTGCACTGAAATCACAAATTAGATAACTGAAATAGTACAGCGCCAACAACTGACCTGTGTATACGTCTCGGTATATTTCAAAAATATTCTGTATTTATTGTAATAAAGTTAATATCTCTAACTATGGAAGGCTCTTCCATTTTGTGTTGTGGGAAAAACAGCAAAACGTCTAATTACAAAACAAGCGGAATCACATTTCATCGGTAATTAAATATTAAATATCTAATTTTTTCAATTTTTGTCCATTATAGCAAGTTAAATTAGTCGATTTGAAGTGAAACAATGGACGACACTCAATTGTTTCGAATTCGGGCTGGCCAATCGGAGCGCAGTAGTCACCGTAATGATTTGCCAGAATAGTTTACAAACAGATTAAATGACATTTCGTCTCTATTTCTGGTTATATACACTACGTTAAAAGGTATTAAATGTTAACTAATCACTTTTATCTTATTTAAGAATTTGTATCCAGTTTTGTGAACCGATAATATAAAAAATATGTGTTCATAACATGTTACATATACAGGTATGATATTTATAAAACGGATTTTTTGCAATACCAAATGTTTTATTTTATTAGGTGGCAGCTCTAGAACGCGGAGTGCGACAGCTGAAACAGCGTTGTGACAAGTGCACCGAGAAATGTGACAAGATGTTACGTAAGCTTGCCGCCGCCAGGGATGAGCTTGGCAAATTCTCGTAAGTATCTTACGGCTTAACGCATTCACTCATTCATCTATTACTGGATATAATCCCCCCTCCCAAAAAGAAAACCCGCCACAACGACCGCTTTTTATGATTCTTTTTTTGTCGGAAAGAGGGTACCTCAGGGGTGATCCCATTTAACCACCTCTAAGGGTGGCAAAGTAGTGGATGAATGTCTTTTGATGTCGGTTTTTATAATATCAAGTGACGGGAGGAACGAGTCGTGTGTGCCTGATGGTAAGCTACACGCCTGTCCATAACAGTTGCAGTGCCACTCAGAGCTTTAAATCGCAAATATATGCACTGCCACTGCGCCCGTTACCCTGAGACATAAGTTGACAAGTCCCATGTGCCTGTAATTCTACCTGCACCATTACCCCTTACTTAAGTTGCTGTTTATGATATCAGTAATGCGAGGTCGTTAGTATTTTACAAACAACCCTGTAATAGGATACAATTTTCAGCCGACTTTAAGGACCTTTTAGCAATCCATTTTTTTTCTTGCAGCAACGAATTAAACACCTTCAACACCTGGATGGAAGGCGCTTACCGCACCCTCGAAGACAAAGAATCCCAGCTGTCGAAGCTGAACAACCTGCCCAATCAGAGCCAGGAAGTGCGCGAGTTTGTCTCTGACGTCATCGCGCATCAGGCCGATTTGAGGTTCATTACGATGGCTGCGCAGAAGTTCGTTGATGAGAGCAAGGTGGGAAATGTTTTTTCTTTCATAAATGTAGATTAGATATTAAACAATTAAGTCACTACGATCTAATGGCCCTTCGCATGGCTACTTCTATTCTTTATTGGGTGTTTGATGTACTTGTAAACATATTTGAAGTTGTCAAATATCCGTTTCAGACAGCTTATCGATAGGTCTCAAAATTGTCTATTTAATATAGTTAAAAGTTAATGTGTCCGACATATCGTGACATATCGGAACTTACCCTAAGTTCCGATATGTCGGAATATATAATGACGCAAAGCTAAAATATCATTAAATAATGTCAATATTCTAAAACTGGGTTATGGTTCTTTTACGATATCACAAAAAAATATTTCCTCATGATGATTTGCGACTGGAGCATGCAGACACTGACATATGTGCCCTTCGACACATGCAGATAAATAAGGAGTTAAAACAATGGATAATAACCATAAAAATAAAACAGGCTGTATTTGACATGCAAGATACATACATTTGAAACGAAAAAAAATTAATAAAAATAAATTCAAGTTAAAATTAATAACCTAACCACCGGTTAAGAAAACCTACCTCAAAAGTCATTCATCTCCTGGTGTAACCACCCTTAGAGGCGGAATATTTTCGTCAAATTTAAATGGGACCACTTCTGAGGTACCCTCTTTCCAACAAAAAAATTAAAGTCGGTTAAAAAGTAAAAAGAAGCTTGTCAAAAGGGTCTATGACTCAGCATCTAAGGACTATGCTAATGACATAGCCCAGTGGCAGTATTTCCCTGGACGAACTCTTTCACAAGGAGTTCCACTGCTGCTTGATGTATGGTAATAATAATGTATTGTAATATAATTGGATATCGGCTTCCAGGAGTTCCTGAACGTGGTGAACGAGTACCGCACGTCGCTGCCGTCGCGGCTGTCGCACGTGCCGGCGCCGGGCGACAGCGCCGTGAGAGAAGCAGCCGCGCTGGCCAAGCGGCGCCACGCCGAGCTGGCTGCGCGCGCGCAGCGCCTGCACGAGCGCCTCCGCGGCGCCGCGCACGGCTCGCAGCACTACCACGACGCGCTGGACCGCGCCGACCGCTGGCTGAAGGAGGTACTCGCCACGATATGTACTAATAAAGGCTGCCGTATAGATATACGATCGATCGGAACGAGGAATCGTCTGTATGTAAAACTGACGAAATACAAAAGTAATTTTTTTTGAGGAACTGACAAATTAGATTTTAAAAATAAAACAAAAATAAAATAAACTTGTAAAAATAAACTTTATAATTCACGATAAATAAAACTTCAAAACATATTTCTAAACATAGAACGTAAAATGAGCCTTCTAAATTATATTTCCAAAACTGTTACATGTCAAATTTCATTGCTAAAGATACGTTATTACCTTGTTAGATCGAGCCACAAGCGCGCTCAGTGCTGTCTGAAGGCGTGGCCGGTGAACCACGCGCCGTGGAGTCCCAACTGTCCAGAGCCAAAGCGCTGCATACAGAGATCCTCGCGCAAGGACGACTTATTGACAACGCCAAGGACGTAAGTAGTTTACCATAACTTTGGACATGTAGCGTCGTCAGACAGGGAAGTGCTGCAGACCAAGTTAATCAGATCAGGGATAAGTTAAACTCGCGTTGTATCAGGAGCTCAAAATTAGGACGCTGTTCAGCACCAATTATTCTATTGACAAAAGCCTTGCTCTCAAATAAGAAGACATAAGTAAATTTAAATTAAACTACTAACCAAGGTAATTGGTCTCCGATTCCACACACAGACCTGAAAAGTGTTACTAACGACGAAACATTTTATACCCGACTAAAACCACTTTTATTGTATAATGAATTCTACAGTGTCGATAACTTTCTTTTGAAACATTGTAATTTTGTTTTTATTTTGTTTTACTTGACTTCGTTGTATTTAGACAAGCAGTAGTTATACTACTTTATATTTCATTCATTGTTATTGTTTGCGTTAGTGACGATCGTATTATCCCTTGATATTATATGTATTTTGAATTGTAATGTTCTATTCCATTCTATTTAATCTAAGTCGTTTGCTTTGGTTACCATAATGAAGTAACGTCTTTGTTAGTGGTTAGTTCTGAGTTATCAAAAAAAATACTCTAAATAAACATTTATTATCACAGGCCTGCGATCAACTTGTAAAGTCGCTGGAAGGCAACCTGACTCCATCAGAAATCCGTCAGCTAGAAGTTCCAGTACTCGACTTAACCGCACGCTATAAAGATCTTGTTGGAGCGGTTGGAGCCCGATGCAGTGAACTAGAGGGGGCGCTGCTGCAGTGTCAAGGTCTACAAGATGCGGCTGAGGCGCAAGCCCATTGGCTGGGACAGGCTGAGAATGCTTTCAAGTAAGTTTCATTGACCTATCATAATGTCTCCGTCTTCAGCCAATCACGTGATCACTGACCAATTATGGTCTCATAAGTAAGTTCTGCTGACTCGTTTCGTAGCTCATCTGCGAGAGAGGTAGCCCCGGTTTGGCGCAGTCGCTGGTTCGAATCCAGCCGGATCGAAGGAATGTTTCTTTGTGATTGTTCGATTTTTATACCAATCTTTGGCAATATAACGCTCCACGTACACTGAACTAAGCCCCAAATTTTCCTCAGGAACCAATTCAAACCCGCCTCTCTTATCCGCGAACGGCTCGATGAGCAAGTGCGCGAGCATCGCCTGGCGCAGAACGAGCTGGAGGCACGTCGACCTACGCTTGCCAAGCTCGTTAGCTCGGCCAGAGACGCTGCTTTGAACCCCAGTAATGCTAGAATAGCCAAGAAGTTGGAGCAACGCGCTGAAGAGATTTACGCCAGGTAAATATTCAATATGTTATTCTCCCTTTTTATATTAGAGAAAGAAGGACAGACTTACATGAGTCGGTATTAAAGTTGCGAGCCCATTAAATTCATGAATGTAATAATAACTAGTTTTGTTATTGGAACTTGAATTTGGAATATCAGAACTGAATCCGTTAATATAATATTACAATAATAATTGAACAGGATTTTTCTTGAAGTTATTAAGTCTTAAAATTATGAATCGTTCGTTATCAATCAATGAATAAAGTGTAGTGAACTGAAGACTTGGCGTTTATGTACCTTAAACTAGCAAAAGCGAAATTTATCCAGACTTAGTTATATCATTTTAAACCTTTGCCTTTTCCTTAACAGAAAAAAATTTGGACAAATTTTTTCTAAAATTTTAGAGAATGGAAAAAAAATAAAGGTCTAAGGTAACCTTAATACTAATTATACAGGCACATGGAACTTGTCAACTTATGTCTCAAAGCGACCGGCGCAGTGGCAGTGCCCTCAGATTTAAAGGACAAAGTGACACTGCAACTGCTATGGACAGGCGTGTCGCTTACATCACTTCGTATCTTAAAAAAAATCCTCGAAAACTGACATTTCGTCGATGGTTTCCATCAGATACGAAAAGCTCCTGGAACGATCGATGAAGCGCAGCCAGTTCCTGGACGAGGTGTCGTCGGAGCTGGCGCAGTTCGCGCAGAAGGCCGCCCGCCTGGACGCGGCGCACGCGCAGCTGCTGGAGCAGGCCGACTCGCGCGAGCTGGCCCGGATGCCCGCCGAGGAACTGCGGGCGCGTCTGTCCGACTTGGCTCATTTCAGGTTCGTGGCAATCGCGTACTGTACGTAAATGCATATCATCACGCCTGTCTCCCACCGGGGTAGGCGGAGACTACGGACCTCCACCTACTGGCCTCTTATACGGACATCTCCAATTTGCGTACTTGTATGTAAGGAAAACTAATCGAAGTCCAACCGACGACGACGATCTTGGTGGCCCGGGTTCGATTCCCGGCAGGACCAATTTGGGAAATTATGTTTTCTAAATTTCTCATAGCACCTGTGCTAAACCCGTGCAAACTAAAGGGTGTCCTGGCATTCCCTAGTTTAAGGACCTGGCAATGGGTTTGGTGGTCTGTTAAAACATTAATTCTTTTCGTTCTTTATTAGGCTGGGTTCATGAAGCATTTTGGGTTATCGTGGGTCGCCGACCTGAGTCATAACAGCTTCTGCGTCATTTCCTTACGTATCAACGTAATCGTAAGATATGCCGTTGCCATACGATATCTGATACAACCTTTTGTATGTCTACAGATACAATACGTTTATCGTTACCTGTATTTTCTCGATTTTACACTTAGATATCTTGTACGATAAGACACACAAATGGCCAAAATTATCCTAAAGATATGAATTATCTCATGCGGGTTGGAGAACTTCAATGTGCAGATTTCATCACGCTGTGTCCGTTCTCAGTTAGCAAAAGATATTACTAAACATTGAAATATACTTAGAATTTGAAGTCATAGGTATATGCTGCCATAGCATTCAATTGAGAAGCATAACAGAGGAAGTGCTTAGGGGACCTTTTCGTACTGCCTATTATCACATTTCTACCATCGCGTGCCCGCCAAAACAGTAGAACCCATCCCCACATTATTGATGCCAACTATTGGGTAATTTCCCGAAAATATTTAGAATAGTTGAAATTTTGCCGAAAAATTTGAAAACTTAGAAAAATATCATTTCGAAGGCTTATATTACATAGCGTGACTATAAAATGCAAACGTGTAAGACGCTTAAAATGATATCACAACAGCGAAAAAACCTTTTTATTGACTCCATCGTTTTCGTTCAGTAACTTCAACTTTTGACAGGTGGCAACGTCAAATGTGGAAAATTATTAGAAAAATATGGTAACCTCCTACCAAATCTACCCACTAAACCCTGGTTTTTTAAACGTCGCGATTTGCCTAAAAACATCACTTCACTATTATTCGTTTGCGCTTAGGCCATGTTTGCACCCCTGTATTTTTGCGTAAAATCAGAGTCCGAGATCACTCTCTGTGCGAGTGCGGCCTAGAAGACGGTACCTTGGAACACATTTTTTTCAATTGCCCTAATATTGCTGTTCCACTTTATAACTTACTTGCTCCAAAATTCCCCCGCCCCATTAACATAAATAACCTCTTAACTTTAGTGTTCTCCCCCCATATTGTTACTCTATGTAAATTTATCCACTTAAATAACATATATTTATAAATGTTGTCTTTTGTTTTACATTCTCAACTGAGTACTCCCGTGGTCCAACTTACCAACACCGGTTAATGTCCTATTAGTGCTTAGCGAACTTTTTTTTTGTTTCGTTTTTTTTCTTTCAACCGTGACATTGGCAAAATCATCATTTCTCATAATGATGGAGCCATAAAAATAAAAAGCGAAGTGAAGAAAAATATGATTTTTTCGAAATGGACATTTTTCCATGACCCAACACTATTGATGTTTGACATTGTAAAAATATGCGATTATTAGTTAGTTCGTTCGTTTCTCTCTGAACCTTCACGATGGTCTCCCTACCGAAGTATTTCCTTTGCTTTATGACATAGGGTTTTTCAAAAAGCGTATCAACAGGACTCACAAAGGCTGGTAACACATAGGCAGTTCCTCTGATGTCGCAGGTTTCCATTGACGATGATAACGTCACTCGAAATGCTAATAATATGAATACATAAAAAAGCCATTAATAATGAATATGGTAATGTGAATGTTTAGATAGAGTTTGTTTGTTGAATTTTATATTACATTTTTTGTTTAGAACATTTTATGATAATATGTATATTTGTTACGATGCCCTACTAAGATTCTTGTTTAGGTACGAAACATTTTTAAATGTACACCATATATACCACTTGATTGCAATTATAAGTGACTTATGACTTTACATAAAAAAACAACCATTCTCCCACCACCACCACTGCATAATACCGATCTGACAGATAGATAGATAGAAGATAGAATACGTTTATACGTAACGACAAAAAAAATCTGATGTTCTCCATCAATTTCTTTCACATCCTTTTCACGAAAACTTTTTTCCACAGAGACAAACACTTGCCTCTGCTAGAAGAGTGCCTGCGCATTGGCAAGCAGCTGATCGCCAAGAAGGACGTCACCGACACCCACGCTGTCCGCGACAGGATCAAGCAACTGGAGAACCAATGGCGAGACTTTAATTCTGCTCTTGAGGAGAAGCAGAAACTGTCCAAGCAGAGAGCTGATCAGCTCAGCCAGTATGAGGGATTGAGGGCTCAGGTACGTCTTTTTTTGTAATTTTTCAGTTTATTGAATGTCATGTTTGACCACCCTGATATTCAATCATTTTTGTGAAATTACGACACTAGTTGGTTATAATTATTAATACGAAGATCTAACACTTAGAAAAAATCCTTCACTCTGTCTCGATTCGATCCAACGTCTTCCAGCAAGCCGTGCCAGACGCTATGCCAACTAAGCCTCGAACGAACTAGCGGATCTTACGAACTTTTATGTGCTTCTTGCAGTTCTTTGTTTTTGGTTTTTAATGACTTTTTGCCGTGTATAGTACACGTTTGACCACCATGATACTCAATTATGTTATACATCTTTTTTGTTTCTGTTTCTTCTTCAACACGGAGACATCCAAGTTGCGTTTAAGTCAGTATAATTATGTATTATCTGTGGTTTAAGTTTCTTCGGATTCCTTTAGAAATTGACTTGTCTTCCATTCAGGGACGGACAGGATATTAATCTTATGAATTTATATTTTACGCTATTTCAGTTCTGTTATTCTTTAGTAGAACTTCTCGTGAAAGAGTTCATCCTGGGAAATTCTGCCACCACGGTGAGGGACGCAGTGACAGTACCCGTCAGATGAAGAAAGTTTTTACCGGCTTACCAGTCGTAACTTCCTGTCTACAATTAAATTTCAAATACTCAATTTGCAACCAACAGGTCTTAGAATGGCTGCAAGCAATGGAGAACCGCGTTGGCCGTCTGCAGCCGGTGGCTGTCGACCTGGACATCATGAAGCAACAGCAGGACGAATTGAGACCCCTTACCAAGGAGTACAGAGATTTCTCTGTTACTATTGAAAAGGTATATATTAAGCACTTGTCCTTAATTCCTCGTAAAAGTTCTTGGGTTAATTTCCGATGCAACTAGCTTCTAAATAGCCTCATATTCTAAATAGAATAAGTAGCAGTAGAGCTTCTTGTAAAAGAATACGTCCAGGTAAGTACCTATTTCTGCCGCCAATATGAGCACTACTGCGTTCCGGTTTAAGGATAAGGAGTGCTGGTGAAATTACTGACACTTCGGACTTGATAACGTATTCCTCGAGATGACGGGCGCAATGCAGTGCCTCTCAGATCTTAGCGATTCAATGCTCTAAGTGGCGCTGCAACTATTATGCGCAGGCGTGTCGCTTACCATCAGGTACACGACCTGTTCGTCCCATTACTGGGTATCATAAAAAAGCCTCAGGTTAAGCGGTTCGGGTAGTGTCTACGGAGTTTATTTCCTTAATCTGATTCTTAACGCATACAGTTACAGCATATCGTTGTTTTGTTTATCAGGTGAACGAAGCAGGCGAGATCTACGAAGCTCTTACCCGCGGCGACCGCGCTGACAGTCCGCACAGAAAGAGGCAAGTCTACAGCCCTACCAAGAGACAGACGCCCAGTAAGTATATTGACCTTTGTAATGGTAGCATGGGATATTAATTAAGTGAACTTTAGTAATTATTTAAAACTGTAGATGGCGACACTTGAAGAAAATAGAAACATGTGAAGAATGGAGTCTCGATAATTTTTGGTATACTGATTTAAAGTTTCACGATTTTCATATATTGTTTGATTTTGTATACGGAACTAAAATCACCGTATGTAACCGTTCTTAATCGTGTATAAAAACATATTTTATTTGCCTTGACGTTTCGGACGTATTGCAACGTTTGTGGTCTCGGAAGGGACTGAGTCCTTTTCATGGTCTAGTCATGAGGTTATATCATTTGAAATTAGAAGTATAAAATATAAAAAAAGAAATGCAAAACTATTTAAACAACATCTTATGAGTGGTTAATTAAAATTCATTTACAATTGTGATAATTGGTGAAAATAGTAAACTTTTGAGTTCTTAGGTTTTCACGATTCTTACACATAGGAAATGAAACTATTTTTCCGGATTTAAATCGCGTATTTTTGTTTTTTCAAACAAATATACGCGATTATGGTTGAAGACTGTACCACCTCAGTCAACCGTGACCATGGGACCTGTAAAGGGCCCGAAACGTCGGTTTGTTTGAAAAAACAAATATATGCGATTTAAATCCGGAAAAATAGTTTCATTTCATATAGTAAACTTTCGTTGAAAAAATAACATTTCGAAGGTTTCTCAATGGTATACTTTTTGATTTGTTAGTTTGCAATAAATAGTATAGATGACATTTCGATCCCTCCTACGTAAAGTATCGTATGTCTAAATTGCCAACTTTATAGGGGAACCTTTTAAAGTTCTGAACTCACTGAAATAAGCAGAGAGATATCGGTTAGATGATCTATTAGATGATCACTCTATGTGAGTAACGAGTGAATTCAGAACTTAAAATGCTCCCCTGTAAACTTGGCAATTTCGACATACGATGCTTTACGTAGGAGGAGTCGATTTCTTTGATTCTCGAATCATTAAAAAAAAAAAAATTTAACTGCTTGTTCTAGTTCGCACCCTGGACGGACGATCACCGTCACCAACAAAGGGCCACGGTCTGGTCAGTCCTGGATCCACACATTCCACATCCAGCGGCTTCTCTTCGCGCCGTTCTAGCCAGGACGGCTTCCATCTGGAAGGTAAGAATTGTAGTTTGACTGAAATTCTAACGAGGGATATATCGTTGTCCCCGTCCCCTCCTCCCCTTCAACCCCTTGTCGGTGTAGCCTCTGTACTCTAGACGGTTCATAGCCAGCTCCTTGACCTCTTCATAGCTGCTCGTTTTGATGTTCTTCTTTATTTGTTCATCACTCTTCCTTTTTCCGTTCATCTACCGAGAGTATTAGATTTTCACAAAGGTATTACGTACTAGAGTAATACAGAAAATACAGGGAAATATTTACTTAATTTATACCTTTTCTTGCAGAGCTATCTCCTGTACAACAACAGCTATCGGAGATCAACAACCGTTACTCCCTGCTCGGAACGAAGTTGACCGATCGACAGAGCGAACTGGACGCATTGAGAGAGGAGCTTCGAAAGCACCTTGACTCTTGCAGACAGCTTAACCAGTTCCTTGATAAGGTAAAACCTGCTTTTATATCATTCATTGTCCAAAAGTTGAGCTCCATCCACTTTTACCATTGGACGTTCGGACGTTTTTTCGGGATATCATACCTACTTGGTCGATATACCCTTTAAGCGTACTAAGCGCTTTTCGTCATCTTTTATTATGCGCACAGCCCAAGAATGAAATCCCCTGCCCGCAACTAAATAGTCGTCATCTGGACGAGCTCATTCCATCGTAGACCCTATCTTTGCTCTATGGCTATGTTCGTTTCGTACTTAAAACCAGGCAAAAGCAATTTTCCATCCAGATTAATCATGTACGGATCTGTAAAACTTAAGAAGAATTTTGCTTGACTATTTTGTTGTATTTATTGATGTATTTAAATTAAACCAACAGCTCAACGGAAACATGAAAATATTGTGCAACTACATTTTTACTGCTTCTTGCCGTAATTATTTAGGGAATCACCATGAAAAATCTTAATATCTGTATTTAAAAAAAACTGGTCGAAGGGTTAAACAAATGCGTGAATTGACTCCAATCCTTCAAATCTTCAAATTTGTCTTATTGAACCTGCCCTGTGAACCCAAGGGTAAAAACCAGGGCATATTCAAGAACAAGACACGCTATTCAACTCCGAACAACGGCCCAAAACGCGAATTTGACTGTATAAGAAATGTCCAAGTTTCAGATAAAAATATTAGTGTAAATTTATTATATATTTAATTTACTTATTCGTTTTTTTTATTAGGTTCAAAGACAATTGCCCAAAGATTCAGTGCCAAACACGAAAGAAGAAGCCGATAAGACCATCAAGCAGGCTCGCGCTATCCTTGAAGAGATGTACGAGAAACAGAGCATCCTAGATTCTACTAAGACTCAGGTATAGTTGTATTAGTCAATCATTTCGATATAGCTTCACGTGCCTTGAAGACATTGGATGGATATTCAAGGTCAAGGATACTAGATACCTAAACTACATCACTGGATTTGGTGGATAGTTTAATATTCCGGGGTCACATAAAAACTATATTTTAACCATTTTCAACACCTCGATGGCGCCACGTGGACGCTAGATGAGGAGGTCTCAGGTTCGATTCCCAGTAGGTCCAATTTAGGAAATAAACTCTTCTAAATTGGTTCTGTTGCTCTGGTACTCATAGTCCAGGGAATTCACAGCACATCATTTAATTCAAAAGAGTAAAACCATTCTGGTTCTTGCTGACACTTTGTGATTCTGGTAACAACGCCATATTGTAATGTTATTTCAAATTCAATATGGCGGACAGCTCAAAATGTATTGGTTTACCTTTGAAAATATTGAACGAATCATTGTAAAACACGATATGTACACATCATCGGTGTTTTGTAGAAAGGGCGTACGCGACATTACGTAGTTTTTTAGGGAGCAGCTTTTAGGTTTTAACGACTGTTTTAAAGTATTTACATCCTGTTTTAAAATTTGATTTTGGTTGCAATTAAAAGTCTATACAACTTCAAATGGCTTTGGTTGATTCCGCAGTGTAGAATCGATCACTTTGGAAAAAATATATAGTAAAATTAGGATATACACTGATATATATGGTGTGAAAATACGATTCCTAAAAATTGTCACGATAGAAAAAAACACAAACTTACCTCGAAAATTTTCAAGAAAACCGCTGTGTTCAATAGGTATTTTATATATACCAAAGATTTTTTTTTAATATCAACTGAACTAAATAGAACACGTATACAATACGATATGTGTATTTCAAAAACTTTAATTTCGTTTGTGAAATTTTTTTTTCTGAAATGAAACCGTATTAGTACCTTAAAATATTCTCCCTCGAAAATCAACGAAATGTCGCTTACGCCCTTTCTATAAAACAATTACGATGCAGTGTTGTGTTTAAATATTGGAAATTGCTTATTTAAATATCCATTACGTCTAAACTCAGGTCCGAGAACTAGTGAAGCGCAAGCAAGGCGTGCAAGGTGCGGACCGGCTTCACAGTGAGATGGAAGACGTCGCTTCGCGATGGAAGGCGTTGCATGATGCTTTTAAGGATAGGTGAGTAGTTTTGCCCATTAAATACAGAGAAGTAGTATTTTAATGTATACGACTCATAAAGTGTAATAAATTATTCTATTATCTTTAGAAAAGGCCCATGTATTGAAATTATTTTAGTTCTTCGATGAATTAAAATAATTTAATAAACGCAATTAGTCATCATTGTCAGTGTAATGTCAACAATAATAAGTATAAAATATACCAATAGATTTATATTACAGAAATAAATAATGTACGACAAATCGCATAGTTAAACGTGTCATTATTTCTATTTTCATCGAAAGAAAAAGTTAGGTGCACCACAGCCCATAGTCAAGTTCGAATTTCAAATCCTTTAAAAACGCTTTTGGGCGCAGATTTCTAATGAGAAAGAAAGTCTTTCCGAGCTAGTCAGGTGAAAAAGTATTTTTCAACTTCGTAGACCTTTCAGAATGAATGTTATTGGTAAATTGCGGTGCAAGTAGAAATCGACATAGTCCAAAGATTTCCAGACTTTCTTCACTACATCTAGCGTTAACTGGATCTCTTCTACACCTTTGTAAATGCCCTTTTAAAAATGTGTTTTCTTTGTGTAATAAAAAAAAAATTCCCTTCGAGACTACCGTCTAAGGCAGGATTTCTAAACTTTCTTTTAGTCAAGGACCCTCTAAAAATTTCAAAGAACCCACAGACCCTTTCCAAAAAAATTAAGTTTAATTTTTACCATCTTTTATTGTTTGCTATTAAACTGTTGGCGTGACGGTTGCTGCTGCATATGCTAAATTAGACCAAGATTGGCACGTCAAATGGAGTTAACGTTAAAGGCACTTACGCGCCTTTCGCTCAATCCAATAATGATCGTCAAGGGCGCGAGAATTCAAAACTGTCACCCGCACAGTACCTACTTATTCACAACATATTGTATACCAATTGTTATATTAATACATTGTGTTAGGTAGGCTCACCATGGACCCGGCACCCATTACACGGACCCCTTAGGGGTCTATGGACCATCTTTTGTGAGGTAGAGACGTTCATAAATAAATGATATGCTAAATAAATTGCGTTCTTTATATTTTGTCAGGATCCGTCTAATGGAAGAGATGAAGGACTTCCATGACACCCACATCAACCTAACTCAGTGGTTGAACAGCAAAGACCGAATGATGGCCGCTCTTGGACCTATCTCGTCTGACTCGCGAATGGTGCAGACCCAAGTTCAACAGGTACGTAGAAAGTAACCACAACTACTTTTATACATGTTTATCACTTTGAATTACGCAATAGAATCAATACGACCCATTTTAAAATTATGTACGTTCCTTTGAAATCTTTAAATTGTCCGTAGTTTCACATTTGTCGCTTTATAGAATCAGCAGTAAAAAATATATATAATAGACACTTTTCTTAAAGAAATAACGAGCCGTGATAGCCGGATGGTTTCACCTACCGCCTCTCGAACAATGAACGTCGAGATTCGACGTATGTTTACTAAGCAATAATTTACTTAATTACCTATCTCTCATTGTTTCGTTTTCTGTCTGATAGATAACAATGCGTGCAGCTGATTCGGCTGTATGTGGCTTTTCCTGCATTGCCCGTGTATCCATGATTTCTCAATGTGTAAAACAATATGTTGTTTACATTTGAATGATAATGTTTTAGTTTCCGATTACTAAAACTGTAATAACCTATTTTTTGTGCTACTTACTGAGATTTGTACCTAGGACTGTCACCTGCTACTTAACATATCTTTACTGATAAAAAACTTGCTGTAAATCTTCCGAATTATAGATAAATAAATATAATAGACTCACGCTTAACCGCGATCTCACCTAATGTTGAGCGATGATGTGACCGATGATGGTATACGTTTGTGGTGTTAGTAATGTAGTAGGTAATACTTCCCAACTGACACCTCTATACAACAGGTACAAGTCCTCCGTGAAGAATTCCGCAGTCAGCAACCACAACTGGCACATCTCGAAGAAGTAGCCTCCGACATACTGAGCAGACTCGATCCGCGCTCGCCTGATGCTGCCAAATTGAAACAGAAGGTTAAAGACCTGCAAGACAGGTGGAATGATTTGTTGAACAAGTGAGTAATTAAATATTGTTACATGCGAATTTATTTTTATTTAGTCGCAGTAGAGCTCCATGTGTAAGAGTTCGTCCAGTGAAGTACTGCCACCTGACCTATTTCTGCCGCTAGGCAACAGTGCCAGCATTACTGTGTTCCGGTTTTGAATGGTGTTGATCAAATTACAGGCACATGGGCCTTGTCAACTTATGTCTCAGGGTGATGGGCGCAGTAGTAGTGCCCCTCAGATCTTGGCAATTTAAAGCTCTGAGTGGCACTGTAACTGTTATGGACAGGCGTGTAGCTTACATCAGGCGCACGATTTGCTCGTCCCGTCACTTGATGTTATGAAAACAAATAAGGCCACTGAAGAACATGCAACTAGAGGATGGATGATATTTATACTGAAATAAATATTCTATTTCCAGACTGGAAAAACGAGCGGAAAGTCTAGGTGCAGCGGCGGACACCTCACGAGAATTCGACGCTGGACTGGCGAGACTGCGAGATGCACTGCAGACCATCAGCGATAAGCTTGATGATGTCGCCTTGGAGAAAGAGCCTGACGAACAGCTCAGGAAAATTGAGGTACGTGATCTTGCGCTACGAAAAGTACTGAACCATATAAGTACTGAACCATGATGTATTTAGGATATCTATTGATGTTTTCCGTCTAAAGCGATTCGTCGATAAGTGGTCCAACTTTCCATGGCTTATACCAACTAATTTCATTATATGATTTGAAGCGTACCTTGCTTGCTCAAGGTTTTTTTCTGTACGAACTTTCACGTGTCATTATGTGACCTTGTTCCTGTGGTCTCTTTTTCCGTTTCTGGTATATGACATAGGTACGTGGTCAGACGTCCTGAAAATCTCAAGAAAAATTCGGGACAGTCGGCTAGACTTGGTTTTACTGCAATCGGAATGCTAGCAATACCGCGGGTGGTGGGGGCGGATTTTCATTTATGCATTTTGCAGGGAAGGTGTAGAGGCTGATGAGGATTTAAGATTTAAAAGTCTATGCCAAGCCAAGCTTGGAAGTCCAATGTAAAGCCCAGCAAACATTTTCCTGTTCATTAAGACTGTAGAAAAATAACTGAAAATTGCCTTCTTTCTCAGAATCTAGAACGCCAGCTCGAAGGTCAACGTCCTCTCCTTGCGGACCTGGAATCAGCTGGTGCAACCCTCGCAACCGTTCTGTCTGATCCTGCCTCCCGCCAGGACATCCAGAGTAAGCTGGCAGCAGTTGCCAGACAGTATGATAACTTGCAGAGGAAACTTGACCACAGGAAGGCTGAGATTGAAGCTGCTCTTAAGTAAGTTTTACCTTTAGTTTTCAATTAAAAAGCATTTATTATGACTTAAAAACAACATTGAAGGATTACCCAATAAACAGATCCTGAAACATCTGTAATAAGGTGAAATCTCCTATGTCTCTCCAGGACTCCACACATTTTGCCCTACGTTAACTTGGCACTTAGGTTACTTCATACAATATTTACAATAATTAACTCACGAGAGAATTCCCTACGTAAGTACCAGGGAACCGAAATATAAACCCAGAACATACAGAACAGACTCAATTTAACAAAATTTTGGGTTCAAATTTAATCCGGGAACTACTCATCAACCGACCTCCGTGATCCAGCGGTTATGTTTGGTCCTAGGTAATTCAACCGTCAGAAGATAGGAAACCGTCAAGAAAATATCACTTACAGTTACCCTTTAAAATCTTAAGTATAAATGATTATCACTAATTTCAGGCTTCTTACCACGGTGTGACTTCTTTTTATTTTCCTGATATTACGGAACGGTTGCACGCTCCATGGTCACGGGTTGACTGGACGGCGGCAGACGACAGCTTTAAGAGCAGACATATATGTCTACCCTCTTACGCTGTCGACAACTACTACATTCATCGCGATTTGTTGTGGCGTTACCATTATCACTCACTTTTTACCCACAAACCACATTCACTGTACCCACACACGAAACTAAACTCGAGGTGTTTTTGTTTTTATTACTGCACGCACTAACGAAATTAGTGATAATCATTTAGTGAATAACCACGAAAGCCTTAAAATCTATAATCTTAAGTATATTCAAAGTATTTATACCACGTGGACTCAGACACCATGAAACACGCTCAAAAATGTTTTGTCCATATCAGGGATGGCCGCAACCTAGAAGAAACTGTAGCCAAAACTCTAGGCTGGCTCCAATCCGAGCTGGGAGCTCTACCAGGTCGTCTTCAAGTATCAGCTGACAGCACAAAGCTTCAACAGCAGCTGGATAAACACGAGCCGCTATATCGCGATCTAACTAAGCGCGAGCATGAAATAATCATGTTACTCGATAAAGGTACGTGTGTCGTAATTAAGTCAATTTGAAACCAGCAAAAGAATGATTAATATGGAAATTCTTAAACGTACATACGTACGTAAACATTGTTGTTTTGTTATAATACAAAGATCGAACACTCAGAAAAAAATCCTTCAATCCGGCTGGATTGGAACCGTCGTCTTCTAGCAAACGTGTCAGACGCTATGCCAACTAAGCCACGGAACGAACCAGTGGATCGCACGAATTTTTCTATGTACTTGTTTATCGGGTTTTTGTATTTGGTTTTCAACGACTTTTTAGCCGTAGCGCCATCTGTGAGAAATAAATGAAAGTATTTTGTCGCCTTAGATACCTTTACAGCTACCTTGTAATTAAATATTTTATTGAATGTCAGGATGTTTTATTAAATTTATTTTATTTTATTATATTATTGTTTTGTTAAACTTCCTAAAAACAAATTTTCAAGAACGAACTTCAAATAAATTCACAAATAATAAGGAGAAAGTTAGATATTGGATAACGGAGTCTGAGATAATATATAGTGGCAGTAGAGCTCCTTGTGAAAGAGTTCGTCCAGGGTAGTGCTGCCACCTTACCTATTTCTGCCGCCAAGCAGTAATGTCACCATTACTGTGTTCCGGGTTTGAAGGGCTAGTGAAATTTCAGGCACACGGGACTTGTCAAGTTATGTCTCAGAGTGACGGGCGCAATAGCAGTGCCCCTTAGACCTTTCCGATTGAAAGCTCTGAGTGGCATTGGACCTGTTATGGACAGGCATATAGCTTACCGTCAGGTGCACGACTTGTTTGTCCCGTCACATGGTATTACTAAAAAAAATTTTAACAAGAGAAATCTATTGAATGGACATTTGATAGTCGTACCTTCATATAATTATACATTGTTCATCAGGTCGTGAAATGGAGAAGAAACCAGCACACCAGGGCCTGCGCAAGGACCTGGATCGGATCCAGACGCAGTGGGAGAAACTCAAGCGGGAGACAGTCGACCGCCACACCAGATTGCAAACCGCTATGGTAAGTTATTACTTCATAAAAAAGACATCCTCAAATCGTTTGCGTGTTTTTATTTTCTTTTTTGCGATGTGGTTCCGTCCAAATGTATAATAACTACGATAATAATTTTGATAAATATTCCTTGATATTTATAATTTTCTTTTTTGTTTTCCTTCGTTCAGCATGCAACGGGCGATGGTCAGAGACCATACTGCCTAGTCATTAGTTGCATTAATTGGAACAACAAAATGCTATCACTAATGTCAAATGTTAATCACAAAAAAGACACAAAAACAGGCGCTTGTCGTCTTTTCCATCAAAACAAGGAAAGATACTAAATTTATAAAGAGGCTGTAAGGTTAACGTGACTATTAATTTTTCTCTCGGAGCGGGACGTCTAGCGCCTGTGCATTTATTATTGTTTTAAAAATAAAATACATGTTTATGATAATTACGAAATGTTTAATGATTAAAAACAATTAATAATGAAGTAATAATGTTTAATGACCGAAAGTTAAAAAAAATCTTGTGTGGTCTGGTGGGCTGGCTTTAAATACTTTTCCCTTTAACGCCATTTTTTTCGATTAATGTCACATGTATCTTGTTTTGTCGAAACGGGACATTGTCACGTATTTTGGGGACAGCAGGTCACTATGCTTAAAAGCGGGACGTATGGTCACGTTATGTATGATGGAACCTTCGGCTACCCAAATAAAAGGGTGTAAAATTATAAAAAAGAAACAAATCGTTTTCCCAAAGGTTTCTTCGCGTTTATTCTGTTTACTTATTTTATTTAGTTAGTCATTTTTAGTCAAATATTACATTGGAATTATTGGGCAGTTTTCTCTTTATTCCGGACCACATAATTAATAATATGAGACTGCGGTACATACATGTTCGTTATTTTGTTTCTATAGGAACATTGCCGTAAATACAGCAAAGCGCAAGAATCCTTCCTCCCGTGGCTGTCCAGCGCTGAAGACAGACTCGCCAAGCTACCAGCCGCCGCTTTTACTAAGAAAGAAGTCGAGAAGCAGCTTAGAGAGCTGCAGCAGATCAGAAATGATATTTGGAAGAGGTATGTATCGTATGTTTTTACTCCAATGTCGCAGGAGGGTGACGTAGATAAGAAAGGCATATCGTCGGGGATCCCCAGTGGAAATCCCCATACGCGGTATCGGTAAAAAGCGCGTATCTGCACTAAACAAAATTTTAGAGGACTGAGATGTGACGTTACTTTTTTGTTATTTCATTGGCTACTACTTTCATTTTTGCACAGTAAGCATTAATTTATTTCGTCTACGGATTGATAACAATAGATTCCCGTAAATAACGCTAATTTGGTTACACTAAGTTACCGAAATGGAAACTCATAATCCAAAGCTAGTTACGCTCAACAGCTATCCCCGACGATACGTGACGTACTCTTAACCAAGTTTCATGACGTCATTGGCTTTTGTTTGTAGGAAATTATTCATTATATAAAAAAATGTACGAATGTGCATCAATTTCATATAATTTTATATAAAGTGTGGTACACCAGCTTTTAATAAATTATCTATGCGTGTAATAACATCGTAAGGAAGTTGAGTATGTACTTCCAATATTACCGCCGTTAGTCGAAACGCTTGTGACAAAAATTCAAAGCCGAGAATATAATATTTATAGAAATGAAATTAAAAAATATCTAATTTTCTCTTGCGGTAACTTCTTACCTTATCTACCTAGGGAAAAATAAAAATAGTGACAAATCGGCCTTTTTTACTGATCACGGCAGTATATATAACATTTTTTTTTTAAATGTCACCTTTTCAACGAACGGCGGCAGAATATTTTAAAGTAAAAGTCAATAGCAAGTCACATACTTAAAAGACGATATACGTCTTGTCATTTTTAAGATAGAGAAAAATGACATTTGCAGGGATGCCAGTTTTCGTAAAATTTTAAATAATCTTGTTGTTGTTGTGAAAGAAGGTAAAATTTGGCTAAAATTTTGAATACAACGTTCAAATGATTACTATTTGCGTTATTGTATTCTTCATTCTTATATTGACAGTTGGTCTATTAGTATCGAAATAAATTTTTAATTATAACAGGCGGTATAAAAAATATTAAAATATGTCTCCTATTTATATTTTTAATAGACATATTGTAAATTTAGTGTATGTATTAATTTCCAAAAATTAACAATTTAAATGCACCTGTGTCCAGTCGTTGAACGAACAATGGGCCGATGATGATTGAAATGAAACAAGTTCGGCTATTTATTTCATAAGCGTAACCAACATTTAGTCGTTAGTCGATGTAATATTTATCAACTGCAATCACTAGTTGCTTGCAAGCGGGCAACACTATTGCGTAATTAACTGTCATTTTACTCAAAAAAGAATGACTATACCAAACCTAAAACAAGTTTTTAGAATTTTTCTCTATTTGTCTGTGCTTGTGCACGCTAATCTTCACAATGACTGAATATATCTGGGTGTGGTCTTCGGTGACGTATTAAGATAAGCTTAGATTAACATTCAGTGTTTAATCGGTTTTAGTCGCCTTACTTTCTCAAACTCGTATCTTAAAGCACAAAACAACTGAAATCCATTGTGTATACAAATTTTGCAGACTGATTTCACATCAGATTTCCTTCATATTCACTCACTGGCTTTTACCTATTCTTAAAGTAATGCATTCAAATTAACACCATTGATAAGAAATGTAACTTAAATCTATTTCGAGTTCTTAGGTTTTCGCGATTGTTACACATAGGAAATGAAACTATTTTTCCGGATTTAAATCGCGTGTATTTGTTTTTTCAAACAAATCGACGTTTCGGGCCCTTTACAGGTCCCATGGTCACGGTTGAGTGAGGTGGTACATTCTTCAACCAGTTATGTCTAATATTGATGCAAACCACCCTATTTTTTCACTATAGTTACAATAGTTATTAATTAAATACGTTATTTTTAATTTTACAAAGAAAACATTCCAATTTACGCTATATTAAGTTTTACAAATTATTTTATTGAATGATGTTTTATTAAGTTCAATTTATTATTAATTATTAATAGAAATTAGAATAAACTAAAACTAAATTATTAAATTAAATATATTTTTTTCCCATCTCCTGAATAATCACTCTTTATAAGATACGTGTTTAAGAAAGTAAGTCATTATATGTCAATTTTAAAGTTGTCTCGCGCGCGCTCGACGTGACGCGTGCACTAGTCCGAACGAAGTGTGTGTGTGCTGACCCGATTGCATGTACGCGAAAATATTGTACAACAAAAATATTTTGTAGCAGTAGAGCTACTTGTGAAAGAATTCAATGTGAGCATTACTGCGTTCCGGTTATATGTAATACTAAGTGAAGAGACGAACAAGTGTGTCTGGTGGTAAGCGACACGCCTGTCAATGACAGTTGCAGTTGTCAGTCAGAGCTTTAGATCACAAAGATCTGCCCTTCAGGCATTGCCACTGCGCCCGACACACCCTGAGACATAAGTTGACAAGTCACACTCACATTATTGCTTGGCAGCAGAAATACGTAAGGTAGCAGTACTTCCCTGGACGAACTCTTCACAAGCGGAACACTTCAGTTACGGATAGGTGTGTCGTTTATCACTACAAATATAAAAAATAAATAAAAAAATGTTACTCACCCGTAGATTAACAATAAAGTTAGCAACGCGATATACCTAGCTTTCATATTCAAGCCACAGTAGCGCATTTTATGATAAAATTTGAAACTTACAAGATTTTCTTTAATTTGTATTTATTATGCTAATCCTTGTTGAAAGAATCACTTTATCATGTATCGAATTTCATGAAGATAATATTTTCCCACACCTTGTTATTTGATCGCTTTATTTAGTACGATACGTAAGTGATAGATACATATCGAGTTCTTAGGTTTTCGCGATTGTTACACATAGGAAATTAAACTATTTTTCTACAGGTCCCATGGTCACGGTTGACTGAGGTGGTCACATGGTCACGGAAGACTGTACCACCTCAGTCAACCGTGACCAGTAAAGGGCCCGAAATGTCGGTTTGTTTGAAAAAACAAATATACGCGATGTAAATCCGGAAAAATAGTTTCATTTCCTATGATAAATACATGTTTATGCGTGATAGTAATCGGGTGTGCAGTTAATAAATAGTTGTATTTATAATTTAAAAATGACATAGATCTGGTGAATACGAGAACAACAAGACCCTCGGCGAGACATTCATCTCGGCGTGTGATGTTGACCAGGAGATCGTACGCAAGCAGCTTGACAGCATGAAGGAGCGTTGGGACCGACTTAACAACGGTAAGACTCGAATCAATATCACTTTAATAATTTTGATATAGTGGGGCTCCTTTGGGAGAGAGTTTGACGGCATAAAAGAAAATTCGTGGTTATTGCAAAACATAGCCTTGGTAGTGACCTACCGCTTCTCAAGCAGAGGCCGTGGTTTCGAATCCTGTTCAGTTCAATTCTTTATTACATTTACTATAAGGTTACATTTAATGGAAAAGGCTTAAAGCTAATTAACAGCTCATTATGGTCCCCGTAGGACACTGCTGGTTGTATTTCGAGAGAGGAGGTTTAACTCTTTACAAAATTTAAAAATGAATAAATGTTGCTATGTTGTTATGTTTACATTAGTTCATATTTGTACAATTGCAAATTAAGGACATGAATATTAAAAAACTATTAATAATGTAAATATTTAATTTCAGTTTGTGTTTTATACTGAACATAACGCACCTCCGGTAAACCACAGACTTAGCTGCAAAAAATTGTGACCCCAAATCACAAATTTTAAAATGCAATTTATATGAAAAACAGAGACGGATTAAGCATTTCTTAATTTTTCTATAGAGGGCGTAATGCATATTGAAATAGTATAACATTTAAGGGATCTCCGAATGTGCTCAGCCCTAATACAATACTTTAACATTCTGTTTTGAACAATTAATAATAATAGTTCCTGAAACATTTGAAATGTACACAAAATTTTTATTTAAAAAAAAAAGAGCATATTTGACTTCTATAATATCACCTTATGGAAAGTGACGATAAAATCGACAATGTAGCATGCACACCTAAATAATGCCTATTCACTATAGCCTTGCAAAGGCCCAAGTTAATTGCATTAAATGCTTCATGTTCAAGTCTCGAAAGTTTCTATATTTACTTGTTTTTTGTCCATAAACAGAAGTCCTTCACCAAGTGGAGTTCCTAGAGTCGACGGCGCGCAAATTAGGCGAGTTCGCAGAAAAGGTGCGCGCAGTCGAAACACCACTGACAAGGTGCGAGGAGAGGCTGCAAGACGCACTGGCGGCGCCGCCGGCGATGGCCGCTGAGGCTGTGGCCAGGATTGTCGACCAAATACACGCGCTGAAAGCACCCTTGCAGGTAAGCCACTCAGCACATACGTATACTATTATATCTCTGGCTTTGTACAAGAAGTGCGTAAGTACTTAGATACTTCTTGTATCAAGTCACAAATACAGTATTTTGTATACGTACGTATACTACGGTACGCGTACGCAGTGCGTGTATTGCAGTGCACGGTTAAACCTACTCACGGTTGCGCCGCCATATTTAATCAATAAATCGTCGCCTTAGAGTGAAAACTTCGCATTCGCGTTTTCACATAGTTCGTTATTATTAATTTTTATTGAAGGAAAACTCCTAAAGTCCTTGCTGAAATATATTATTAAAGTATCTATCTGAAAAGGTATAATTGAACTAATTAAAATGCTAACTTCAAATATTATTGCGTTTACTACATTTTAAACCACATTTTTATCTTTGTCCTGAAAAATTACATAGAAATCACATACGAGGTTTTCACACTAAGATGACGAAATATTCTTTTTGTAAAAATTAAAAAAAAATTGAGTTTATTGAATGGCAAGATTTTTTGTGAAATTACTGCACTAGTTTATTATATAATTATTAATGCAAAGATGGAAAAGTTATTAAGTTAAAATTTCTTCGATCCGGCCGGATTCGTTCCGACGTCTTCTAGCATTTCGTGTCAGACGCTATATCAACTAAGCCATGGAACGAACCAGCGGACCTCACGAATTTTTTTCTATTGCTTGCGTCGTATCTTTGTATTTGGTTTTTCAACGACTTTTTAGCCGTAGCACCATCTAAGAGAAATCTGTGTCTACCTTTGTATTAATAATTATAATAAACATTGTAATATTGAACAAAAAATCTATATTACAACAAAAGTTGTGAAATGAATGTTAAAAATGCCTTTCCTCCAGAGCATCAACTCGGCGGCCGACGACATCGTGACGCTGGCGCTGGAGTGCGCCGGGCCCGACGCGTCGGCGCGCGCGCGCCACGTGCTGGAGGAGCAGGCGCAGGCGCTGGGCGACCGCGTCGACGACCTGGAGGCGCGTGCCGGCGAGGCCAAGGACCGCCTGGCCGGCGCCGCCGTCGCCATGCAGCAGTTCCAGGTCAGTTGCGGGACTCGTACCGCCTTGTACCCTTGACTAGAACATAAATACATGTTATCACGCCTGTCTCCCACCCGGGGTAGGCAGGGACACGAACCTCCACCTGCTACGGTCCTAACATGATTAGAACTTATGCTGAATTCCAGCAACTTATTCTATTATATATTCTCTTTCATTCTTCAGTATTTTATTACTTCTTTGCATTGTTTTAGAAAAGCACTATAGATACTTCGGCGGGAACGGGGATTGCCTGACTAGTATATTACATATTCCCACGCGTTCGGCAATCCTTTACTTCCCGGCCTCTGCAGTAATGTACTGTACCTATTAGCTGTCAAATTTTGTATGTAACTGGTGATTTATAAATATAAAACCCTTGCATTAGAAAACTTTATCCACTCATAAAATTTTAATACAAATCCGTTCAGTCGTTACGACTTCATAAACTTACAATCTTCCATTCAAATCCCAATTCTATAATTTTTTTCGCAGGATAAAGTGAAGTCTCTATCCCACGACCTCTCGGACCTGGACAAAGAACTGGACGCAATGAAGCCTCCAGGCCGTGACATCAAAACAGTCAAACAACAGCTGGATGACATTGGTCGTTTCTACAAGCGGCTGGAGAAAGCCGACGACCTTGTTGGACTCACGGAAAGAGCTGCAGAGAGCCTTATTGACAGTGGACACTCTGTGGACTCTGCTAAGACCAGGGATCAGGTAAAGTTGATTTCAATTTCTGGGACCTAAAAGTTCTTCGAAAGTCCTAAAGGCTTTTGTATTCATTTAAAAACGATAAGATATTGGCTCAAGCTAAGCATTACATCAACCCTGTCAGATAGACACTGCTCTACAACAACCAAATCTATAACTAAACCATTAAATCTCCGACAGGTGGAAGGCTTGCGCAAGCAACTTGCCAAACTGGATGAACGCGCTCGCGCCAAGGAACAAGATCTGGACGACACTTTGAGCAAACTCGAGGCCTTCTATAAGGCTTATGACTCAGTTATGGAGGATGTCCAAGAGGTACGTATGTTTCAGGTGCTTTTGGACATGATTTTTAAGTATCAAAAAACGTGGAGGTTCTCAATGCGATCGAATTTTTTGTGACGCAATTACTCCGACATTTGAGAACAGATTTCAATGATTTATTTTTATTGAAAAGAGGGTACCTCAGTAGTGGTCCCATTCAAATTTGAAGAAAATATTCCACCTATAAGGGTGGCATATTAGAAGATAAATCCGGTTTATTGGACTTCACCCACTTTCCCTTGACCGATTTTATTTAAAACTTGATAAATAGATAGAAGATTCCACAAATTTTTGAGGTAGGTTTTTTTATAAAAAGATGTTATAATTATGTTAAGTGTTGACATCCTGAAAATGTTTGCCCTACTTGGTAACCCTGCCTAAGGCCTAATAGGATCAGAACTAAAGGAATTTGAATTGTGATTTTTATGGCGGCTTTTTATAGTTCTGACACTTGCTAACTGTATGATCACTATCACTGCTGTAGCAGCTTAAGTATAATCCTTATTTCTTCCCACAGGCCGCCGAACAAGTACGCAGTCTGAAACCAGTATCCTCAGAAGTGGAACAGATCCGAGCCCAACAGAAGGACTTCGCCGAACTCAAGAGGAGAACTCTTGAACCATTGGGACAGAATGTAGCGCATTGCAACAAGATCGGACAGGGATTGGTCAGGTCGGCGCTGCAGGGAGTCTCGACACAACAGCTTGAGAAGGACCTTGAAAAGATGAATGATAAATGGAATGCTCTTAAGGAGAAGGTATGATTTTATCTTACTATCAATTCTTTGCAACTTCTTAAAGAAAAGCGGGAATCTGTCGTCTATGAATAGATGAACTTTTCCCTTCGTGCATGGTTCTTCTTATAGTATCGATGTCATACACTATAGTGCTTGCCATTTCGCGTAAAATACTCGCCGATTGTTGCCCAGGGTGAAATGAATGTCCTGCGAAGAGGCTCCTTATCCTGCTTATAATAATGTTATTTTGACGTGATACTAAAAGAACCAAGATATGCTGTCTGTGCTAAGGACTATACTCTCATCCTTGGTGCTATGTTATTATTAGGCTATAACTAATTTAACCATTTTTGCTAAATAGTCAATATTGTCAGCTAGGAGTGATTGTCTCTAATTTCTAGTCATTTCTTGCAAACCTTGTCGAAGACATTATCTTCTACGACCTTTGACTTTACTATAATTAAAATTTTCATCCGCTTTCTCAGATGAACGAACGTGAGCGTCGTCTAGACGTCGGTCTATTACAATCCGGAAAGTTCGCCGAAGCTCTAGCCGGACTAGAAAAGTGGTTGGCAGATACAGAAGACATGGTCAATAACCAGAAACCACCTTCCGCTGATTACAAGGTCGTGAAGGCACAATTGCAGGAACAGAAGGTTTGTTGTTTTGACCTTTGCTCGTGATAAGGCTTCTTGTCCGTGTGCCTTCCGCAGCGTCAAAAATGGCAGAGGTAACTGGGACTACCTTTCTGTTGGTTTGAATACCAGAAAGGAAAGTGAAGTCTCGAGTTGCATATGCTTCGCTATGAGATTGCACAGCCAAAACCTATTTTAGGGTTTGCATACTTAATAATAACCTCTATTGCTTCGAGAAATAAATTTTTGCTTTTCTCTCCAGTTCCTCAAGAAAATGCTAATGGATCGGCAAAATTCGATGTCGTCTCTATTCGCGATGGGCAATGAAGTGGCTGCAGGCTGCGAGCCAGGAGAGCGTAAGGCGATTGAGAAGCAGCTCAAGGGCCTGATGCAGAGGTTCGACGCACTCACCAACGGCGCACAGCAGAGAATGCTGGATCTAGAACAGGCTATGAAGGTTGGTAGGCTTGCTAATCTTTTGTTGCAGTAAAATTGAAATAAGCCCCAATATACTCGTGATCATTGTCTACAACCGACTGCAAATTTAAGCGATCGTTCTGGAATGTCATTATTTACTTGTCACTATTTACTTTTATGTAATTCTTCCAGTTTTTCTTGGTCTTCGATCAATTTTTTTTTTTTTTTTTTCGTTCTATTTTTTATTTGATTGTCTCAGTTTCATTACATAAGGGACTAATAAAATTTATGCATGCAGGTCGCGAAACAATTCCAAGAGCAACTCCAACCTCTACTGGAATGGCTCGATACCACAGAACGAAAGGTGAAGGGACTGGAGCTCGTCCCCACAGACGAGGAGAAGATTCAACAGAAGATAAGGGAGCACAAGGTTTGTAGCATAGTTGACCTTGGACAACTGAGAATAGTTATTTTCTGGATGGTCAATCCTTAATATCGTGACTTTTACTAATTTTATTTTTCTCCATAGATTCTCCACGACGACATCTTATCCAAACAACCACCTTTCAAGCAACTGACGGAAACGGCGCAAATTCTCATGGGTCTGGTCGGAGACGACGAGGCGGCTGCTCTTGCTGATAGACTGCAGGCCGCTACAGATAGGTAAGTCTAGACTGTGACATGACTGACATTAATTAACGTTATTACCGGAAATTTTGACAACTCGAATGATGCGCAATCAATTTGTTATTTAAAGAACAGACATTTGTCGCCTTTACCATCGAAACAAATGAAAAATAGTCATAAATAAAAAGGATCTTTGGTGGAACCTTTGCCAACCCAAGTTTAGTACCAGTAAAGCTCCTTGAGGAAGTCTTCGTCTTCGGAGTACTGCCACATAATCTTACGGGTGCTGGTGAAATTTGGCACATGAGGCTTGTGAACGTATGTCTCAAGGTGACGGGCGCGGCGGCAGTGCCACTCAGATCTTTGTGATTTAAAGCTTTGAGTAGCACTACTACTGTTATGAATAGGCGTTTCGCTCACCACCAGGCGCACAACTTGTTCATCCCATCACTAGATATCATTAAAAAACCCTAAATCAATAGGTGAAACCTTAAAAAATATAAAGGTAGTTGATTAAGGAAGATCTTTTTGAACGAATTGAATTGAGATGGAAAAGTTACATAGGCCTTTATTCCAAATATTTAGGGGCTCAAGTTTAAAGACATCTCATTATAAACCTTTTAAAAAATTAACTAAAATATTAAATCTCTCATTAGGTATCAAGCTCTGGTAGACCACAGCTTGAACGTCGGTGAACTCCTCGACAACTCTCGCAAAGGCCTCCGTCACCTCGTCCTCACTTACCAGGACCTCTCGGCGTGGATGGATGGCATGGAACAATACTTGGCCAAGCGGAAGATCCTGCCTGTGCACATGGATAAGTTGTTGAGGCAGATGGATGAGTTGGCTGTAAGTATTTTTTATAAGCAAACTTAACATAAAATGGCATTCTAATAATTTCGCCGTTGTCCAACTAAAAACGCACTTTTCTAGATATACAAGGTCGAAGAAATACTGGAAGCAAAGTATTGCTACAATACAATTTCGTTATTATGACACCATCTCCCTAATTGGTAGAAATGAAGAAATACTATAGGTTGCTGCAATAACACCTCTTCAGTTCGTTTTGAGTGTCTTATGGGTCATACCACAGATTAAGAATTAATGTTTTGGAAATTTAAAGTATTCCAGGCTCTACAATATAATAACAAACCATCCCTTATATCCGTGGACGATGACGCATTTACAGTAATAACTTATTTCTTGAAACCTAAAACTATCTAATTATTATTTTCTGTATACCATTTCTGATCAGTAAAACTTCCTTGCCAAACAGGAAAAAACGGAAGAAATAGCCTCCAAACAAGAACCCGTCGACAGCACTGTGGAAGCAGGCCTTGAACTAATGAAGCATATCTCAGGAGATGAAGCCTTGCAGCTGAAGGACAAGCTAGATGCGCTACAGAGGAGATACAATGATCTAACTTCAAAGGGCGCTGAGTTGCTTCGTATCGCTTCAGAGACCCTGCCATTGGTGCAACAGTTGTATAGTAACCATAACAAGTCAGTATACTTGTGTAATTAGTAAAATAATATGATAGCGACTGACTTTTTGAAATTTGAAATGTTCCTGCCTCTACAATATAATATCAGAAACGTGGCATACCACCTGGACTAGAAGTTGCCTAACATTTTTGTTCCGTAGACTCCCAGATACATCTTCTGTATAAAAAGAAACATGTTCAGTTTTATTCATTTCTCTAACCGATATAATGTTCAGTTTTATTCATTTCTCTAACCGATATAGTTTCATACATCGAGTATATAACCAGAAGTAGAGACGAAATGTCATTTAATTTGTTTGAAAACTATTCTGCCAAATCATTACGGTGACAACGGCGCTCCGATTGGCCAGCCCGAATTCGAAACATAAAATTGACGGGTGTCGTCAATTTTTCCACTTCAAATCGACCAATTTAACTTGGTGTTACTATAATGGACGAAAATTTTATAATTAATTTAATATTTAGTTATCAATGAAATGTGATTCCGTTTGTTTTGTAATTAGATGTTTTGCTGTTTTTCTCACACCACCGAATGGAACAGCCCCCATTGTTAGAGATATTATCCTTATAACAATAAGTACAGTTTTTTGTGGAAAGCCAAAATTTTGAACACGACATGCCTAAATAGGATCCACACGTTTACCCCCATTAACATCTCAAATTTCTATTTTTTTCGTTGATATGGTATGGAATAGACTCCTGGGTGTTCGTACAAACCACTTTGGGAATCATCGAGACCGTTGTTCGACCCGTGAAAAGTTGTCACTTTGCAGATGTGGGCTTGTTACACCAAGATATTGTTCTTATCTTTATATTTTCCACCAGGCTGTCAGAATGGATGTCAGGTGCTGAGTCGTGTCTGCAGTCAGTTGAACCTCGCGAGGAGGACATCCTTCGTCTCGAAGCTGAACTGCAAGAGTTCAGATCAGTGCTTGACGCTATCAACTCTATTGGGCCACAGCTATGCCAGGTATAAATGATCTTAAGGACTTAGACCCTTATGTACAAATCTAAGAAATGTCACTTATACGCTCTTTTTACGAAACGCAGACGATATAAATGAGCATAATTCTTTTGAGCATTTGACATTACGAGCAAACGAATTGTTTCTTTTAATGTTATTAGATTAATTTTGAGATCCAAGCTTAAAATTTTATTTTGACCCGTTTACAAATCGGTTTGAACGGTACTTTAAAAAAATCATAAAAATTCCCATTTCTAATGAATGAAAACAAAATTTAGTTTCAATTAGAAACACGAATCGTGAATACAAAACAATATATATGTGAATGTTTAGTTTTTTGCAATTATTATGTTTAGGCAATAAAACTATTTTTCACATCTAAATCGCGTATATATTTTATAATTTCAAACAAATCATCGTTCCGGGCCATTCACAGGTCCCATCGGGATCAGCCGTGACTCTGGGACCAGTAAAAGGGCCCGACAACTTGGTTTCTTTAAAAAAAACAAATATATATGCGTTTTGGATCCGAGAAAATAGTTTTCATTTCAAAATATTGTCATAAATATTACAGTATATTAAAAGTATTGCATTGCTTGATTACGAACAGATCTCACCCGGCGAAGGTGCAGCGCACATCGAGGGTATCGTGACTCGCGATAACAGACGCTTTGATGCTATCGCCGAGCAAGTGCAGAGGAAGGCGGAAAGATTGCTGCTTAGCAAGAAGGTTAGTGTTTGTGGACATAAAGAGTGACATGTTGTCATATCGTCGCATTCTGCCGTTCCTGTTCGAAAGGTGGCTGTAATTGAGTTATCTCGTATGAACCTTATTTACATTCACATACGGTAAATAAAAAAATGCTAAGGACGGTCTGTTAGAAGCCCAAAACCGAAGTCTTGAGGGCTTTAATAACTAGAATTTTGTATTTTTTACCGTCCGTGATACATACAATGTTTTTTATCACATTTGCGATTAAATAAATACAATGTTATTGTATGAATAAATATGGTTCACAAAACTACAATTTTGAATTTTGCAAATGGCGGGTATTTTGTTTTTTTTTTATCAATTATATTCTTCCATAGATAATACAACTCGAACTAAAATGTTGTAAAAAGCAAAGACGCACACAGTCATGATGGATTGTAAAAAAAAATTGCTTACTTTATACAGAAAATAATGAAAGTCAATTTAAAAAAATCTTAATAAGTATTTAAGTAGTAAGTAATTAAATTTTTTTTACAACTTATTAATACATATTCGTTTAAAACATTTTAAATGAATGTTTTAATTTTGAACTTACGTAACCTTATTACTTGAACTTGAAACTGACGTATGTAAGAAAGTATGTCTGCTATAAGTTGAAAAAAAAAAAACTCCTTACCGACTACGGCTGTAATGGGAAGAAAAATGGCCGAGGTTGTTATTTCGGGCATTATATTCAAATTAGCCATCATGCAATCATACTATATACGGGCAAGTGTGATGAAAATAATATATCGAGTCACTATATTTAAGCAAAGAGTTTAATTTTGGAAAGTAATTCAGCTAACATACAATACAACATTTAGAGCAGCAAAAGATAAAGTTGAAATTGCCATGACGATAGCGAGTTCACTGTTCCAAATTACCTTTGCCGAGTCGATGCTAAACACTGAGAAATCTTTTAATTTACATCGAATATAATATCGATTTTCTTAACTCAATTGTGTAATGTACAGAGTGCCATACGGTCGCTTCGGAAATTACTGACAGAATTCTTCAGAAGACGGTTCTTTCTATATAAAGTTGGTACACTACACGTTCCTTATACTATGGTTACAAATATATTGTTAGGGTTCGTACCCAAGTATATGTAAATGTAGAATCTTCGTAGTAATTAATGTATGTTTGATGGAATTTGTATGTTTCCCGGGGTACACTGTTCGATTGAGGTAGGTTGATGTAAAATGTGTAAGGCACCGTACTGTCCGAAGGTCTTTTTAGTCCTAAAAATATACGTAATTGTACATAAAATGTAAGCGGGACAATGCGCGCGATCAGCAACATATTTAGGTTAAATTATGACATACCTAATGTATTGCTCGGGAGCATGCACCTCCCGATTTAGGTAAGGATATAAAAACATGTAACAAGAAAGATGAATTTTTTTAGTTAAACGTTTGCAATGTAAATTGAGTCTTACACAGGAAACTCGACATACCATAATCCATCAGACGACATAACTGAGTAAATATTTAGTAAAAGATTGAATCGGTCACCAAAAAAACACAATTGAGCGAATACTTCGCGGAAGACATGACCGGAATAAGTTGTTGGGATTTGCAAGCAACGCCGAGCATTTGCGTCTGCAGCGCTCGCTGGAGGTGGTGGGCGACATGGAGGAGCTGCTGGAGTGGCTGCGCTCGGTGGACGCGCAGCTGCGCGACGCCGAGCCGCCGTCGTGCGAGCCGGCGCTGGTGCGCGCGCAGCTCAAGGAGCAGCGCCCGCTCAACGACGAGGTGGCGGCGCAGCGCGTGCGCGTGCGCGACCTGCTCGGCCAGGCCAAGAAGGTGAGTGCGGAACTTGTTTGTTTCATTGCCAACGTTAACGGAAAGTGATTGAAATCCAATACACCTGATTTACCCCCTAATTGGCTCCCCTTGGAGGTGACATATTTTCTTCAAATTTAAATGGGACAAATACTGAAGTACTTTCTTTTCAACAAAAAAAAAAGAGTAATCGCGTACCGTACGTACAAAAAACCCGCGAATTGGAGAACCTCCTCCTTTTTTTAAAGTCAATTAATAAATAAATATTAGACAACGTCACATAATGCACTTGTCTTATGGAAATCGGAAACAACGACGATACCACGAACACCCAGACTCGAGACAATATAGAAAGATAATATTTCTATATTGACCAGGCCGGGGATCAAACCTCAGGTGACATCCTGAAAACCGGTGCACAAGTCATTCGACCACGTCGTCATTCAGTTACATTTGACTTGCAGTCGGGATATTGTAGTTTCGATCTCCGGAACAAACCTGTTCCAATTAGTGCAATTTGGTACTGAACTTTGTCCTAAAATATTTTAAAGCAAATTTTACCTTCACAGATATAATAATAAGCTTTATTGACCAAATAGGATTACATTAATTTGCATTTACACCATATTAACTATTTTACATAACTCTAAGATATCTCTTGACATATAACAATTATCATACAGGTTCTCCGCGAATGTCAGTCATCTGAAGAAACAGCAGTTATCCGTGACCGTAGTGAAGAACTCAAGGAGATGATGGAAGAGGTCGGTCAACTCAGCGCTGAGAGACTCGCCGCTCTTGAACAGGCACTGCCTCTGGCTGAGCACTTCGCTGATACTCATCACGGGTAAGATTGCTACTGATATCTTTATGTGCTCCTGGTCCTACCGATTCTGATTCCTTAAGGTACCTTTCTTTACTTCTACGCTGTTCTCGCGTGAAATGCTGGTGACATCAAAATAAGATAGCCCCAATTCAAATTCCGTTATTAAGACGAGAGACCCGTATAATGTAAATAGCACGATACCATCTCCAAAGTGCAGATTATATTTTTATTACTTGTTAAATAGAGATCATTAAACAAGGATTATTATTTTTGCCCACAGCTTGTCCTCGTGGCTGGACGATATGGAGAAACAGATCCAGATGCTGGCTATGCCGGCGCTGCGCCCCGAGCAGATCGCCCAGCAGCAAGATAAAAACGAGGTCGGTACATCACTTTAAAGATAAATTTATCACTATACAACTTTTTTAAAAGGCGAAACGTGCAGAAACTTGCGAATAGATTTTTTTATAGATTGGTCAATTTGCGTCAATCACCCAGGTGCTTTAAGTAGCAGCAGTTTTGAGTAGCACTAAAGCTCCTTGTGAAAGGGTTCGTCCAGGGAAGTACTGCCACCATACCTATTTCTGCCGCCAAGCAGTAATGTTAGCATTGCTGCCTTCCGGTTTGGAAGAGTAAGGGTGCTGGTGAAATTACAGGCACATGGGGCTTGTCAACTTATGTCTCAGGGCGACGGGCGCAGTGGCAGTGACCCTACGATCTTTGCGATTTAAAGCTGTGTTGGATAGGCGTGGTCGCTTGGTAGTATAAACAAAAACCAAGTTTTAACGCTTATATCCTCAAATCGTAGATGCTGCAACAATCGATCGCCGGGCACAAGCCACTTGTCGACAAGCTGGTGAAGACCGGCGAAGCGCTCTCTCGCCTCTGCGGAGATGAGGACGCCGCCAAAGTACAGGACATCGTAGATCAAGATTGCGAACGATACAACGCGTTAAGAGCCGAGTTAAGGCAGAGACAACAGCAGCTTGAACGGGTAAGTGTGAGGGAGATAGGTTGGAAGGATAGTATACGTTTCACTACTTTGTTTATAGAAATTAACAAGTTGTGCTTTTATTATAGTGAATTGCATTTGTAGTGGTGCGCTGTTTACATAAAAACCACAAATACAACCACAAATTCTTCAGAAAATACACAAATACCTAATAAATGCACTTCCGAGCTTTCGCTAATATCGCTAAAGTCAGTCAAAATGGATCGTGTGAGTTGAACCTTAAAAGCATATAGCCCGTGTTTTTAACATGTGCGCGATGAGATTTAGTGTGTCCGTGCGACCAAATGATTTTCAACTTTAAAAAGTGTATGACTCGAATGAGTTTACCAGAATTATTTAGATAGATACGAGTAGATAAATAAAAACTTTATTCACTTCCATGAAAACTTATAATTACTATATTGAACAACTTAAAAATAACAAATTTTAATAACAAAAGTTACGTACAACTTTAAATCATTTTACTACGTTTATACTTAATATTGTAAATGTTTAACAGGCTCTGCAAGAGTCCTCGCAGTTCTCTGACAAGCTGGAAGGTATGCTGCGGGCGCTGGCCGGCGCCGCTGATCAGCTGCAGCACGCGGAACCTGTCTCTGCACATCCACCTAAGATCGAGTACGTACCACTCATCACAGACATCATAGAAACGACAACACCAACAGAAAAAGATACATTTTATACATTTTCAATCCTCAACAGGGACCAAATCGAAGAGAACAACGCTCTAATCGAAGACCTGGAGAAGCGTACAGAGGCGTACAACGCGGTGCAACGGGCAGCGAGTGACGTCATCAGCAAGGCGAACAAGAGCGATCCAGCTGTTAGAGACATTAGGAACAAGCTGGATAAACTCAACAAGTAAGTTGAATACTTTCGGTTGTCCCAATTTTCTGCTAATAGAAATCAAAATTACTTACTCTTGGCTTTTTAAAAAAGTTCAAAGCCATTCAACGAGCTATGGAGCGAATTGCTCGCTCCTTCCTTCGTTCGGCATTTCTCTACGGAATCGAATCTGAAATGAGGAGATTTGTAGAAGAACGAAAGTCATCGACATATCTTAAAGGATGAACAAGTTGAAGAACTGACGCCGTTGGGGCAGAAAGGTTTTCAAATGGAGACCACGAACCGGAAAGCGTTCTGTGGGACGGCTCCCTACTAGATGGGCAGATGACCTGGTAAGGTGCCGCCCTTACCGGTAACCGATGGATGCACGTCGCGTCCGATCGACTAGTCTAGAAATCTTTGGAGGAAGCCTATATTCAGCAGTGGATGTCTTCCTGACGGACGGCAGATACAATGAGAAACCAAAAAAGCTTGGATTTTATTGTATGTAGGTACATATGACCAAATAGATATTTGGTCTGTGATTTACAGCCGTGTACGGTTAGCGTACATAATTCTTTATGTGCTGAACTTTCGGAGGATCGAACTTATTTCAATTCAATTGATGTTATTATGTAGTCGCATTCGTCACATTACCATCCGTTATAGCTTATAAACCTTTACGTTCGATTGTCAACTCATCCTAACTAAATACACTTTCAAGTAACTGAACTTACCACAACCAAGATGTTCAAGGTCATACAGACTGTTTAAAAACACTACTTTTTTCCCAGGCAGATTGCTCTTTGGTGACTTAGAATCCATAAAGCAGCAATTGTTCCTAACGATTTGGTATTGTCGGTTTCAATATTATATTTTGTTTCAATAGACTATGGGACGAAGTACAAAAAGCATCTTCGGATCGAGGTCAGTCCCTGGAAAGCGCTCTGGACGTAGCCAAGCGCTTTTGGCAACAGCTGAACGCGGTGATGGCTACCCTGGCCGAGCTGGAAGATACGCTGTCTGCACAGCCTCCACCCGCCGCGCAGCCGCGCGCCATCCAGGCGCAGCAAGTCGCCCTGCAGGAGATCAGGCACGAGATAGACCACACCAAACCGGAGGTAACTAGACAACTTTGTTTGGCCATCACTCAGTAAACTACGTTCTATTGCCATCCCCAAAAATTGGAAATAACTCTATGCGAATACCATTTCTTCTGAAAATATTTGCACTTCAAATTATTCAGATCGAGTCTGCTTTATTAAACCTTATTATCTGACTACTTCCTGCTCTCTTTTACGGGACGATTTGTCTTCACGAGTTTCAGATTAATCGAAATGACGAATCGTTACGTGACGATTGATCGAAACGAGGCTTCGTCTGTATGTGGTGGCCTTAAACATAACCAAATTTCCAGGTTGAGAAAGTCCGAAAGACTGGCTCCACCCTCATGTCACTATGCGGCGAGCCAGACAAGCCAGAGGTGAAGAAGCATATGGAAGACCTGGATAGCGCTTGGGATAACATCACGGCGCTCTATGCGAGACGAGAAGAAAACTTAATTGATGCTATGGAGAAGGCTATGGAGTTCCATGACACGTTACAGGTAAGGACTTCTATAGAAATATTCGATGAGCTGTTCGGGAAATAAAAACTTGCGATTAGGAGCAGACAAACAAGATCGTGTACAATTTGGTACTACTTAGACGATGAAGGAAAACGTGATCATAGTGAAGAAACTTGGGTTTTATAAAGGTTCATTGAACTCTAGAAAGATAATTATTTACTTTGATTATCGTGATATATTTACCACCATGATATACATGTATTTATTGTAAAAATACTCCACTAGTTTGTTATTATTATTGATACAAAGATCGATCAAAAACAAAGAAAAACTCCTTCGATTTAAATTTCCGCCGTCGATATAGTTATGCGAGGTTGTTAGTATTGTACAAATCACTGTGTGTGTATATAGTCGTAATTACATTTTTCTGGTACTTCTGTATACAATATAAGCTTCCTGTGTAGAACCTCCAAGAATTCCTGGACAAAGCAGAAGACAAGTTCTCCCGCATGGGCCCACTCGGTTCCGATATCGACGCAGTGAAACGACAGATTTCTCAACTCGCTGCCTTCAAGCAGGAGGTCGACCCTCATATGGTCAAGGTCGAAGCTCTTAACAGGTATGTAGACTTTTATAACAAAATATAAATAAAACTCTAGGAGGGTTTTGCTACTACTTCTCCATTAAATGACACATTTACTGCTGGATGTCTACTTAACGTCATGACATGACGAACCAATGAATGAATCTCAAACTTAGTTCTTAACTCCCATTCATTTATGACAAATTTTGATTTCACGTAAACCGCATGTTCCTTTTTTTGGAGTGACCAAGGTCCAGCAGTAGATAATGTAGCAATTTTGGTGTTTAAACATTGGTGTTAATGGTCTTCGGCTATAGAACAAAGTTATTTCTTTCAGTATGTCATTGAACCTGTGTTAATTGTTTAAGATTGTCTAGAAGCAATTAGTTTTGTATTTTAATATGTGTGGGCTACCATTGTAACTTATACCCATAAACGAGTAGAATTGTATAGTTATCTCTGTAGTGATAACGTCCTTTACAAAGATAGACCTGGTATCCTATAGTACAAGCTTACGCTTAGTTTAGGTTCCAGTCTCTTACAAACATAATGTAGAACAAAAAAAAATATTATAAGCTTCTAATTTTGTGCACGTATAACCATTATGTTTGTGGAGAAATAAACGTATACATATATTGTTATACTTTTTTTTTTCAAGACGGAGTATTACGGTTTATTGCGCTAGTGATGGCAGTCGATAAATATTCTATTGACTATCAATTGAATATTCGTAACGCTTACGCATTAAATAACCGAATTAAACACGTTTGTATTTCATAAGCGAGTACGCAATTATTAATGATTAACAATGTCATGACCATAACATTCACTATTCATCAAAATTCTTTGACAATTCATCGATAAAACTGCCGATTTTTTATTTAAATTATTTACGGAAACTGGCAACCCTGTGAACTATTTTTTGCTCCGTGTTCAAAAACTGACTTATAATTTTGACACACATTAAGTTGTGAATCGAATGTTATAAAAGAAAAAAGCTTTTTGTGACAAATTTGTAAATGACGATATCTCTTTCAGTATCGAATATATCAAATATAATGATATTGACTGCAAATTAAATACGTTTTCTAGTAACGTTTATAATGGTAGCCGACACTTTGGTGATGGTGTTTCCTAAACAATTTTAATCCCCGTTAAAAAGATTTGAAACCCTGTTCTATTACTATAAGCATAATATAATAAGACAAACAGTGTAATTCCCGCCAGTTTTAGCGTCATGGCCTACACGCCTCCCCTTGAGTACGCGAACTGTCCCGGTCCTATATCGCCGGCATCCAGCCGTTTCCGGCCATCTTTATCAGGTCGTCCGTTCATTTTACCGCAGAACATCCTACACTACGTTTTCCTAGGATTGTTACATTAGTCATTGTCAGGTGACAAAATTTGAAGAGCAGAGACTGTCAGACCTGGACACTAAACGTGATGCTCTCACTATTACGTGGTACACACACACACATCTCACCTACAGGTTGTAAATAATTCGAAAAACGTATATATTCACCACAATAAAACGTATATCCATTCATCAGAGCATTCTCGTGATTTAATGATATAACCTTTGTCAAATGCAGTATATTTTTATCGCGGATTAGTATCTCTACTATAGCAGTGTGATAATGACATTGAAATGTCATGAGAGTTTGTTTATAAATAACGATACATTTATAAATACAATTAAAAAATAATGTGCCAGACTACCAACCCAATTGCCTAGTCCAGAACACCCGAACCGGAACTAATTTAGAAAAGTTCATTTTCTAGTTTCGCTCTACCGAGAATCGAACCCTGAACGTCCTCCTCATCCAACCAGACAGTATAACAGTTAGGCCACTGGTGTCGTCAAATTTATTTCACACAGCTGTTATAATAAACGGCACGTGCGATATGCGTTTTGCACTGCGAGATTACGCGATTGTGTGCGTCCGTACACGGCGCGAGACGGGCGTGCACACATACAAGCTGCTGCAACGTTTGTGTGGAGTTACATTATATGTCTTATTATACTATGCTATAAGTCACAAAACCTAACAAACCATACAGCACATTTTGTTGTGTTCCCCTATTATTTTACTATAAACTAATAATATATTGTTTCTATGTGTACCCTTTCTGGAACGCGCGCAGGAACTTAATAAGGCAAGGACTTCATTCTCTTTATGTCTGTGTGCTTTTTGTGTTGTCGCCAGAAATGAAAATACACTTCAGTACGATTTATTTTTTACATACGTCAAAAGAAATAAATTTACAACTGACAATTTAAGCTGGTATTTTTAAACTTGTAAGATGATATACAAAGTTAACGCTTCACCACCTTACGGTTGATTTTTTCGTGCAAGAGACGGTCGTCGGTCTTGGCCACACGCAGCTTGCTTGTTTTTGTCAATCAATGGCATTTATTATAAAAAAGAGGTTTTCGAAAGAGGCAGGATATACCAAGTTGACGCTTTACAACCTCAAGGGTTCTTTTTGCATTCAGGAAACGGTGCAGTCTTGACCACAGGTTTACGCGTTACCACGTAACAGAACGAATAATTTGTGCGCATGTCCATAACAGTTGCATTGCTACTCAGAGCTTTTAATCAGAAAGATCTGATGGACACTGCCACTGCGCCTATCACTCTGAAACATAAGTTCCATGTGCCTGTAATTTCACTGGCACCATTTTGTCAACCAATGGTGTTTACAAGCCATATCGTATTTTTATTATAAAGAAAAGGATTCGATCAAAAGGAGCGGGGCTACAATTTCCGCTTCCAAACTATTTTATGTAACTGCCTTCGTGGCCGAACGGTTACTATGCCACGTAGAGGTCCCAGGTTTCATTCCCAGGCCGGGAGAAATATTTGTATGGCCTACATTTATTTCTCTCGTCAGTTTGGGTGTAATTTGTCGTTGTCTATGTATGTGTCCATGGCACCCGCGACACCAAGGTCCAAGGTCATAAATATGTCAAAGTTTAGATTTAAATTCAACTCTATTACATTTGCACATTGACTTACAATTATATGGACGTCGGGTCCGCGCTAAAAAGTGTCCGCACTTGTAAGGCGCTAAAATCGTATACAGAGCGCGACACTCCGCTTTAGTCTTCATTTGTTCTACGGACAGCGCGATACTGCGATGACATAACAATTTAAATTTCGAATAGGTGGACTTGGGACATTTTTTTCGTGGTTTTTGTATTAGACCCGTCGTCCATTTATTTGTAAGTCAATGCATTTGCAACAAAAATGTGTCAATCTTGAATTGCTTTGAATATGAGATACTTTGAATGCGAAACGGTATTACAGTGTAAATAGATACACCGTAAACGAGCTTTCAAAACCAGTTGCATGTAAATTTATTTCTTTTACAAATCGCACGAAATGACGGCTTTTTACAACACTAATAGTAACTTACAATTGTGATGAATTTATTTAAATAACAATAAATACCGTGAAAATTGGAATCGAACCATATAAATTTCTTTGTCCCAATTGTAAGCAACGTCTATGTAAAGTAAGGATATGTAAAAAAAATAAAATGTTTTTATGTAAAATAAATATATCGGTGTTTTGTATGGCCGTAAGCGACATTTCATAGATTTGTTTCGTTCCTGTTACAAAATTATTGGTTTTAAAATTAAATTTTAGTTTTCATTAAGTTTAAGTTTTAAAATTGAATTTAAAAACGGGACGTTAATAAATTTAAAACATGGTCTAGCTGCCCTGAAAAATCTACGAATTGTCGCCTTTGCGAATTGCCTTTTATACAAAACGGCGCATAATAAATTCGCTTCAGCACTTCTAATTGCCTTGAAATGTAAATTTCTTCCTTACTAATGTATCCCTTTACCTAAATGTAATTTAACAAAGCACGACATTGCTTTTTTTTCTTTAGGCGCTAAACACACTGTGTTCGTTTTTGGCACTAAGCTGTTCCTTACTTAGTCTTCGAGTAACACTAATAAGGATTTTTTATCCCGCGTACAATATTTTTATCACACGCGATAAATAACTTTGTCTGCGTTATTTATCGAACCTTAGTTTCAAAAATGGAATCTATCTGTGCTTTAGATGTAATGACGAGATACACCTACAGTAGATCAAACTACAAAATTCAATTTTATGTCATTTGCATAGCAGTTAAAATATGATGAGTTTGTATTTAATTATTTAAGCGATTTTTTCGTATTTATAAAACGTAGTTTGCCTAAGCTCGAAATATTTTTTTTCCCGTACGAGTCGAGTAGCAGGGACACTGGCTTTATATCACAATTATTTTTTTTTCCAACGAAATGAAAGCCGTTTCAAAAATTAACGTCGTATACTATGCGTAGTCTATTTAGTTCAGTTGATATAAAAAATATCATAAATTGCCTACTGAATACAGCGGTTTTCTTGTAAATTTGTAGTTAAGTTTGTGGTTTTTTTTTCTATCGTGAAAATTTTTAGGAATCGTGTTTTCACACCGTATAGTAACTAACGTAAATCCTCAATTTTACGATATATTTTTTTCAAAGTGATTGATTCAACATTTTCACTGTTATGCAGAATTAACCAAAGCCATTTGAGGTTGTATGGACTCCTAAGCAAAAAGTCAATTAAATTTTGAGTTTACATCGTAGATTTTCGTATCAAAAATTCATTTTATAAATATCAGCCTTAATCTATAATAAAGTGTACATGAACACCTTGAATAACACTTTCTTGGTATCAACAGACAAGCTCAAGAACTAACGGAGCGCACGTCATCAGAACAAGCAGCCGCTATAAAACAGCCACTGACAGAAGTGAACGCGCGCTGGTCAGCGCTGCTTAGAGGCATGGTTGAAAGGCAACAACAACTCGAAAGGGCTCTACTGAGACTTGGCCAGTTGCAACACGCTTTGAGAGAATTGCTGGCTTGGATACAACACACTTCTGACACTTTGGATACTCTGACACCTGTAAGTTTTATTTACAAGTTTACAAGTTACCTTGTTCCGAAAAAATTCAAATACTTAACCCGTTACCAAGTTTTCAACACTCACTTTTTTTACCAGGTGGCCGGCGACCCTCAAATCCTGGAAGTAGAGCTAGCGAAGCTCAAAGTCCTCGTAAATGACATCGCAGCGCATCAAGCAAGCGTGGACACGCTCAATGAAGCGGGCGCGCAGATCGTCCAGCAGGGTACGGGTATGTTGCGACGCGCTTGGTGCTTTTCCATTTATTTTTTAATTTTGAAGTGGAAATTTCGAGTTGGAAAATTTCGAGGACGGAAATTTTTAACAAGCTGTGGTAGCCTAATGGTTTGACCTACTGCCTCTCAAACAGAGGGTCGTGAGTTCGAATCCAAGCCTGCACCTCCGAGTTTCTCGAAACTTGTGTGCGAAAGTTAATTTGAAATTGAGGAAACCTGCACGTCGAAGAAGGTTCACAACCCTCGGAAAACGTGTGAAGACCCCAACCCGCATGGGGCCAGCGTGGCGGACTATGGCCTAAACCCTCGTCTTAAAGGCGACCCGTGCCCAGCAATGGGATGTATAAAAGGGTTGATGATGATGAAGTAACAAGAGCTTGTTACGCACGTTCAGTAACAGCTATTTTCCAATTTAGTGCCACATTTTCTGCCTGATTATCAACAATGAAATAGCCCTCGAAAGAAAGGACAAGGCAAGATAATGTGGACTAATTAAAGCCTTTTCAAACTTAAGCTTATCTGATTCTTCTCCTAAGTAACACTTATTCCTCGAAATTTCCATTTCCCTGTTACAATTTAATAAGTTTTCGTTTGTTATATTTTAATATTACTTACAGTTACGTTTTGAAACATCCGTATAGACAGAAGGAAATTTTAATTATCTTTTATTTGAAGACAAACGAAAACTGGTCATTTGACAAAACCATTATTATGAAATAACTACTCAAACAGACACTACCATGGTACTATTAACTTTACAAATTCATTTTATGGATTAAAATTCATTTCTTTTCAGAACCATAGTTTTTCGTTTCGTCCAATCGAATTACTTTTATAATATTAAATTATAGATTTAACAATAATGCAAGATCACTAAGAAAGTTTATTTCGTCCTGGATTTGTTTCGCGATTATTAATTATTGTCTTATTATTATTTCGGTTTTCAAAATTTATTTTTCCATTTTCTAAAAATTCTTTTTCTCATTGATCGAAATTTGTTTTCACATTGATCATAATTCGATTCCTCATTTATCAAAATTCGTTTTCTCATTGGTGAAAATTGTTTTCTCATTTTTCTAAATTTGTTTTCTCATTTATCAAAATTCGTTTTGTCATTTTTCAAAATTCGTTTCAAAAAGCGAGCTCTAATGCTTAAGCTTACGATGTGTCCGTGTGATCGTCCCGCTTTTGTAAAATGTGAAATCTGCAACGAAAATCTTTGCACTTTTTCTATTCTGCACTATCTTTTAACTATGTGTTCAGGAAACCAAATTACCGTTGTTTGTTACGTCAAATGCTGATTATTTCTAGTGCAACAGTTTTTTTCAAGAATTGATCGGCGTAAAACGTAAAAATCAACGGTATGTTTGTTTAGTTTACTGAAATAATCATGAAACTTAAATTTCTGAACTATTATAACTTTTCTAAATTAAAAAAAATTGTTCGACTTTTAAATTGACTCTTCTCAGAGTAATTTTGTAAATCAGGAGTATAGAATATATATAAAAGAAAATAATATCAAATACTTAATCCTGCTTTGTTAATACTTTCTTTCATAAAAATATCTTGTAAAGTAACGCTTTAGGTCGCTTATTTTTTTGCACATATGACCTCAATGTGAACACTGTAGGCACCGAGGAGGCTGGCGAGACAGCGGAGAAGCTGGCAACACTAAATAAGAAATGGCGTGAACTACAACAGAAAGCCAGAGACCGACAAAGCGAGCTCGAGGACGCTCTAAGAGAAGCCCAGAGGTATGCACAAAGTGTTCATAATTTTTTCCCCTTAGAGCGGGACGGTTATAATATGTACATAATGAGGGTTGTTAACGTCGAGTACCGTGTTTAGGCCGCAAGGCTTTGCCGAGTGGCCTAAGTAATAGGTACGAAATTTTAAGACCTATAATTAATGGTTGCATACAATATTTTTTCTACGAGTAAATAGAATAATGAAACACAACCAATATTTAATGTATGTTAACAATCCACGACAACAATCTCGAATGAAAGCCAAACAAACGCTACAAAACAAAAAACAAAAGAGATAGAATAGAAGTAGCCAAGTACCGCTTTATTTTAACCAATCATTTTTTTATAAAGGTTTATATGGCCCGGTTGCGAGACCTTTAGGCCAATTTAACCAATCAGAAGGCAGTAGAGCATTTGAGTAACATCATATTTGATATTTTAATTAAGAAAAATACGACGTTCTTTTTTTGAAACTCATAGTTGTGTGTATTATTATAAGCTTCTCCGATCTCTAAAGATTCATTCTATACGTAATAGGTTGTTATCAGAAAAGAAAATCCTCTAGGTTCATAAGATGCAATCAATGAAAGAGATAGTTGTACCGTTTAAAATTTTTCTTGTCTTCCAAAACGAGAGTCAAAGGTTAAGAGGGGTTAAGAAAAGTCAGGGTGTACCATGTACAATTCAAATAAGCTGTTCAAACTTAAGTTAAATTGTCCATACTATCGTTTCGGAAAAAGCGTATATAAGATTAAATGTTAAACATTCTCTTATCTCAACAGTTTCAACGCAGAAATCGGAGATCTCCTTTCGTGGCTCTCCGAGGTTGACAGTGTGATTGCGGCGTCTAAACCCGTGGGTGGTTTACCTGAGACCGCTTCGGAACAACTGGAGAGATTCATGGTGAGACTTTAAACAGAAATATTTTATTTGTACCGCTCTATAGAAGCAACTGTATATCAGCTTAAATGGGAACAAACTTTTTAGGTTATGTTTTGAGTTCCCACCTGTTGTTTGGCCCAGAAAAACAACAAAATAAGAGTGGAAAAGTATATTTAATTAAAAAGACTTTTTGAGATACTTTACTTGATTTGTGAGAAGTTTGGCTTCTAGATGGAGCACTATTATCAACTCCATATTACAGTACTATTGTGTTAAATATGGCCCCTCTCAGAATTTGGCCTGGTGTTGTATATCTACTTAGTAAATACAATATGTCTCACGCGCACAAATGGTGGCATAGCTGTTAACCTCTGAAACAGTCGGTAGTGGGAGGTCCACGAGTCTGGACGTGCTGTGGACAGCCACTTTGAAGAGGATATTGTCCATCAATCCATTTGATTATAGCCGTTACTTTAATGTACAATAAAAACATCTCTATTTTTTTCTTTTATTCCCTATAACAGGAAGTGTACAACGAGATCGAAGCGAACCGTCCTAAGGTGGAAGCAGTGCTGCAACAAGGCCAGGAATACCTGAGGAGGCAGGAGAAACCAAACCCAACCTCGCAGTTGCATCATAATCTGAAGACTTTGAAGTCCAGATGGGACAATGTTACTGCCAGGTACTATTATCAACCGACTTAAAAAAGTATTCTAATTTTACCTGGAGATCACGGGCTTCCATTTTCTAGATCATTATGAACATTGGACATTGTGCTTCTCAAAAAGAACAACTTTTAATTTTTTTTCTTTTTCCAAAATTCTGCACCATAATACTGTTGTTCACATAAGACGATTGAAATAATAATAAACATATAACATAATAACATAACTTCGTAGAATAACATCCTATCTCGATATATGACGATTAAGTCATCAGATGTCAACAAGGTGTCAACATAAAACAAACAACTGTTATTCCATCTTAAAATGACCCGTGTTAAAATAGAGTCTACGATTTCGCAAAATAAAAGATTAGTGATAAAAGTATGCTTAAAGCGGCCTCTTCCAAGAGTTTCTTCAAGTTATTGTCTGAGCTGTCATCATTTTCATAATATATATCATCTTTACTAAAATATCCTTTCAATCACCAGAGCATCGGACAAGAAGATCAAGCTCGAAATAGCTCTGAAAGAAGCGACCGAGTTCCACGATGCCCTGCAAGCCTTCGTCGACTGGCTTACCAGTGCCGAGAAGACTTTGACGTCGGCCAAACCTGTTTCTAGGGTCATGGAGACTTTGCTTAGTAAGTATTTGGTTTATTTCTAAGCACAACATCAACCCATTTATATATCCCAATGCTGGACACGGGTCTCCTATCAGGCGAGTATTTAGGCCATAGTCCGCCAAGATGGCCCATGCAGGTTGGGAACTTCACAAATTTTCCAAGGTTGTGAACCTTATACAGGCTTCACACCACAAGGTTTGCCTTCACTATTTCCTTCAAATTCCGAAAAAGTCAGAAGTGCGATCTTGAATTCGTAGCCATGGCCTCTATTTGAGTGGCAGTAGGTCAAACCATTGGGCCACCACGGCCCACGGTGAATTAAATTATTCAACAGTTATATACAGTCCATCCAATGACATTTCTAACTTTTTACTTCAGCACAAATCGAAGAGCACAAATCCTTCCAAAAGGAAGTCTCGACTCACCGCGAGACGATGCTCCACCTGGACAAGAAGGGAACTCACCTGAAGTACTTCAGTCAGAAGCAGGACGTCATACTGATCAAGAACTTGCTGGTGTCCGTACAACATCGGTGGGAGAGGGTGGTGGCCAAGGCCGCGGAGAGGACCAGAGCCTTGGACCATGGCTTCAAGGAGGCGAAGGAGTTTAGTGACATGTGGTGAGTACAAGTTACTAAAGTCCATTTCACATGGGATGGGTACTGTGACATTTCACCTCTCTCTACCAGGTGCATTTGGCGACAAAATATAAAATTTCTACCAAGTCAAAATATTTGGAAGATTTATTTATTAACCTCACTGGGTCTGAGAGGTAGTACCCTCGTAGTTCAGCTAAGGAAAGAACTTATTATAATATATGTGGATTAAATGACTCATATCTTCAGTTTGCCTATAACGCACTAATTACGGTTATTGCTACCAGCGTGGAAGCACAGCGAGCCATTTCCTCTGTTGGCTAACTAGTTTCCAAGATCAGGAGCCGTTTAGTGCATGAAAATATTAATAGTTTATCGTTTTTGTGCAATTACTTCCAAAATAATAATTAAATTTATTATGATACCTGAATTGTAATTGATCTTAATAAAGAACTTAATAATATCCTTTTCACCTCACCAGCTCGGAAAGGCTTTCTTTCTCATTAGAAATCTGAGCGCAAAAGCGTTATTTGCACGCTAGGGTGGAAAAGGTTTTTGGAATTCGAACTTGACGAAGCACTGTGGAGCACCTAACTTTTTCTTTCGATGAAAAAAAAGATAACGACACATTTAACTACGCGACTTGTCGTACATTACTTATTTAGATAATATAAATCCATTAGTATATTTTATTCTTATTATTGTTGACATTAAATTGACAATGATAACCAATTGTTTTTATTAAGATATGTAGAACTAAAATAATTTCAATAATCATACAAAATAAAAGTACAAGCAAGAATAAAAATTAGTGAGGTGTAAATTCAGAACGCATCGGAAGATAAACTTTTTCCTTTCATAAAAAAAACTAATGTTTTATAGTTCAACTGTTTTTCTTTAACCTACCATTTTTTCGCTATAATGAGGTGAAAAGTTGTGTGTTTCAATCGGCAGAAAAGTTGTTTTACGTTTCGTGACTCGAAACCCTCGTTACGCTCAGGAATCTATTTTTGAACTACGCGCTTCGCTCGTGGTTCATTCTTAGCTTCCTTCGCTTCAATACCAGCTCACGTCAAACAACAACTTTGCAGCCTTGCATAAAAAATAACTTTTTTTTTAATTTTAAACCTTCACAAACTTGTAGTTACTTTCTTTCAGCATTCTGCGGGATCCAGCATCCAGTGGGATCGAAAACTTACAATCCCTATTGCATTTCCTAGTTCAATCTGTTATATATATATTATGTCAATGTATAATTATTGTCACGTTATCCACAGGAATAATCTCATGAACTGGCTGAAGGACACAGAGAAACAACTCGACGAACTCAATTCGGAAGCAACGGTCAACGACCCTGACAAGATTAAGCAGCGTCTTAACAAACATCGCGAATTCCAGAAGGCACTTGCTGCTAAACAACCCGTCTATGATCAGACAATGAAGACTGGTAAAAATTTGAAAGACAAGGCGCCAAAGGGCGATGAACCGACTTTGAAGAACATGCTTACTGATTTGAAGAGTAAATGGACTACTGTATGTTCGAAGGCTGTGGATAGGTATATATTTATTTACAATTACGGCAATTACAATTACAATTACGGCAATTAAGGAATTACGGCAATTAAGGAATAAAAATGAACTGGCTGCTTTTAACAATCGTCTTTACAAAGTGACAAATTCAATTAAGAGGCAATGTGTACCCAATATTTTCGCCCAAATGGAAAAAAGACAACAATAATAGACTATCGATATCAACCAGTATTGGTCCTGTGACGAAGTTACAACAGTTATCGTTAAGTAACGCTAAGTCCTCTTTACGGGGTTTTGGACTATTACAGTCCGTTATGCTGGCCCAATACGGGTTAAGGACTTAACGTGACTTCAAAAAGATGTTTAACCTTACCTTAAAAGAAGATTCCGTCTAATTGTAGCTATACAACAGTCACTTAATAATTTTTAACTGACTTCGAAAAAGGATGAGGTTCTCAATTCGACTGTATGTTTTTTTTTTGTATTTCACTTTGAATTCCAGAACGTATTCCAGAACTCTACTCAATACTCAAGTCAGGACTTGAGTATTGCAGTGAGCACTGAAAATCATACTCAAGTCCTCGCCATTAGGGTCGTATTTTCAGTGCTTGAAATCATTGCGTAGAGCATTGAGTAGAGTTCTGGAATACGACCCTAAGGGTGGCTGTTCACGCATGAAGATTCATTTTTATAAATAGCGCCTAAATTTTACTTAAGGAGCAATTATTTTAATGGTTGATTTTACTATTTCTCCAATTCAAGGCGTTTTTCTCTCAATGTACTTTGAGTAGTGAGAACCGATTTTTATTATCTCCAGTGTCAAGTCCTGTATAGTGGCGAACTAGGGGATATTTCAATAAAACTTAGCAAATAGACGTAATTCCACGTACTTTTGAGGACGATTTTGTTAGTACTCTGTACTGAGATTATTCTCTATTGCAGACAACGCAAGCTAGAAGAAGCCCTTCTCTACTCCGGACAGTTCAAAGACGCGATGTCCGCTCTGCTGGACTGGCTGAAGAAGCAGCAGAAGCAGTTGTCTGCGGACTCGCCTGTGCATGGAGACCTCGACACTGTCATGGCGCTTATTGAACAGCATAAGGTATGTAGTATATTGGTTGGTGGCAAAATAAAGTAATGTAAAAAATGTCCGTAATTTCCCTATTTTAGAAAGTCACTGCTGCCATGTACCTGTCCTAAAAAGATCGTATCTCAAAATGATGCTTTCCCGTAATGTTCCTATCCAAAAATGTTCCTATCTCAAAATGTTCCTATCCCAAAATGTTCCTATCTCAAAATGTTCCTATCCATATTATTTTTCCAAGTTTCTTCTATTTATAGCATAAAAAATTTCACCGCACTGTCCCAAAGTCATTACAAGGAGACGTCATACTTTAGAAACTTTAGACGATTTTAACCAACTTCTTTTCTCTAGCAATTCGAGGAAGACCTCCACTCCCGAGAACAGCAAATGCAGTCCGTGCTAAAGACAGGCCGGGAACTGGAGGCCACGGTGCCTCGCGAGGACGCTTCCAACATCAAGCAGCAGTGCAGCGAGCTGAAGACGCTGTGGGAGTCCGTGCAGACTTTGAGCGAGCGCAAGGCGCATAAACTCGAAAGCGCTCTTAAAGAGGTACGGCCAGATCGCACTATTTCTGAGAAGCTTTAAATAAATTGCGCTAGGGAATGTCCGGACTTGTAACGGAGTGGTAACTGTTAATTTTCTGTCATTTCGAATCATTAAGGAAAGCTTTCTCTCGTGTGCGCTTATTGTCATAATTAAATATTATATTAAGGCATTAACATGCCATTTGATTCCAACCAATACTGATAAATTTTGGTATAGAGATGAATGGAATCTAAGTGAAGGATATAGGTTACAAAAATAAATATTCAAGGACGTGAAATAGTGGATGAAAGTTTGTACGGGGAACCAATAAAATTATGAAAATTAATGTGCAGTAAGCTACCAGAATTACTCATTCTACGCAGAATTTTAAATCACACTGTTTTGGAAAAGGCGTCATATTTATTATATACTAAAATTGATATCCCTTTGCAGGCGGAAAAACTACACAAATCAGTGAACATGCTACTTGAATGGCTTTCCGATGCTGAAACTAAACTCCGATTCTCCGGCCAACTACCTGAAGGAGATCAGGAAACCCTGCAACAGATAAGAGAACACGAGAGATTCATCCGCGAGCTCAAGGAGAAGCAGAGAGATAAGGATGATACGATTACTCTGGCTCATTCCATCTTGGGCAAGGCACATCCTGATGCTGTCACTGTTATAAAACACTGGATTACAATCATTCAGAGCAGATGGGACGAGGTAAGCTTTGTTAATTTTTTAATCTAAAATAATCTCAAATAATGCTATAATAGCATATTGAAAGATGTACATAAACTGCGTGCAGCGAAATGCGGTGGCGTGTGTTCGCCCGCACTCTAGCGACATTTTTTAATACACCGATTTAACTTAACTGCCTCCGTGGCCGACGGGTTTCCATACTGGGTTGCTACGCAGAGGTTCCGGGTACAAGTCCCGGGACGGAAGAAATATTTGTGTAACCTACATTTATATCCCTCGTGAGTTTGGATGTAATTTGTGGTTATCTATATGTATAATAATGTGTCCATGGCACCCGCCATAAAGGTACACGGTAGTGCTGGGAAAATTACTCTTTTTCGTAACTATATAACATCACGAAATTAAGTAAGGTAACAGATAACTAAAAATATCAATAAACGGAAACAAGTTTTACAATTCTGTAAATATTTTTTGATAACATAGACAAATCCTTCCGTCACAATCTTATGATTTGTTACATTTAGTTATCGATCAATTTGTTAAAGACATTATCTTATCAAGAAAAAAGATATCTTTATTTTTATTATTCAATAAATTGCAGGCGGTCAATTGCGATTGTATTGTGTTACGTCATGTTTTATTATACTTAAATTATTTTATATTGAATGTTTTGATAATTTTGTTCTTAAGTATATTTTGTATAACAGAGACATAGTGTTAAGAACAGTGAAAATGTACACAGCACAAAAACAAACTTCCAATAGATTCATGGTGTCAGTTTTTCCAATGATACGGGTGTTCACTAAAGTAACACCCGGACAGGTAATTTATTTTTTATTCGTTTTAATTTAAAGCTTATAATTAATAATATAAAACAATGTACACAAAAACAGAATTTTCGCACATAGTGCTGTCGTCATTTTTTTTTTAAGATGTTGGTGATATAATTCCTGGTCAATATTATCACAGTCAACATACTAAACGTATTTAACGTATTTAAACCTTCATTGCTAATCAATATGGTCAATAACCATAAAAAAGTTATGGGAAAAAACTTATTTATTATGTAACTTTTTTACTTGACTTTTTAGCGCTTCAGCCTCGTTAGAACAATTATCACCACTAGGGTAACAATTTAATTATGAAAAAATCATAATTAGAAATGAAACAATTTTTTTTATCTAAAATCGACAATTAAACATTCCGACGTGACCGTGGAACCTGCAAAGAGCGGGCTCTAAGGGTCGTATTCCAGAACTCTACTCAATGCTCAAGTCAGGATTTGAGCAGACTTGAGTATGATTTCAAGGACTGGAAATACCCTAATGGCAAGGATTTGAGTACGATTTTCAGTGCTCACTACAATACTCAAGTCAGACTTCAGTATTGAGTAGAGTTCTAGAATACGACCCTTAGACTTAGGTTTTTTAAACAAAAAAAACAAGCGAAAATCTGGGAACTCATTAATTCCTAATTACTTGGTACTTGGTGTAACGGGCTGGTGTCCGCAACTCGACATGAAGGCGCCTATTTTGCCTAATACCTAATTAACTTAGTTTATTTCCCTTAAGGAAATTTTTAACCGACTTCAAAAAATGGAGGAGCTCTGAATTCGACTGTATGTTTTTTTATATATGTTACGCAATAGCAATTTGTGAACCGATTTTAATTATTTTTTTTTTGTTGAAAAGAGGGTATCTCAGTAGTGGTCCCATTTAAATTTTAAGAAAATATTCTAACTCTAAGGGTAGCTAACTAGGGGATGAATGAGTTTTGAGGTCGGTTTTTTTAGTACTCTGTACTGAGATTATAGTTGATAGTAATCACGATGATAATTAACTTTTAAGATAATTTAATTGGTAATCAGTTTTGCAAAATGTTGGCAGTCTTCGGATATTTGTACGAGTAATAAAAATTTTCTTCCGTGTAAAATAATTTTTTTTATCCAACTTATTTGTTGTCTTTGTTGTAATGGTTACGATCACCAGTTGTTGACAATAATAGTTTCGCACCTGTTGTTACACGCTGTTTATGCCTTAAGAAAGTTGTTACCGTTACAGTGGTGATGCAATGTTGTTACACCTTGGAAAAGCTGTTCAATTTTGCAGTGTATGGTGCGTGCTTCGTTATTTTACATACGTTTCTCTATTGTTAGGTATGGCAATGGGCCATGCAACGCGGCAGCAAGCTGGAGACGCACATGCAGAGCTTGAAGGACCTCGACCTTGTGCTCGAAGAGCTGCTTCAGTGGCTCATTGGATTAGAGAACACCTTGCTGTGTAAGTACATCATATTCTTTGTTTAGATTTGAGAGAATGAATGGAAGAAGATTGACGAGCCAGATTTATAAGGCGAGTGTTCGCGCCGATGAAACGAACTGACCATGTCGGGGTCACATGTCAAATGTCGTAACTCAAAATATGCTAAAATGGTGGAATTGAAGACTCGATTGAAAAATAGAAAATAATACCGAATGGAACCAAAAAAATTATGTTCTCGTATAAAACTGGATAGCTAAATATTTTGCTTAAACAAAAGTAATCCTATTATTCGCAATAAGATCATTTTTAAGAACATTTATGTATGTATATATGTGTATGTGTGTGTGTATGTGTATGTGTGTATGTCGTAACTCAAAATATGCTCAAAATGGTGGAATTGAAAAGACTCGATTGGAAAATTGAAAATAATACCGAATGGAACCAAAAAAATTATGTTCTCGTATAAAACTGGATAGCTAAATATTTTGCTTAAACAAAAGTAATCCTATTATTTGCAATAAGATCATTTTTAAGAGCATTTATGTATATATATGTGTATGTGTGTGTGTATGTTATATATATATGTATATATATAAATAAATATGAGCTTTACACAGTATTTAATAACAACAATAGTGGTGTGACATAAAAGGGACTGTACCTCAGCATAATGGCGGAGTGTTTCTAATATTCTGCTACAGATTGCCATGTTCATAAAAAAAGAAGAACTAACACATCCTATGATTCTAAGATTGAAAGCAGATTATAAAAATAAATCTTGTTTTCTCTATTTCACCATTTTTTAGTTACGACAATTTGTGGTTTAATGTGCAAAATGTTGAGTATATTGCTTCGAATTGGCGGGAGCTCTTCAATAATAACATGACACAAATGAAGAATTTTCATTTTATTCAAAATAATGTTTGAAAATTCAGAGGACAAATTCAAAAACAAGCGCTATCTGCTGGCGATTTTTTTCGAAGTTATTTATTTCTTCAAATTCATTCAAGGACAAGTTTATCTGGATTAGTCGACATATGACCTAATCGCAAAATGACCTGTAGTCGTAAAAATACGTAATCGTGGTAGGCCTCATTCTGAAAATGCCTTATTCGGGAAGTACCCTATTATACTTAAGACTTATCTTAATATTCTGGATCTGTGTCGCTAATCTATCTTGCTATTTCACAGCACTGGAAGCGGAACCCCTGCCCGAATCAATCGAGCTACTTGAAGGCCTGATCGAGGATCATAAGGAGCTGATGGAGCATACTCAAAAACGACAGACCGAAGTCGATCGTGTTTGCAAGGCTTATCAGGTTTGTTTGTGACTTTGTCGCGTTTTTGTAATAAGCAGATATCGGAATTGGTAGAAGTGAACATAAAATCGACAATACCTCCCTGAAATCCAACATTATTGTATTGTATTTTGTTCTATGTTTTGTTACGGTATTTAAACAGTTGTGTAATTGTAAGTAAGAATACAACTATTTTGTTTTGATTTTATACCTTGTATTTCTCAACATTCTGGTTCTGAGGTTCTAGAAAGAAGTGTTAACCACTCTATTTTGTATCATTTGAAATCCAAAAATTTTCATTGCCTCTTCCGATTTCTGAAAATAACAGTTAAATAAATAAAAATAAAAATCCTTTCTGCAAGTCGCTGTTATTAAGCTCAGAAAATAACTGTGTACGATAAAACTAAACGATTGGGAAACGTGTGAAGCCGGGGTAGAGTATTATAGCCTAATCCCTCGCCTGAGACGAGACCCTTACCCAGCAGTGGGACGTGGTATATAGGTTGACGTTGTTATTGTTTTGTATTACTTGAATTGAAGTTTACGTTTAAAACTTCTGTAGCTCTCAACTAATAACTATCCCCCGGTTTTTTCGGTGTTTGTTATGATTAGTCCAGAGCGTCAAACGACCGAGTTTTTTTATGATACCAATTGACGGAACGAACACGCCTTGTGGTTTTTTATCATAATATCATGTGACGGGACGAGCAAGTCGTGTGCTGGTGGTAAGCTACACGCCTGTCCATAACAGTTGCAGTGCCACTCAGAGCTTTAAATCACAAAGACAAAACGCACTGCCAATGCGCCCGTCATCCTGAGACATAAGGTGACAAGTTCCATGTGCCTGTAATTTCACCAGCAACCTTGCCCATCACAATCGAGACTTTGAAGTTGCTGGGCGACAGAATAAAGTGGCAATACTTCCCTGGACGAACTCTTTCACAAGTCCAGGGAAGTACTGCCACCTTACCTAATTCTACCGTCAAGCAGCAAGGGTGCTGGTGAAATTACAGGCACATGGGACTTATCAACTTATGCCTCAGGGCAGTAACCCTAAGATATTTGCGATTTAAAGTTTTGAGTGCCATTGCAACTGTTATGGATAAGCGTGTCGCTTACGACCAGGCGCACGACTTCTTCGTCCCATCACTAGGTTTTATAAAAAAATAAAAAAGTCATAGTACCAGTTTTTAGCCTAGTACGTCGTTTGTATGAGGTGCTGACTTATTGGACTTTATGTCTATGCAGGTATGGTTCTTCTGAATAGAACTAATCACCTTTTGTGCTCTACAGGTCAAGAGTCAAAGTCAGGGAAGGGAAAGTACTCCAAGAAAAGTTTCCGCCAAAACTGCTACCAAGGGACAAGCTGGGTATGTAAAGCTTTACATCTCTTTAAAAACTGTAGCGTCCTTTTAAAGTTTATTGCATAGGTTTATATTTAGACTTTTTATTTATGTTCCTTTTTTAAAGAAAAACAAATTGTGTTCCATTATTATTCACAATCATTTTTTGTTTGACCATCCATTTTCATTCATTTGTTTTTTCGTTCCTTTTCTCCCGCACGTGTACACCGCCACATTACGACGTCATTGCATGGTGTTGCTTCTGTGTTGCCATGTGAAAAATTATAGCCGTGGATCGCAACATGATCTCAACAGGGAAAGATCAGTGTCACCAGATTATTATGGCTCGAGACGGTACAGGTGTGTTATTAAGTTCATTTCCCCGCCTATTCTCAATGTTCCGTTATTTACCAACGTTCTAAAATTTAAATTTACTTTCTTTTTAATTTTAAATATTGCCAGTGTCAAATATTTCGCTTTTTGTTAATATTTTTTATTCACTTGTTAAAAATTAAAGTTAATACTATTTCATGGTGGAATTATAACATTCATCAAGCTTTCGTTGTGTGTAACTCTAAAACAAAAATTTCGGAATATGATACACATATGCGACACAGTAATAAGTGCATGTGTTAATATTAACTGGTTTTATTAACACTTAGTTTTATAAACTAATATGAAATGAACGCAGTTACGTTTTGTGAAAAATATGCACGAAAAGTTTTTCCGATTACAATTATATTTAGTTTTGTCTGTGTATATCATAATCTGACACCATAACTACTAAATTTGCTTTGTCTCGCTCTAACTTGTGTAAATGTGCTTTTGTCTCGTCTATGTCCCATCTCACTCGCACGACGCACAAGGTCCAGGATACACAGTCGAAGTAGGAAAGGAAGGTTTGATGTCTTTTTAATTGTTTAAGTTTGTTTGATGGCTGTTAGTGCTTTTTTTAAAGTGGCATCAGTATTTCGACTGCAGAATTTGAATCCAAGGTCGCCGAATAAATTTAAAAAAAACTTTATGTTACTACTCTATTGTCTTTAGAAGTCTCTTGGAAATACCGCACATAAATAAAATACTGTCCTAACTCGAAAATGATGGAATTGAGAAATCTCGATGTAAAAAAAATATTAAACGCATCTTATTGCGAATAGTGCGATTATTTTTATTGATACATTATAATTTGTTATCCTATTAATAATATTTATAAACGAGAATATTGAATTTATTGGTACCATTCAGTAATTTCAAATCGCGTTTTCTCAATTCCAACATTTTTTACTTATGACAATATTTGGTTTCATTTGCGACGTGTTCAGATAACAAAGCACCTTTAAATTGATGCTACTTTTGTATGTGTAGTTTCAATGTAGTGATGAGTGTGTATTTTAGTAGCATGAAAAAAATAATCAGGCTTTAATATATTGTCTCTCTCCTATTTTACATTTGTGACATAACAGAGTAAAACGTATAATCATAATACGTTTTGTTTTATAACCTAGTATTCTCAACTTGTCTTATATTTTTTATAAATGAACCTCATTGATAAAACTGGTTTGACGCGAGCTACAGCTCAATGTATCTAAACCAGAAATAGGCAGTAGATTAAAAACCATTCCGCCCGTCTGGGATTTTACAAAAAGCGCTCGGCTTTAACCAATTACTTCTCTCCACGAGGAAACTGTTACATGTGTTAAATAATTAATAAATTTGGATGTAAAAAATTTTTTTTGACAATTTAGAAAGAATCCCACCATCGCGAACCCGTGAATTCTCACGTACTGCGTTGGATAATCATATAATAATTATTACAAGAGCAACATTAGCAACGCAATCTCAGTAATCTTTATTTCATACTTAAATTGAATATTCATCGATAGAATAGCCATTTTCTCCGTCTTCAAAAAAGACGGGCTATAGTTACAACAGGAGAGGTACAATCTTACATCTATGTTATACGTTTAGATCATAACATTACGTTAAGTACCTAGTATATTAGATAGTATTTCATTATTCATCCCATGAAACATGCTTTCTATTTATGCCTTCAATAATTTTTAATATTTATTAGTTTGTTTTTAATTTAAAATTTTTCTTCGTTATTTTCTTCCATAGCAGTCAATTTGGATTCGATTATAATAGGTAAATTTTACGTTATATAAAGTGCACTTTTTTTAAGTATTTTTTGTGTACATTTTATGCACAAAAACGTCTGGCTGTAAATTTTATTGACGCTCGTGTGTGCAAAAACAAAATAAAAGAATTTTTGTAAAAAAAATCGTTACCATTACTTAATTTTTTGTTTTAGTTTTAAGCAGATGGTCTCGTAGCCAAAGCTCAATAAATAAAATTTAAAAAAAACTGATTCGTTCTTACTCGAAATGGTCTTAAAAGCCATGGAGAAATCAGCTTAATTCTCCACTTACTACAACCCGAGTCCGTATTTTTTCCGCGGTGTTGGTCTATATATACGTTCTCGTTAAATATAATATTTCTTCTCATCGTTACATACACACCCTTTTACTACCTACAGCAGAAATTTCAAATAACTTAAACATTAAAATCAACCAAAATCTCGCACTGCCCTAGCTGAGCCTACTTACTAATATCGAAACTTACTTTACTAACTCCACATTAGCAGTAACTAAATAAGAATAATAAATAAATAATTAGTGCCTGTCAGTATTGGTATTTTGTCTTTTGCATTATTAGCCCTATTATTGGCAGTGTCAAAAATAGAATTATGAATAGGAAATAACACAGTTTTTTTGGATACAAATCACCTGCTTGTTTTTTTAAACAAACCAGAGTTTCGGGCTCTTTACAAGACCCATGGTTACCCGAAACGTTGGTTTGTTTGAAAAAACAAACATACGCGATTTAAATCCGTAAAAGTAGTTTCATTTCCTATGTGTAACAATCGCGGAAACCAAAAAACTCGATAAAAATTATAAATAGTTAATAACCTTGGCAGTGTCAACAACGGAATCACAAACGACAAACCAGAACTGATAGTTACTTAAAAATATTATAGCAATAACTTATTTCTAAACTAGAAATTACTAACTCTAAATTGGCAGTGTCTAAAACTGAATTAAATGACTAAACTAGCATTGGCATGCCTAAAAAGGATTTTTTTGTAACTAATTTCTGCTCGGTTGTGGTGTGTTGCCCTTCGTGTGATTATATCATTGACTATGTGTAGTCGGGTGAGTCCCGGTCGCGAGACGCCTGATCGCAATCTGCCGCACTACGGGCCCCGGTTCCCGCCGAAGGGAAGGTAAGGCTTCGTAAGCTGTTACTTGCCGTAAGTAAGGGCTCCAGGAATACAAAAGAACCGAGACTTCCCACTATGGCTTTGGCGCCAAAATTTAAGATTTTTTAATTAGCTCTATTTATTTTTTCATATACAGTGAAAAGTGAGATTCAAAAGTAAATTTATTATCGTTTTGAACGGAATTATAAACTACTAGAGTTCATAGAAATACTGCACAGAATGTTAATTCTCGGACTACTGTTCACTACCTATCTACTTGTCGTGGCAATTTTATTTTTTTAATATTCAAGTATATTATCGTGTAATTTTTTTAAAATATTTTACGATACAGTACTTGAATATTAAATAATATTGCATGATAAAAAAATCGAATACTTAAATAATAAAAATTGCCACCGAAATTAGGTAGTGAAGTCCGAGAATGACCGTTTAGTTCAACTCTTCTGTATTACAAACCACACACACTTCCACCTACGAAATAACTACATAAAAGAGTCATAAAAATGAAATAAACATTCCTAAACAATAATAACAAGAGTGTTGCCGTATTTATATAATTATACTTGTAGGACAAATCAATATTAATTTATAAAGTAAACATGTTGTGAATTATCACTATTTTTCGCATAATAATAATAGTATATCAAAGTCTCTTCCTGGAGGTCTTACAGTTTCTCTATAAACGCTTATAAAAAAGATCAATGTATAAAACTTTGTCATAAACTCGTCGAAATATTGCAATAATCAATTCTGGAAAGTTTTCGGATGATGACCATAGACATCCGTAGCTTCTGCCAAATTATTGGGGCTAGCTTTTTGCATTTGCCAGGTTTTGAAAGCTGTGAATATTTTTGCGTGCGGAACTATGCATTTGTTATTAGATTTTTTCAGGTGAAGAATTTTTGTCTATGGAATGTAGTTTTTAAATTGTTCCTTGAGAAGTGCAGTAGACTGCGAGTAGTTTAATATACTGTTGCATGTAAATTTTTAGTCGAAATGTAGGTAGTATAGTATTTTATACAGATTTAGTAATTTTACACATTTGTAAATCTATGGCTAAAATTTCATCAACCGATACACATTTTATAAGTTCTATATTGTTTATGACATAAGCAGTTTCAGGATCGTATTCCAGAACTCTACTCAATGCTCAAGTCAGGACTTGAATATGATTTAAAGCACTAGGAATCATACTCAAGTCCTTGCCATTAGGGTCGTATTTCCAGTGCTTGAAATCATACTCAAGTCCTGACTTGAGCATTGAGTAGAGTTCTGGAATACGACCCTCAGAGGTGAATGGGTAATTGTCAAGTTCGTTGTCTTTACTTAATTTCGGTGGCAACTTTTATTATTTAAATATTGTACAATATTATTTAATATTCGAGTGTAGTAACCTAAAATATTGTTTAATATTTACGATAATATACTCGAATACTTAAATAATAAAAATTGCCACCGAAATTAGGTAAAGAAAACTAACATGCAAATTACCCAAATATAAAAAAAAACTTATTACTTTTTTTAAACAAAAATAGCAAAGGCGCCGAGCCAGAATTCCGCAGTCCTCGCGTGAAGCAACTGTGGGACAAGTGGCGCAATGTATGGCTGCTCGCGTGGGAGAGGCAGCGTCGCCTGCATGAGCGCTTGGCGCACTTGAAGGAGCTGCAGCGTGTATCCAACTTCAGCTGGGACGACTGGAGAAAGAGGGTGAGGGCATAAACTACATTAGCGATGGGTTTTATTTACGTGATTCAGAATCAAAACACTTATAATATTAATCTTATAGAATATCACGAATCACGATGTTCTACTGCGTCTGTGGCTGTACGGTTACCATGCTGATCAGCCACGCACCTGGTTCAATTCCCGTGCCGGGAGAAATATTTGTATGGCCTACAGTTATTTCTCTCCTGAGTTTGGTTGTAATTTGTGGTTGTCTATGTGTCTTTCCATGGCACCAGCGACACAGAGTTTCCTTAGTGCGGGGCTATGAGTGTGTGCATTATTTGTTATTTATTTTACTACCATGATGTTCAATTATTTTAGTTATTAATACAAAGATTGAACACAACGAAAATCAATACATAGTACTAAAAAACCGACCTCAAATGTCATTCATCCTTTAATTTGCCACCCTTAGAGGTGGAATATTTTCTTTAAATTTAAATGGGACCACTTCTGAGGTCTTTCCAACAAAAAAGAATCATCAAAACCGGTTCACAAATGGAGTTGTCGCGTAACATACATAAAAAAAACATTCAGTCAAAGAAAAAGGGAAATTAATGTGAATTAAGAAAAACTTTCATAGATTTCTCACAGACTACATCTGCAACAAGAGAAAGTTGTAGCCATTACGTAGCTATTTTTTCAATGTAGCTAATAATAGTGCATAAGCACTCCTGATCTCGCACAGTGATTTCTTTTACATTCGATTTGTGTCGAAATTGACCACATGGGTTACTACAAGCACCAATCTCATTCTCATTTCGAAGTATCAAAGCGAGTATAATTTTAATTTTAAATAAGAAAAATGTAATGTAAAAAAATGTCTTTGCCTCCAGTTCCTCAAGTTCATGAACCACAAGAAGTCCCGTCTGACAGACCTATTCCGCAAGATGGACAAGGACAACAACGGCCTGATTCCCAGAAACGAATTCATTGATGGCATAATTAACACCAGTAAGTTATCATTTCTTCTTTGGATTTGTTTCAACAAGTCAATTTGTATGTGGTATGGTTCCGTCGTTTTATGCGACGGTTCCGCCAACGTCAGTGTTACAAGAATCATTGCTGTGAAAGTGAATTATGGGAGAAATTGATGGTTATTGAAACATTTTAGCGGTTATTAAAAGAGCTATGAAGATACCATTGTTGTTATTGAAAGGTTTTTGTGTGGGTCCGAATAAGTCTTTGCTTAGTATTTAGTTTTTAAAAAAGCAGTAGCAGCAGTAGAGCTCCTTGTGAGAGAGTTCGTCCAGGGAAGTACTGTCACCTTACCTATTTCTGCCGCCAAGCAGTAATGTCAGCATTACTGCGTTCCGGTTTTGAAGGGTAAGGGTGCTGGTGAAATTACAGGTCCATGGGACTTTTCATCTTATGTCTCAGGGTGATGGGCGCAGTGGCAGTGCCCCTCAGATCTTTGCGATTTATAGTTCTAGAATTATAGAATGGCACTCTGACTGTTATGGTCTGGCGTGTCGTTTACCATCAGGCGCACGACTTGTTCTTTTCTTCACTTAGTATCAATTGAGCATCTGCAACGCTACTTACTAGCCTCTGCGTCAAGCAGCTTCTATAACACCTCCTCTTTTTCAGAATTCGACACATCTCGTCTCGAGATGGGTGCCGTTGCCGACTTGTTCGACCGCAACGGCAGCGGACTCATCGACTGGGAGGAGTTTATTGCAGCCCTCAGGCCTGATTGGGTAAGATACTGGTTTTTTGTTACTAACCCAAACCGCACATTATTCCTATCGTTTAAAGAAACTTGTTTTCCGAATTTTGGAAATACATTTTTTTACTACTTAAGAGTACCTCAAATGGCTTCAGTTGATTCCGCATAACTGTGAGTGTTGAATCAATCACATATATATATATATATATATATATAATAACGCATAGAAACCTAGTCCGCACACGCTAAGTGAGGCAAATTGAAGCGCGCCCAATGGGCATACACGAGCGGGCGGGCCAGTACTCAAGGTCAACTTGCACTGCGAACAGATCAAGAATTTTAGCTAAAAATGACGAAATGTGCTGTAAATGAGTGAAAAAATACGTCAGACAAACATAAAATAGATACTAACATCACATTCCACAAGGAAGTAACGCGTTTCAACTTGTATTTTTATATAAATATTCACTAAAACCGAAAATTAACCTACTACTAAAACTAGCCTACATGAATTTGATTTTTGCCTCACTTGTGACAGTTCGTTTGATATGAAACTATCATTCTATGCGTTATTATTCTAAGTATATATATATATATATATCATAATTGAATATCAATTCAATAAAAAAATTCAATACATTAAATAGCGACATCTTTAGCCGAGGCTGGTAGCTGTAAAGGTATCTAACTAGGTGACGAAATATCATAGATTTCTCTTAGATGGCGCTACGGCTAAAAAGTCGTTGAAAAACCAAATACAAAGATACGACGCAAGCAATAGAAAAATTCGTGAGGTCCGCTGGTTCGTTCCATGGCTTAGATATAGCGTCTGGCACGGTATGCTAGAAGACGTCGGAACGAATCCGGCCGGATCGATGGAATTTTTTCTTAGTGTTCGATCTTTGTATTAATAATTATAACAAACTAGTGGAGTAATTTCACAAAAAATAATTGAATATCAATTCCATAAAAAGTTTAAAAAAAAAATAGTACAGTCAAGAGCAAGTCAAGCTTGACACTTTGTACTTTGGACCGTTCTTATCGTAAGCGGCATAGAGTTTGATTTAAGTCTTAGGTGTCAAGTTTGACGTGCTCTTGACTATACAATTGAGGATATACACTGATTACTATACAGTGTGAAAACACAATTCCTAAAAATTTTCACGAAAAAAAAACCACAAACTTACCTCGAAATTTTACAAGAAAACCACTGTATTCAATATGTAATTTACATATACCAATGATTTTTTTATATCAACTGAACTAAATATAAATCGTATAGTATACTATATATATTTATCAAATGGATTTAATTTCGTTTGTAAAAAAATAAATACTGAATGGGAAAAGTTTTATTCGAGCTAAGGTAGTATTCGACTCTTAGTAGTTATAAGCTCTTCAATAGAGGAAAGTGGCTTCGGAGTTAATTTTTTACTTTCTACGCTGGTGTTCATAGTACAGAGCATTTCCTAATTTGATAGCAGTTGATTCATGTGAATGGTTGGTACTTTATTATTATTAAAAAAAAGGTTAATAAAAGCTCGGAAAACTAAATTAAAAATGAGCATAAACAAATTATGAATATTACTACGTCACCTCTTTTTTCCTTGGCTTTTCGCGGCTAGAGTTTCAGCCACTTATTTGTTTTTAAAACTTATAACAATAATGAAATTTGGAAACGGTATTAGGAAAGTGGAGAAAGAGAGTATGAGATATAAATAAACAATTAGTACATAATATACATATAATAGGAATACGGAAACGACCGAATAAAAAACTGAAAGTTCCGAAAAATTTTCATCTTCCGAAAATTCTTTTTGCGTAGTACTGTGATTAGAACACAGGACAGGGTTTTATAATACTGCCAACTCTGACGTCCGGGTCAATGTATAACTAACTTTTCAATATTGTCTCGGGTGTGGGTGTTCGTAGTTTCCGATTTTCATAACACATGCGCTATAGCTACTAACTTTGGGACCAGAGCATGTGATGTTGTCTAATATTTATGTAATAATTATTAATTTTGTCGGTAAATTTTTTGTTTTTTTTTTATATTTTAACGCAACTTATTTAGTTTTACACAGTACAGTTTTAGTGTTTTTCGGAAGGAACCTTTTATTACTTTCTTTAAAAAAAAGCTGATGCTGTTATGTATGGCAAGTGGAAGTTCTTCGCTTGAACGATACTAGTATTACTAGGTTTATTTACTATATCGAATCTGAAGTACGTGATAACAAAACACCGAGGAGTGGCTGATTGACTGATTTTAACGAAACCAAGAATCCAGAGCCACACCTTTATATCATTTCACACTTGTCACGTTTCCGTATCATTAATGTGGTCTCGACGCGCATATCCCGTGACAACAACGTAAACAGATCGATTATGATTTACACAACGCAAAAATGATACAAATGTAGGCTTGGCCTTAGTTACTTGCACCGGTGTTGCCAGATTGCCCTATTTTTGACAGAAATAGAATATGTATACAGTTATCTGCTTATTGCAATAGATATAACTTTTATCAAAATTTTATCTTAAATTATCTGAAGCATTTTTGTAACTATTGATATTTTTTCTTGCATCATTGGATAACATAAAGGCGGCGAGTTTAGTGAGTATTTTTGGCAACTTTGGAAACTAGTTTGTTTTTACTTTTAATTAAAAAGGTACTGCCTCCAGGGTTGACGGTGCTTTTTTTTATTAATTATCAGACTTTTATCACTGACGTATTTCTAAGAAATTTAGTTATAAACATTTCATGAGGCAGTATACCGTTTGAGTAGCTTTTGATATTTTAATTAACAAAAATACGTTCTTTTTTTTTAAACTCATTATAGTCTATGTACAGTACTTTAATGAAATTTGTCAGTTCAGTGGCGAGTACCATAGACAATAGAATATTGATTCAGAACTAAAAAGAGCGCCTTTAAGACATGGTCTATGAAATTATAATTATCAGATTAAAGGAGTAGAAAAAAAAAAATTTTAAATAACCAATATACAACGTTTAAATAAAAAATCCATTGATCTTTTCCTTATTTCGGCTTCGATTTTTAAAAAATTCGATTTAAACAAGTACCAGGAGAATATAAATCAATAAGAGAAATGTTTTTTTACACCAGGTGGAACGCCGTGGACCGCCAACAGATGCCGACAAGATACACGATGAGGTGAAGCGGCTAGTTATGCTGTGCACATGCAGGCAGAAATTCCGCGTCTTCCAAGTCGGCGAGGGCAAATATCGGGTGAGTATTTGCAGTTCGAAATTTAAACTTTAATTATCATTGTTATTCAGAATTTTGTTAGGGTAGGTAACAGCAAATATAACTTGGATTGTAACGAAAAATTGAATGTAGTTTTCTTATTATTGAAGCGGTAATTTTTTCACAGTTTCATAGATTCCACTTTTATTATTTTAAACTTGAATTTAATGTCTTTAAAAAAGTTTTCTGACCATTTTGTAGCTTTTTGCGTGGGTGAGTTTTTAAATGTTGCTATAATTTATTAATAAAAAAATATGTATTTAGATACCAACAGGAAAAAACGCTATTTCTACACGAAACCAAATACTAACTCCAAACTCCAAATTGGTGGTATTGAGAAGACACGATTTGAAAAATAAAAAAATACTGAATGAATATCCTTATAAAAACGAGGATATAAATTTGTTGGTTTCAATTAGTAATTTTTAAAATTTCAAATCTAGTTATCTCAATTCCACCGATTTTGAGTTACAATTGTATTTGGTTTCACGTGTGATTCATTAAACATATTATTTGCTTTCTTTACGTGTATTGTTAAGTTTGTAAGGTAAATAAAATAATTTTAATTTCAATCAAAATTCATTTTGCTGAAAAATAGCCAAGTTCTGACGGTCATTGTTATTTTACCAGTTCGGAGATTCACAAAAGCTGCGCCTTGTGCGTATCCTGCGCTCAACTGTGATGGTGCGCGTCGGTGGTGGCTGGGTGGCTCTCGACGAGTTCCTCGTCAAGAACGACCCTTGCCGAGGTATGTATTATTGTTACAAACGTCCTTGGAAAATGTTTCGTGGAACAAAGTCTTATGGAAAACTTTCACAGCACCTCTGTTACCTCGAGAACTTCACCGCCACTATCGCTGGTATCTACACGCTTTAAGTGCTCCATAAGATATTTGATCAAGATATAAATTAACGAAGTTTTCACGCCCGTCTACACTTTCTTTATAAGTCAGTAAAAAGTTTTATTTTCTTGTAAATAAACACAATTTTCTTTTTCAAGTGGAATTTGATTACTTATGAAACAAAGACATTTGATTTGAATGGAAGTAAATATTTTGTTTGGCACTTCAAAAAGTTTGGTCGGGCAAATTTTCAGATATTCCACAATGAATTGCGAAAGAAATTTTTAAGAGATATATATTTTCAGCTGTTATTTAAACTATTTAGCAATAATAGTTTTAATTTTAAATTAGTAGAATAACCTTACAATTTCTTTCGCATTGTGAGGACAATTTCTATTGAATCTTGGCGGTACACTACCGTGCTCGCAGACATAGAAGTTTCGTTATATTTGCAAGTACCGAATATGATAAAAACTGAAAACTATTGTTTAGAAATGTGATAGTTGCATTAATAACAAGAGCGTTTTTCTGCTTTTAATTGCAATACTCAATGAAATAAAACGTCTATTTAAACAAAAAGTTACATTGCAGAAAAATGCTGCTGAAATGAAAATCTACTTTCAAATTTAAATTGGAAGTCTGAGCTATTTACACATTGTGAATAATATTATGGTGTCATAATTACTTTAATAGAAAATAGTAAAATGGAATTTCAATATATGGAATATACATTTAGATTAGTTTAAATAGAATTTCAACTAAAGTTTCTGAATAAATTTTCCATTTTACAATTTTCTTGAAATGCAGCCAAGTACAAATAACTCAAGTTTTAAATATTATGACCAAATAGTGTATCTGTAATTTTTTATGGAGAACTTGGCTCCATTTCACAAGTTTTATTACAGAATATTTTATTATGTGTTTTATATTCAAAGTGTCAATCAAACGTTACGGGATTACAAATAATATAACAAATATTTATTGTGTTTAACCCAATAACTTGGGAACCTAACTTATGACGTCATTAACATAGGTACTAGGTACTTTTTAGGTTAGAGGCCAATATTTTCTAGAAAATATTCGCCCCTGCGTGTTTTAACAAAAATAACAATCTCGTAATCAATATTTATTGAATTAAAATTTCTAACATACAATTCTAAAAGCTACTCGATTATAAAAATTACATTTAAACTTATCAATTATCGGAAACAGAAGTTGTGCTGAAAAATACACCGTACAAAACCTACACTTAAAGAGTTCTAAATTTATAATTAGTAAATGCAAGATTATATTATTAAGTAGAAAATTATATAAACCAAAATTATCACAGAAATATTAAAATGGCAAACACTAACATCTAAGTCTAAAACGCGTTTATTTCTGGAAGCACAGTCTAAAATCAAGGTCGAAAAACCCGTTCTCTAAATGACTCACGTAAACGCAGTAATGTAGGCGTTGATACAGTCATACAAAACGAATTTGGAATCGTATGATTTATACTTATGTTATGTACACCAATCCTTTTAATTTAATTTCAATTTTGTTTGTTAAATTTCTGTAAATTATTTCAGTACAAAACTGCTTTAAAAACATTGTTGAAAACACCTGGCACAATATTAACAAAAGTAGTTTTTAGTAAAAGCTATGATTGAAGTACAAAGTTTTGTTCATATTCACATTCACAGATAACTGTTCTGAAGTACCTTTGCGTAATATGAAACATTTAGGGAGTGTCTTAAAAGTCAATAAGCTAAAACTAACACAGATAACAAATCTAAATATGGGACTTCCCATTCTAAAATTTTAATGCAAAAATACTGTTAAATACTTTAGAACTGTGACATAATAAATAAGACAAAAATGTATTAATCAAATCTATATAAATCTACATCTTCTATGTTCTATGATGGTTCTGTTATTCAACACAATGATTCATTAAAGAAGGCCTGGGATTTGAATTTAGTGAAAACACCATTGTGTGCCATTTATAGCTTCTTCATGCTTTGATAATGTCCCAAGTAGTGAAAAGTGACTTTGCAATGGTTCAAGATCTGATATGACAGCAAATAGTATGTTTTTAATCAATCGTAGCCTTCCTAATAAAGGAAGTCAAGGAAGAAATCTCACTGGTGGACCTCTCACTTGGTAAAGGACTGAACTCCATCTCCTCCCTCAAGTTTTGAGTATCAGATGTATTCTCATTCACTGGCCAGCGTTTGTGACTAGGCGCATATAAAACCAGTAAAGCAAAAATGTAAACGTTCCACATTCCATAGACGCCAGTGAAAAATGCCGAGGTGTACTCCAATTCAAGGTTCTCATCCCACTTCCATTGGCCTTCCGCAACTTGTCCCAAAATGAAGCCAATTACAGTCATTGCGGCACATAAGAGTGTTGCCAACATCAAGAATTTGAACCGGTAAATGGTTCCCTCATAGTGCAGACGTCTCACAGAACACATCGTCGGCAAAGATTGACGTTTAGTGGAAATATTCTTGAAAACCTGCCAAATCATGTAACACAAAAATAAGAAGTAGATCCCGGTACATATTCCTGCCAGTATTATAAAGGTTAATGCCATATTTGTACCCATATCAGTCACCCAAATTGAATAGAAAGGGTTACGTAGTTGCACACCCCGCTCACACATATCAAAGATGAATAGAGAGATACAGCCCATGGCTACAGCACTTAAATGACGCCAGTACTGATTCAATGAACTCAGAGCCGATGTATCTTGGATTAACATGTGTTCCCCAGCAAAAACTAACCAAAACGAAAACAGCATCGCATAGAAAACCCCTTGTCTTATATCCCCAAGTAGTAACATAAAGGGTAGATCAAAAATAAGGGATAAGTACTCTAAAGGCATGTTTAAAAAGCACAAAGCAATGCCCAAACTGAGAAGCATCTTTTCCAACAACACAGGCTTCCGTTGCAACAAATGAATTCGCCTCCAGAACCAAATTAAAATACAAACAATACACGGAAAGAACACAGTTTTCAGTGACAACCAGACTTTAGTAAATCCTCCATTTTGATTTATAACCGTCAACCACATATCTTCAATATGTCCTATATTAGCATTCATGTCTGGTGTGTCAACTGGCAGTCGAATATTAAGCAAATAATAGTCATGGTGTAAGGAACCAAGTTCAAATAAAGGTATGGCTGAACAATTGTAAAGATATTCTTCAGTTTGAAGGTTCACATCGCAGTCTAAGTTACGTTTTTCGACCGATTGCGTGTATAGCTTCCATGCATCCTCCGGGTCACCTTTGTTTCTATACGCAAGGCGAGCGTCTATTGTTATAACGCTTCGAGGCTTTACTACCATCATGGAGTTGTACCGTATATCGGTTTGGAGGACGCCAATGAGGTTCTGTTGCCATCTAGAGTAGTCTAACGTCTCACCATTGCGAGGAGTCGGCATTTGAAAAGCAAAAACGATGTCCGTCTCCGACAAATCTTGATGCAAGTCTCTTAGGTCGATGACCTCGCATTTACCTTTGCCGCGATTGTAAAACCATTTCGTAGTGTCGTTTTTCATCGTCGTAGTGTCTTTACATACTGTTCCGAGGATTATCTGAGCGTTTGCTGGCACCGGAGCTACTAAACCGCCTATCAGAAAACATGCGATTTGACACAGAAACAGAAATGAAACTAGAACGGCAATTTTGCGCCCACTCAGGTTTTCAATAATAGTTCCAGTCATTTTGAATGAGTTTAGCACTGAACCCAAGGAGTTTAAAACACCAAAAATTAGAAAACACAGTGAAATACCATTGTCTTTATTTTACATTCCGAAGCGGGGTGGCCGCCGCGACGACGCGATAGAAGAATGACATGCGCATTAGATAGATGATGTTGCCAAATAAAAAATAATGTATTATAACGATAACGTCCTAACTGCGCTTGAAAAACTGTACAGATGCAAAGAAAAATCTTAACTTTTTAAGTACTCGGCACAACTTCATTGAAAATATCATTTTATAAATAATTCACAAAGAGACCACACAATTTAGTAAAACCTCATCCACTTCACTTCATCGTGAGTTGTCAACAATAGCTAGTTCAGCAACCGTACAGCTAAAGTAAGCGTATATGTCCACAAATAATTTTGATGTTGCTACTAATTTACTAATTCGTAATTCGCTTTGCCCAATCCAATTCCCATGAACTTCCTATAAATTTTTCTTTGTTATTTTATTGCGTTACATCCTTCAACCTCCTTTTACATAAGTAGTATCGTTAGTGCTACCGCTGCCTGACCCTACGAAGCCGGAACAGCATGAGGCTTGTTGTCCGCTCGGTAAAATAATACGTCTATTCAATCAAGCTGACCTAAATAGAGGTTTAAGCGTATCTGTAGCTCATACAAACAAAAGATGCCTTCATTTGACCTTTTTGTAGACGATAAAATAATTGCAATAACTTTACAATTTCCACATTTCATTAAAAGGCAATTGACGTTAATTCGACTTACAATGAGCTGAGCTACAAAATATTAACCTTGGGACAGTTCCGTTGAAATAGACTATACGGCCTGCTTATAGAATATTGCTATGTTCAAAATTATAAATTCAAATTAAGCTTTCCGGAATATTTAATTGAAAATGGTTCTGAAGCAGGTCCTTCTTCGGCTTTAGATATTAATTTTGCAATGTAGATGGTTAGTATTTTGGTTATTATTATGGAAATTTGACACTTTTGATGCTTTTGTAATTTCAATATAGCTTTTGTATAGTATACAAACTCATCAAACGTGTAGAAGCACTGTAGTTAGTAGATATGTATTATTTCTTACTATTTGTAATATATTTTACATCGATGGTAACGTGGCAAACCTTTACAAACTGCTTAGTATTCAATACTAAAAGCATGAATATTTATGGAATTTATTTGCATAAATATTTTTTATTTTATTTTGTAGTGACTACGTTTATAATACAAGAGCAAGTTATTTGTGTTCTGAATGACATGTAAATATAAGTTTACAACATTATCATCGCAATTCAATTTCTTTATCTGAAGATAATCTAGTTCACTGATGTCATTCATAAAATTTGTGGAGTTCAGGTTGAAAATAGATGATTTAAATATGTTTTACTTAGCATAGTAACTTGCTTTTGCATTATGCAGATTGCATATTATTTGGTGAAAGAATAAACTAATGGTAATTTAATTCCTATTCCTAACTGCACACTATACAAATCCCTAATTTTGATTTTGCGTTTGATGTTTACGTTTGATATGTTCTGATTTTTGTTTATTATTTTTTCTTTTTCCTCAATGCACGCTGTCCTCTTTTTAACACTTTGGTGTTATTATTTTTGCCCCATCCTTTTGTTACCAATCGGTTTATTTTGCCCCTTGCCCGTTTCCTTTCCCGTTTGTCATCCCACGCACCGGACGCCGCCCGCATGCAGCCAAAGGACGCACCAACATCGAACTGCGAGAACAATTCATATTGGCCGATGGAGTGTCACAGAGCATGGCTGCGTTCAGACCACGTACGCCCCGCTCAAACACAAATACACCCCCATCCACCGGACCCATCACCAAGGTAAGAAGCTAACTGGGTACTTTATTATTATTATAACTTGTATTCTTCTTTCCTACAGGTTATTTAGAACTTAGTTTTATTTCGCACAAGTACTACATAAAGCGCACAGTAGTTGTTGGAGGGAGCAACGGTTTGGGATCATTTTTCTGCTTTTATTGTTGCATGCACCATGTACATGGATCTTGATATCCATTTGCAAGGTGCATCGTCGTGAGTGCAGCATGCGTTGAGCTCGTAGAGTTTGGTCTTGTTGCATTAGTGTGTTCAAGCTATGCATTGAAAGCACAGGCTCGTGTAGTGTTTTGGTGTTATTTGTTAGTACTTCTTGGACCCACTGAATTGGAGAGGTGGCACGTCTGCGCATTGGATGTTATGGTAAAGTATTTTTGTTCATCCTTCCCGTTAGATCCTTTCATACCCGCATCTCGCAAAATTTCGCGCGTGTTTCTACTAAGCGTGTGGACTAATCGTAACTCGAAATCGTAAAACGCGTTCCGGATGATCGATTGGCACTATGAAGGAATAAACGTGTTTATTTCTGACGGATAAGTTCCCTTTCCTCCTTACTCAGTCTCCCGATTTTGTATTGATGCGTTTAGCTGAGGAGTTTATGGAGCAGCTGAGGCCGATATTTGAGGCTTTGAGGCAGCGGGAGGAGCTCCCGTGCTCATACCCGCTTCACGTCGGCTCAACGCATGGCACCAAACAGGCCTTCATATACGGCCACTCCAGATCTCAGGGCTCGACGACACCGGGTGCCCATCACTATACGCATCACCATGGATACCAGCCTTCTCCAGGATATCATTGGGTAATGCTAACAGGCTATGTGAAAATGCCGCCATAGTTTGCACCGTTGATCTCTACCATTCGATTGCAGCTGTATCTTCTGTTTATTTTGTCAAATGTGAACGTCATTGTCTATGTTGTAGAACAATTTGTCGAGTCCACTATTTTAGTTCAGCATGTTCTTGAATAATATTTTTGGGAAAACTGAGTATACTAACGGAATTTATATATGCTCTGCGTCGAGATCATGCCAATGTCTATCTTTTATGAGTAATAGAGTTTTACCCACTTAATTAAAGAATACGGTAACTAACAAAAAAAAATCATATTTGTATGGTATGGTGCAACGGGCTGGTGTCTACAACTCGACGTCTGGGCGCCTATTTTGCGTGTATCATCATTACTTCATTCATAATAATTAATTGCATAGTCACATGATGTGACTTAGTATTATTCTATTCAAATCTTTTAACATCTTATTGTGTTTTATCCCCAAGCTATATTTTAAACAATCTCAAATTAAAATGTATGAATATAGGTTAGAGAACGTACAGCACGATCAGTACCGATGTCTAGTGGAGCTGGTCGCGCTTCGAGGTCTTCTCTCAGCGCCGGTACCCCTGACTCGCTGAGTGATAACGAAGCTGCCAGTGGATTGGGAGCTAGATATAAGAAGCCTAGTGTACCAAGGTTCGTTACAAACTGTGCAAAATTGATAGCGTAAATTATGTCATATATATTTCATATACTGCCTCTGTGGCCGAACGGTTACCATGCCGGACTGCCACGCAGAGGTCCCAGGTTCGATTCCCGGGCCGGGAGAAATGTTTGTATGGCCTACAATTATTTCTCTCGTGAGTTTGGGTGTAATTTGTGGTTGTCTATATGTGTGTACATGGCACCCGCGACACAGGGTTTACCTAGTGCGGGGCTATGTTGAGTGTGCGCGTTATTTATTATTATTAGTATTATTATTATTATATATATTTTGTATGATTAGTGTCTGTACAAATTTTTAAATATTTGTTATTAGGTCAACTTTAACACCCGGAGGATCGCGACCTGGCTCCAGAACCGGATCAAAGCCACCGTCCAGACATGGATCAAACTTGTCTTTGGATAGTACAGGTAAATGTCCATTTTGTCTCACTTTGACTCAGTTATGTATGAAGTTCTTTAACCTGACATCATAAAATGTATTAAAACAAATATTTCAACCTAATTAAAATATTAGCATTCCATGCTGACTACTTATTACACAATATGAGTACAAACTTATTTATCCTCTAACAATTAATATTTGACACAGATGACGTAGGAACCCCTTCACGTATTCCAATGCGCAAAGTGACGAATACGCGGGCATCAATCGCTCGCGCTGCGGCCACTGCTAGTAAGCTTGGTGTAGCCACGCCCAATGGCGGCTCTCGTCCTCGCACGCCTACCGGATTCTCAACGCCTGCTAGCGGAAGGTAGGTTTTCCATTGTGAGACTGTTGATGGTTACGAAAACGTATCGACATGAAATTAAGGAAAAAAATTCATATGAAGTTTCTATTTCAACGATTTCTTTTCATTGCTCCACATCGACCTAGAACTTGATTACTGGACGAGGACTCCTAGAAAATGTATAAAACATCTCAAAAAAACGGAGTGCATTTTTAGATTTCATATAGTAGAAATGATATTTTTATTATTTTGTGTCAAGTCATAATTACAAACAGTAACCATGACCATTAGAACGACTACAAATCAGATTTTTGTAAGATTGAATGATTTATCTCAGATGAAATACGTACGTGGTATTTTCAATGAACATAATAATTCAAAATGTAAATTTTCTTGAAACCTTTTTCAATTTGATATTTCCAAATTACTGTGTAATTAAAACCAGCCACTGGCACACGGACAGGTACCACGGAGCGATGTATCGCACGTCCAGTATACCGACACTGACACCGGTGCCGGCGCTAGTGAGGTACACATAACGAGCTCGTGTGGTTTTTTTTTTGTTTTGGGGTTTCCAAAATGCTGAAATTTGTCATTATATTATAATTAAATATCGTAGTAGATTTTTTCTTGGTGTTAATGGTGTTACGAAAAATGCTGAGAAGAAAGGTTAATACAAGATATATTGTGTCAATGATTTCGACAAATATCAGCTGAAGGATTTTGAAATGGACACTGTTCAGAAAGCACGCCAGCTTTAGGGGATGTAGAATAATGCAAACTAAGATCAGCATCTTGAAATTGGGAGTACACGTAAACGCCACACGTGATTTGCCATTATTGAAGTGATTGTACGTTGGTCTTTTCACGGTGGTGGGACTTATTCGTTATTTAAGGACATCGATGGCATTGATATGAAAATTAACCGTTTAGGCAGCATGATAAAATAGTAGACAGAAAATACTAAACACAGCTTAAGTTCGAGCACAGAGTGAGTTTAACTAACCCAATATTTAGAATTAAATTCTGGGCGAAGATAAAATAATTGTATTTTTTCTTTTCGCATGCATCGAACACGGATACAAAATAGCTCTACACATTCCCAGCCGTCTTCGATGGCATCTGAACATCCTAAATCCATGTCCCTTACTCATCCTGCATTCCAGACCCAAGGTTCGACGAAGATTCCAGTTTACATTCGGAATCGTTCTCAAAGAACACCTTCCGTTGAAAGAAAGAAGTCGAAAATACCACATTCCATAGATACTTCCCAAAATCCAAGTCCAACTTCCCAGTATCCTTCGAGAAAATCTGAGCAGAGAAGTCCTGAAGATGATTCTTCGCTATTCAGTATATCTGGAATGACGAGCGACAATGAATATGAGAGTAATATTAGCGAGTCGAGTGGTGAATCCTCGAAGCCAACACAGCGAGCTGTTAAAGGGTACTAGCTTGTAGAATGCTGGCTTTGTGTTTGGCCCAACATTGCGATGCTCGTTGAATTTTGAATTTTATTGTTAAACATTCTCCTCTCACTTCATCAAGTTTACGTGTAATATCTAGAATAGTTGTCATTTTCCCAGCATCATTCACTGAATTGTGTCATTCTACCAATAGGTCTTCGTAAATCGCCCTCATAACATTTATTATTTTGTGCACAGCTACTAACCTTGCTTGAAGCATTTTTGTAACTAATAATCACTCACTGCTTAGCGTTATCATTAAATTGAAATTTTTTTTAAAACGAGTACAAAATAGTGTACTAAAATTTGGTCTATAATTAAGTAGTATTAGATCTTTCAACAATAATAACTTGTGAATCATTGCTCATAAAAGCTTCTCATACATCTACATTTTAATTAACTCTATTATTATTTTATGGAATCGAAATAATTCATAACGTGAAGTAATCCACAACAATTGTGTTGTTTAACATGTCATCAGCTGACTTGAACATCGACATCTTAAAGTTTTTTCTTATTTATTGCCTGTTACCACATCCATATTCCACTTTTATTCCGTGTTAACATCTCTTTGTATATATCATGAACACTGCGCTGTATTGTTTTTCTTTTTTTTTCTGTTTTTCTTTTGTTAATGCACGTGCACTAACTGTAAAGATTTAAAGCACATAGTAATAACGCACAAAATTACGTACTTGCTTAATCACCATAAACGTATACTATAGTTTTTTAATACTTCTCAAAAGTTTTTGCTACGTTCACGTAACGTGATTGTATAGTAAGAACATGTATAGTAAGAACACGTGCAATAACAAATATTATTAATGTATTTTCTGCCCTATCTAATATAACTGTCTGTCTGTCTGTCTGTGTGCTCGCTAACAACATAAGGAGCGGGTCATTTGCCTCCACCGAAGGCCAAACGCCCGGCCGGAGCCGCATCCCTGTTCTTAAGGATCACCATACTAACAATAGTGCCAATAGGTAATGTCATTGCTGAAGCCCACTTTGTCTTTATTGCTTCATGATAAATTGTATATATTGTTTATGCTCTATGCTATATTTATGTGGCTACAACAACGAAATTTAGACCGTTGTAACTTGATGCTGGCATCTCTTTATCCAATTTATTGTATTTGCTCGAAGAAATTCAGCTCGTGTCTGTTCTTTCGGCGTCTCGTAACCAAAGTGTATAATTTTTCTTGTTAAATATAGCCGTAGTTATGTAGTTCATCAACATAATTATAATATGTAATTTTAGATTCTGGTAGTAATTATGACATATTGGAAAGGGTCACGTAGTTTTAGATATCACACAAATAAGTGTAGAGGGTTATTTAGGTTGTAATCTTTTCATATGTACTTTGTAGTGCTTGTTGCATGTAATATGCATCTTGTGTAGGGAGAACAGTTTATTAATTTCTTTTATCTATACCAGGCAAAGGACACCATCAGGTAGTACGACCCCGGTGCGTCCAGGACAACAAACAGCAGTTTCGAGGCTGCGTAAAACGTCAGATGCTTCCGACAGTGGCACGCCAACTACACCAGGGTCACGACGTGGTACACCCTCATCGACAAAATCTACAGAGATAAAACGCGAACCATTCCGACTTTAGACATTAAATATGCCAGTCCTGATTAGTTAATTTTCTACAATTTAGAAAAAATAGACTAATTATTATTTCACAAATACGAATTCGTAGAATCTTGACTTTCAGGACCATGATTATGTTATGCAATTCGTTTTGATACTCGAAAAATACAAATACTAAACTTTTGCGAATTTATAATCGCTTCGGCCAAATTAACGTGATACTCCAGATGTATGTCACCTTTTTAAACTATCGAAATTATTTTGCGTCAAAACGATTTGCAACATAGCAAGCGCTGATATATTGTAAAATTACTAACAGACATAATTAACCAATTCGCGAACTAAGCCAAGCTTAAAAAAATGAATTTGCGAATGTGGCTTTTTAGTTAAGTGGAAACAATAGATGATAGTAGTAAAACTTGAAGTCTGCACTTGTTGCCTTGTATTCTTATTTGTTTTTTACGATCCGTGCAGTTTTGTGCACGTTGGGCTATTTTTGTTTATTTTTCGTGCTAACAGTATTTCTCGTTCCGTTCAGTCCGCTTGAGCGGATTCCATACCGACAATTTTGTGTATTGATTTGTATATTTTCCATTTTATTTATTGTCAACGTTGCCATAATTGTTAATGAATGTTTTGTATGTTAAATACGTATTGGAGTCTCTCTACAGAGGCCAAGAGAAAGTGTGATTTGTAACCTTTTTCGTATTTTTTTTCCTTTAGGGACCATTTTGTTACGTACTATCGAGAATAGGTGATTGCGTGCCACATTTTTTCTATCTAACATTTCTCTTTTGTAGTGACGCCAGACTACTTGAGTTGATATCAGAATAGAAAGTTGTCTCATGTAATCGGTTAAGGTGATAATAGAATTATGTATGAGTATTTTTTTGTAATGCACAATTATAAACCTTTTTCTTTTTGGGTTCTTTTTTATTTTCATGTAAAGTTGGTTGGAATAAATTTGAAAATCAACCTACACTTTACATTAAATTGTACATTTTTCTATGTATGTGATTTATATGAAATGTTGTTTGCACAACTTCTTGTTAATTGTGTTGAAATCACAAATTGGATGGTAATTATCAGAAAAGTCTTCATGACTATCGCCAGAGTCTTGAAACGTTATTTTGATTATACGCCCACAAAATTGCTAAAAATTCTACAATACCCATAGTGGATAATTTATTATTTTTAAGACATTTAACTAAAGTACACTTTGTCGCAAAAGACATTTACTTAATAAAAAGCTAAGAATACTTTTGTTAAAGAGATAAAAAACGCTTTATAATGTAACCTTCCTTCATTTAAAACGATGTTAACCAACACTCACACTTATCTGTTAATTTTTATTATAAAATCTGACTCTACGATTAAGTCTTTATTGTTAGAAATATAAAACTATTAATCTGGTCATTTTTATTTAAATCATTGTTGTATTTGTAATAAATGTAAAATCGAAGCAAATATACTAAAAAAGCTTGCAATATTTTGTATAAAGAAATGATCCTGAAGAGCTGCAGTTTTTAAAATCTCATTATTGATTTCAAGATATAAAATAAAGAATAACAAATATTACTCAAGTATTTTATTTGATAAAGCCACCCTTATTTATATTGACACCGCAGATTTATTCAAAGTGAAGCGAGTGGAACGAGGAAAGCTTTCTTAGCGTTCACTCAAATAGCACAATTTCCGGACACATACTCAATCATTCTTTGATCATACAATGGTATGTTGTATCTATCACATGTATGATACAATTGATGAACAATAGACATATATAACATGTCATAGATACAACTTTTGAATAGTACCAATTAGTTTATGATTATTTCAGTACAAAGAAGTTAACTTCATGGCAAGATTTCATAAGAACTTATAAAAACTTAATGTGAATATGAAAACTTGACGTTCGCGACGTTCGCCATAATTTTTATTTACTAATTTTACAAACTTGACGCGGGCGAAATCCTAAAGAGGACAGCGCCAATAAGCAAAAGAGAATTAAAATAAGTAGTTTTGAAAATATCGTTGTTTTCGTATTTAATAATATTGATTTTGACTGTACTATGTGTTATTGTACTCGCTATTGCGCTATAACGAGTTATTATTCTTTATAGGGCAACACTATGTATCAATTGTCAAAACAAAGCGAATGACGGTGAATTAGATGTATAAAGATAAAAATAAATATTAAAAAAAGTGTAATTTCACACAAAAATGGTTGGATTAAACGCTGATGGGCCTGCCCGTGATAAGGTTTTAAAATTGATGGAAGAAAAAGATCGTATAGAGAGCGCCATTCGGGAACAAACTGTAGTCCTTGAGAGTAACAATATTGGGATGCAGGAGTCCCTGGTTGATGAACAAGGATTCCCGCGCAATGATATTGATGTGTATAAGGTGCGGCATGCTCGACATCTGATTATTTGTAAGTTCAAATTGGAAAACAAAAATTTCTTTTGTTACGATTGAGGTTGTGTTTGGGAATGATTCAGCCAATTTGCTTACTGATGCTACTTTTTTCTGTATTTAACCTGCAATCTGTGCTTTCCATTAAAAGCAAATGTGTTCGAGATTCAAAATTAACGCTTAAATATTTCAAAACTTTTAAAGTATTTAATGAATTATGCGTTTAGCGAATTTATAAAAGTTGTATACTCGAGCTCGATACCCAACGGTTAAAACTGCAGGCGCTGTATGAGAAGATCCCGGGTTTTATTCCCAGTATGACCATTTTGGATATGAAATTTTTCCAATTTTATTGTTGTCTGGATGGTGCCCGAGAGAGAGCTCCATTGCTCCAGTACTCAGAGTACAGGGAATTTCCTAGTTTAAGACAAGGTAGTTGGTGTGTTTGTCTGGCACAATTATTTAAATTATTCTTCTTATTATATTGATGGCATACAGAATAATGCTGGCCATCGTGGGGAAAGGATTTGTCAATCGGTATTTGCTGATTGTCACCCAGGGTCTAAGAAAGTACAAGAAAGAAATGGTACATCGTGCAGGGTAGCTCCTTTCATGCACCCCTTATTATTTATACTTGTGTTTTAACAGTTTAAAAAAAGTTAAATTGAATGGTAGATTTTTGGGTTCTTACTGTTAGTTTATCAACACATTTACTTTGACTTAAAGTCTCCTTGAAACAGGTTTTGGGATTGGAGAGACTTCTGACATAGACACTGATAGACATTGCACCTTTAGCAAATTTTTTTTTATAATATCAAGTGAGGGGTTGAACAAGTTGTGCACCTGATGGTAAGCTACACACCTGTCCATAAGAGTTGTAGTGCCACTCAGAGCTTTAAAGCACAAAGATCTGAGGGGCACTGCCACTGTGCCTGTTACCCTGAGACATAAGTTGACAAGTCCCATGTGCCTGTAATTTCACCAGCGTAAGGGTACCCTTCAAAACCAGAACACAGTAATGCTGACATTGCTGCTTTGCGGCAAACATAGGTTAACTGCCTCCATGGCCGAACGGTTACCATGCTGAACTGCTACGCAAGAGGTCCCGGGTTCGATTTCCCTGCTGGGAGAAATATTTGTATGGCCTAAATTTATTTATCTCGTGAGATTGGGTGTAATTTGTGGTTGTCTATGTATATGTCCATGGCACTCGCGATACAGGGTTTCCCTAGTGCGGGGCTACAAGTGTGTTCGCGTTGTAGGTGGCAGTACTACCCTAGACAAACTCTTTCACAAGGAGCTCTACTGCTACTAAATGCACACACAAAAGTGTATTGTGTGATATGAAGTGATGGTGGCACTATCTGTGCTAAGACTGCTGTAGTGGACTTGCAAGAGAAGCGCAATCCTTGGCAGTACCAAACTGGTGCATGAATATGTGCAGTACAGTGAATGTGTCCAATGATATGGTATGTTGTAGCAGGCTGGTATCCGCAATTCGACATTGTAGTGTCTGTTTTACATAAATAGGAGCTTGTGCCACCCGAGATGCTCCTGGAATTTTCATATGTTACATAAATCCATTCATGAGACTAGATGAAATTAGAATCAAAATTTATTGGATATCAGTTTTAGTTGCAAAGCTCCTCAATTATGAGTGATAATAGAATCTGTCACAAAGCAACAGTCACATATTTATAATCTCAAACCTGCATTCAGGTCTCCAAAATGATCACAAAGCAATAATGAAACGCATCGAACAAGGCCTGGCCGAAGTGCATTCACAACTACTTCCGAACCAGGCTCCTGTCACCACAGCAGCACCATCATTTACCAACGGTCATATGTCCAATGGTGATGGAGCTCATAATGATAATGCTTTAAGCTACGGGGAGAACGACCAAGGCTTTGCTATGATTACTTTTGTTCATAATGGATCACCTGCAGATTTGGCGGTAAGAATATATCATATTATTTTATACAGTTTTATCTTTATATGACAGCTGCCGTCAGATTCGAAAGTGCTAAAATTAACTTCAGGATCTATGGAATTAGACACTAGTTTTTATTTCAGAATTAAAACAAAAACGCCTTAGCCCCATAACCGCTTGTGTCCCACCGGGGTCTTACCTAAGAAAGGGGTTCAAGTTATAGTTGTATAGCTTTCTTCAATATGTAAATTTCATTGCAATATTTCCTTGCACCGTAAAGGGGTATTAGGAAATTACTTGAAGAGGTTTAAACTTACACAATTATCACACATTATTTGTTTTTAAATTTGGGCCCTAATTGTGTATAAAACATATTTTATTTACCTCCACGTGTCAGACGTATTGCAAGTTGCAACGTCTATGGTCAAAGGGACTCATAAATATAATATGTTTTTGTATAGGATTAAGTCCCAAATTTAAAATCAAATAATATAGGCAGAGGATTTGATATTGACTCACAATGATAATTGGGATTTGAACTTTGGCCTTGTGCAAGAACTTCACAGCTCTTCTATAGTTATTTGATGAAACTCAGTATTATTTACAAAAAAACTTTTTTACAGGGTCTCTGTGAACAAGATGAAATCCTTCAATTTGGCTCAGTCAACACTCACAATTTCAATGAAATTACACAAGTCCACGATATAGTCGCTCACTCGATTGGACAAAACATCAGAGTGCTTGTTCGTAGAAACCAACACATACTAAATCTCACCGTTTCCCCTCGACCTTGGGCGCAACCAGGTTTACTTGGCTGTCAAATAGTCAGAAAACAGTAATTGCCAATACTACACTGTTAGGCCCGGCGCCCATTGGCGGGACAAAAATGTTTGAACTTTCTAATTACCGTATCCATGGCTACGGTAATTAGATCTAATTATAGTTTCCATGAAATATTTGTTTCTTAATAACTCGAAAACTACTTCGAATATTCTAATGCCATTTAGACATATTGATAGTTAAGCTTAAAGTTGTTCATATTTGAATGTTATTGGGTATATTAGGCGAGAAAAAATAATGACTACGGTAATTAGGCTGAGGACACCGAAATGGCTACGGGAATTAGGCCGAAAAAACCGAATGTGAGAATGGCCACTAACCATAAAACATAATTATGTCCTTCAAATTTAATTTCCTCTAAAAAAAATGTCCTCTCTGAAATATTTTCAGAAAATTATTCAACAGTATAGCTTAACGTAGCTTTGTTTTCGTAGCTACGATCATTGTCATCGAAATTTGGTATTCAGTATTTTTTTATTAGCAGTCATGTAAAGCACATTATAAAATTTACAATGCATGTACCCTATAAGGGTGTAGCTAAAAATTAAACAGGAAATAAACGAAGTAATAAACAAAAATAAAAATTTTAAATTACACAACAAAATTATTAAATTGTTTTAAATAATAAAATATCTTAATAAATCAAACTCTCAATAAAACAATGAACTTGTATACTAATTATAATTACTAACGACGAATTAATTGGATATTATATCTCTTGAGGACCTTAGGAGGGACCTCAATTTATTAGAAAAGACTTCCATTTTTCTCAAGTGTTATATAGCATGGGATCTTGTTATATATAACTAATGACCTGTTACTGCTATTTTTAAATATGGTAAGTTTAGGTGGGGGGAGTATCAATTTATGTTGCCTACGTTCACTTCTGACATGTTCAAAAAGGTGTTATATTCTTTCTTACAAATATTGCTATTTCAAAAAAGCACGGAAAGGTAAATTCCAACTATAAAATCATATCAATCAACATTAAGGTATTAAAGAAGTAATATTGTCCAGTAATAAATAAGTAGAATTGGTCCAGTCAGTGAGCGCTAGGTCTTATAGCTCTTAAATTTCCATAAGTTATTATTTTAAGGTATAAATTATCAGTTTTTTGTTTACTGGTAATAAACAATTTTGTATATAAATTGTATATTTTATTATAATTATTGTTAATATCACTTAAAATTCACTGTTACCGTGTGAGGCCAGACGAGCGTAATTTTGTGAGTAATGAGTCGCGTAGTTTGAGTTGCGTAGTTTGCGCTGCATTCGGTTTCATACGAAAGTACGGTGTGTTTCACACGACGACGCAAAATGAGTTAGTTGTCTGCCGACTCACGGGCGTAATGACGACTGACTTTCGGTCGCATCGTGCGATGGGCTGCCGCGGGTGGATATAGGGACGAGGGAAGGGGTCACTTTGGTATAGAATGCGCGTGAGTATAAAACGTTTCTTGCGAAAATGTTTGTTACAGAGAATAATAATGATAATAATTCTTGAAAAACATTATTGATCTGGATGTTCACATAAACTTGTATGAAACTACCCACACTTTAATCGTTTCATATTGAGTGGATGTACCCAGCTTGTTTTTCTTTTTCTAACATCGTCTTCTAATTCTTCATAAACGCATACTATTTTTAATGTGCCCATTACACTATTACGACGCAAACACCCCGTATATACGCTTAAAAGCAACTGAATAAAATACGTTCGTCTGGCGCTCCAACCGAATTTCGGTCGAGCGCAAACTGCGCAACTCAAAAAACAGGTCACAAAATTACGCTCGTCTGGCCTCACTCTAAAAATTTTTTTTTTTTGGTTCTAGATATAGCGGTTTGTTGTGTAATTTTTTTTATTTAAAGGTATTTTTGTTGCGTAAAAGTTATAAAACTCAAAATAAATACTTATTGTTAATATTATAAAGATTAACTTAGAAATAAATATGATGATTTATAACCATAGCCTTTGTTTTTCTTTCTTTTTTCTTTTTTTCTAGTCCCTCTTGAATATCGTTACACATTGTAATATCGCCGCCATCTTGGTTTTCTACGTCGTTTTCATTGTCTTCGTCGTCCATGTGCTTCATAGTGCAATCGAAGTAAAGTTTGTCGTCGACTAAACGGTAGTCTGGCTTTGCGATCGTGCCACGAACGCAGTCGTGGTAATGGCACACGATTTTTTCTTGCTCGTAAGTTTCGCATGAACCTGAAATGAAGACGAAAATTAAAATGAAGTAAATTGTGAAAAAAGAGTGTCGGCCTGTCTTTTCGGCCGAGTGTCGAGCAGTCAACAACCCCCTGAGGATGCCTCGTGGAGAGGCGAAACACGTGTCGGGTATATTTTTGGTGATGGTTTGTGACTATAGTTGCGCTTGTGTTATTTATTTTATTAATTTTATGCGGAGATAGGGTGGGATAATTAACTGCATGAAAAAATATTCAACACAAGCGCAGCTATTTTGCACGATTTAACCTTCACTGGGTTCGCGGAGTAGCAAATTAATTTGCTTCCACTTTGATTAACATGGACTTCCGCAAAGTAACGCCTGAATCTATTAATTACTCGAAGGTGAAAACATTATTTTCATTAATTATTTAGCATTTAAAACCAAATAAAAATCAGACGTTAATTTATTTTAGGTGACAAATACATTGAAAGTAAGTTAAAAATTAACTGTTATGCTCAGGCCATACAGAAGATGTCGCGGAAGCGTTCCGGGCGCGGGAATTTATGTAATGTACGAGTTCATATGAACCCTGCCACACAGTAACGCGCGACCGCGCGTCAAAAATTCCGCGCCCGGACCGCTTCTGTGTGGCCAGAGTATTACTACAAGCTACATAATTAAATAGCATTTTCTTGAACAAAACGTTACATTAATTTTTCAAGTTTTTATTGAATGTCAGTCATGAATATCATTGTAGTAAAACCGATGTTTTACTACAATGATATTCATGAATTTTACTACAATTAATTATTTTTTGTGAAATTGCTCCACTAGTTTGTTATTGCAATTATTGTCCATAATATGTATAACATTTGTATAACCATGTCCATGACAAAGATCGAACAGTTGAGAAAAAAATATTTCGATCCAGCCGGATTCGAACCGACGTCTTCTAGCAAACCGTGCCAGACGCTATTACTAACTAAGCCACGGAACGAACTATTGTTCTATGTGCTTGTTGCAGATTTTTGTTTTTTTTAACGATTTTTTATGCCGTAGCGTGAGAAATTTATTTATTCACTCACAGAGGTCCTTTACGGCTACCGTCCCTGACTTGAGATGTCGCTATAATCATTGTAGTTTTTCAGTTCGTATTCAATGTCAGGATATTTTACTATCATGATGCTAAATTATTTTATTTGCAAAATTCGACAAGTCCCATGTGCCTGTAATTTCATCAGCACCCTCGCCCTTCCAAACCGGAACGCAGTAATGCTCACATTACTGCTTGGCGGCAGAAATCAGGTAACTGTGCTACCCTGGACGAAAACGCAGCTAAGTGACAAATGGTGAAATATTCGTTTTAGCAAAAGATAGAGCACGAAATTCTCTTAAAAACAGTGTGTTCAACTTATCGGAGCGTACTCTAACGATGCATAGCTGAAATATCATTAAACAATGTCTAAAACCGGGTTACGGTTTTTTATGATAACTCAAAAAGTATTTTGTCACTTAACCACGTTTTAAATAGCAGACGGCAGATTACACTATGTAACAAATTTTCCAAAAGGCTCTGTTTCTGGTTTCACAGTCTTGTAGAGGCGACACGCCTATCCGTAACAGTTGCAGTGCCACTGAGAGCTTTAAATCGCAAAGATCTTGGGGGCACTGCCCGTCACCTTGAGACATAAGTTCACGCATCTCATATGCCAGTAATTTCACCAGCACCCTTACCCTAACGATGTATAGCTGAAATAGCATTAAACAATTCATTTATTTATTAGATGTACAAAACAGTTTACATTCACTCCTTAAGAGGGAGCAGAGGAAAAATTCCTAATCTTCGATTTTAGAGGGGTATATCCACTTTAAAGTTAAAAATAAAATATTGTATGAGTAACTACACGATATATTCAAGCATAGACATTAATCAGAAACATAAAACAATAAAGTTTCCTCGATAGATAAAAATCACGAAATGACCTCTAATTTTCACATTTTTTCGATTTATCCTCGAAATGCTACAAGTTATTAGGAAAAAAATTAGATAATTAATTATATTTATGGATGATCGACAACTGTCACTACGGATTTTTTTTAATCCCTTTAGTTTTAGAGTTATTCCGCTAAAACGAATTTGGTACTTTTAATGCGCAAAATTCAACATCTCCTGTCGCATGTCACGCGAACTTCAGGCATATATTTGTATCACAAATTTGGGCGGAGCCAACGTCAAAACTTTTTTGGCATGCTCCCTCTTAACAAAAACTTAAACATTACTACTAGTTCTACTCTAGAATGTAAACCTAAACATGTACATACAGCATGACCAATCATGAGTAAACAATTTTAAAATATAATTTGTTTGTAAATTAATATAAAATACTTAGGCATAATAAAACTGTAACCTTAAATTAAATAGAATTACTATGAATAGAACTATGAAAGAGAGGGACCGTGGTGCTTGTGGTCTCGATTGCGAGGTCTTTTAACATTACTATTAAATGTATCCACCTCTAAATCATCGCGGTCTATAACTCGGAACTAATCATCAGGTAATAAGGTCATTGTAGGCCCGACACATTCTCGTCAAAGGGTTGCAAAAAGAAGTATTATTAGTATAAACATTCAACACGAATGGTCTAGGAAGTCGTCGGGGATTGCACTTGATGTTAAAATTAATATGGGACAGAATTTCAATATTCTAAAACTGGGTTACTGTTTTTATGATATCTCAAAAAAACTATTTTGTGTACGGCAGATTACTGTTTGGCGGCAGAAATAGGTAGGGTAGGCAGTAGGTACTTCCTTGGACGAGCCCTTTTACAAGGAGCTCACAGCTACTAGAACTACAAGTACCTACATGGAATCAGGTGCACGACTCATTCGTCCTAACACTTAATATCATCATCTTATCCTAATGAGTATGATGCAAAATGCAAAGCTAAAATAATTGGACTGTTTCTTTTTAACCGATTTCAAAAAAGGAGGAGGTTCTCAATTCGACTGTATGTTCTTTTTTTTTCTTTTTTTTTGTATGTATGTTACGCGATAACTCCGGTATTTGTGAATCGATTTTCATGATTCTTTTTTTGTTGGAAAGGGGGTACTTCCATAGTGGTCCCATTTCATTTTGAAGAAAATCATCCACCTCGAAGGGTGGCTGTTCACGCATGAAGATTCATTTTTATAAATAGCGCCTAACTTTAATTTAGGAGCAATTACTTTAATGGTTGATTTTGCTATTTCTCCAATTCAAAGCGTTTTTTTCTCAATATACTTTGTGTAGTGTCGTAGTGCGAACCTATTTTTATTATCTCCAGTGTCAAGTCCTGTATAGTGGCGTACTAGGGGATATTTCAATAAAACTTAGCAAATAAACGTAATTCCACGTACTTTTGAGGTCGGTTTGTTTAGTACTCTGTACTGAGATTATTTAAATAACAAAAATAATGTTTGCACATTTTGCCACTGAATGATCAGACAGAGCAGACAGGAGAGGCGAGCCTATAAAACAAAAGAAGCAATTAGAATTTTGAAATATTTGCTCTAAACAAAATACTGTAGTACTGCCATACTTCCCTGGACGAACTTTTTCCACAAGGAGCTCTTCTGCTCTAGATGTGCAGAGGTCTTTTTGACAACGTAGTCGCTAGTAGAACGGATTCAAATCCGAGTGACCGGTGGCATGCTGACGGTTACAAAATCTTAATCGATCCAGTCGTGGAATCACTACAGACGTATTATTAGACCTATCTTCTATAGATTTGCATAGTGCTGGGGGAAATCTTTATAGATACCCCTGAGCCCAGGGAGACTCAGGGGTTATGTGGGGACTCTCCCTCCAGACTGGAGGGCCTACTCCAGTAAAACCCCCCCGGGTTTACCTCCCGCCGATTGAGTCGGCGCCGTGGGGTCGGTGCACATTCACCACGACGCCGCCCGGCCGCCCTGGCTTGCGCAAGGGCTCCCGCGGGAGGGGCAGTTCAGTTGTCCTCCGTCCCGCCCCCCAGACGAGTGAGGCTGTGCAATGCAGGCTCCGGAGTCCCTGCCCAGAGCCCTCTCACAAGGGGATCAGACGAGCAGCGATCTGCCTTCGCCTTCTCCCCGTACGTCTGCGTCTGCGCGAGGACGCGGCGGACGCGCACCCGCTCCGCAGCCTCCTTTTGCGACATAACCTCTTCGCAAAAGGAGGCCACCGCCTCCCAGGACTCGTCGCTACCGAGCATGGCGGCAATCACGCCCGGCAGCGAGAGGTCCCGCCCTATTGTCCCCGTCAGAGTACGGCGCTGCTCATGCCACCGGCTGCACACCTCTAGGATGTGCTGTGCGGTGTCATCCGCAGCGCCGCACTCGTGGCACGACGGGGACGGTTCCCCCCTCGCCACCTGGTGCAGATAGTGGCCGAAGCAGCCGTGTCCGGTCAGCACCTGCACAAGGTGGTACGACGCGCGCCCAAACCTGCCTATTTACTACTTATACGTGTCAGAAAATGTGCACTGGCCTAAAATCCTATTCGATGCTCTCTCCCGCCGTCCGTAGATTCTCGCTGGCCCAAACAAAAATCGGTTATAACATTTCTATGTTACAAACCTGGTCTTTGGACTCTAACAGTGAGCACCGCTCGTTCTGGCGCCATGTTTTTGAAGTACACGAGGTAGCAGGCTAGCATTGTTCCTGTGCGTCCGCGCCCGTGTCGGCAGTGGACGCCCAGTACCTGAAACATTCCAGTCAAGTATGCATATCAATGGATTTATAAAACTAATAATATACTTCTACTACGTCGTACTAATATAGTGACGGTGAAAAATAAAAATTATTAACTCATATGAAATGAAACTATGTTTTCTGATCTGAGGTCTAGGTGCTCTCGTTCTCCGCCCGAAACAATTACAGTCAAATAATAAACTCAATACAGAGTACCTACTAAAAAACCCTACCTCAAAACTTCGTGGAATCACATCTATTTGCCAAGTTTTATTGAAATCGGTTACCGGAAAGTGCACAAAACCGGATCCTATTTCGCCACTATAAGGGACTTAACACAGGAGATAATAAAAATCGGTTCTCACTGCTAAAAGTAATAGGGGTTAAAGTATGAAATTGCCGATTTGTACTGAAAATCTAAATTGTTTATTTTTTAAATTTTGAACAAATTTATTTAATCAAAATAGTTGCCATTATTATCTATACATTGCTGCCATCTAATGGGAAGGTTATTAATGCCTTTGCGATAGAACTCCGACGATCTAGACTGCACAAACTGTGTGAAAGCATTTTGTACTGCCTCCTGGGAAGAAAACTTCTTGTCACGTAGATAATTGTCCAAATCACGAAAAAAATGGTAGTCCGTTGGAGCAAGGTCTGGTGAATACGGAGGATGACGAATGGTTTCTAACTGCAGTTCCTGAAGGGTCAAAATGGTTTCTCGTGCTGTGTGAGGTCTCGCGTTGTCGTGGAGCAATAATGGTGAAGATCGATTCATGAGTCGGGGCTGTTTTACTGCTAGTTTTGTCAACATGGTTCGGAGTTCGGCACAATAGACATCTGCCGTTATTGCTTGACCAGATCGGAGAAAACTATAGTGAATAACACCATGCTGAGACCACCAAACAGTTACCATTACCTTTTTATTGGTAAGTTTTGCTTTAGGACTCTGTTGTGGCATTTGACCTGGGGTCAGCCATTGCATTTTTCTTTTCCGGTTATCATAAAGAATCCACTTTTCATCACATGTTACAATTCGATCCAATATTCCTTCATTTCTGTACCGGTTCAACAAGGCAACACAAGTTTCAACACGCGTTTCTTTCTGCAGATCAGTCAAATCATGAGGCACCCATTTTTCGTATTTTTTTATTTTATTGATTTGACGCAAGTGAGTCAATATTGTGGGTAAGGTAACGTTAAACCATGCCGCTAATTCCTGGGTAGTTTGACTAGGATCGGCTTCCACTATCTCTCTTAATTCATCGTTATTCACCTGTGTGGGCGGTCTTCCTCGTGACTCGTTCTTTAAGTCGAAATTTCCATCACGAAAGCGTTTAAACCAAAATCGCACGGTGCGTTCATTAGTAGACCCCTCTCCAAACGCAGCATTGATATTGCGGGCTGTTTCTGCCGCGTTAGTTCCGCGTCGGAACTCGTATTCAAAAATCACTCGAATTTTCGCAGTATCCATCTTTCTTGTCTAAATTGAATAACAAAAACAATTGAAAGTCGATATTCAAATGTTTCAAATTTAAAAAAAAAAATCACAGAAACCATTTGAAAAAAGTTTCATTCGAAAACCTCAAACCGTGAAGATTCTATGAAAATTCAAAGAACCTATTGCAATAAAACGGCAATTTCATACTTTAACCCCTAATATTAAAGTAATATTACTCTTTTTTATTTAAGAGCAGATAAATGTAAATAACATTACGTACTTAAACATCATACTACGATAAGACTATTCGGAACATCAAAAAAGAAAGAGATGGCAATATATAGTTAACATAGAGTTATCTCTTTCCTAATTTTAGTAAGGAATAGACAATATTGGGAAATCATTCGTTCTTTCAATCACTTTTGCAATCATTAGATATGGGTAATATAGCTTTTTCCTAATATCGTATCGAAACTATATCGATATTCGAAATCGGATTTCTGACACAACTTTTTGTTGGACATTCCAAATAAATATAGGTCTGAATATCCGGCTCGAAGGACCAAAGCATTAATTAAAAAAGAAAACAAAAGACTATTAAAGTAAATTTTTAATATAGTTTTATCACGTACAACAAAAATAATCATCACAGTCATATCATCAGTTCCATTTTTACATCATAATCATGCTACATGAATATTTTATCCTTTGTAGTCACCCATAGCCATCGAGTATGCAACCAGAAATTGAGACGAAATAAGGGCTTTCCATCCCTGGCATGGGCCTTATGTCACTTTGAAATATCAACTCTCGTTTGCGCTGAAATCACAAATTTAAAAGCTGAATAGTACAGGGCCAACAACTGACCTGTGTGTACGTCTCCACATATTCCAAAAATATTCTGTATTTATTGTAATAAAGATAATATCTCTAACAATGGGGGGCTGTTCCTTCAGTGGTGTGGGAAAAACAGCAAAACATGTAATTACAAAACAAACGGAATCACATTTCATCGGTAATTAAATATTAAATATGTAGTTTTTCAATTTTCGTCCATTATAGCAAAGCTCAAGTTATACGGGTCGATTTGAAGTGAAACAATTGACGACACCCGTCAATTGTTTCAAATTCGGGCTGGCCTATCGGAGCGCAGTTCACTTTAATGGCAGAATAGTTTTCAAACAAATGAAATGACATTTCGTCTCTATTTTTGGTTATATACCTACTCAATGCCCATAGCCCAGCGGTAATGCAATTAACTTTGAAATTTATAGAGCCTTAAAAAGCAATTCCGTTAACTTGCTAAAGCGCTCTGATTGGCTGTAATTATTTTCGAAACTTGATCCAATTGGTCTGTAAGTACCTCAAGTTTATCAAACGTTAAACGTTTTTCTAAAATCATTGACTTACAATTATATGGACGTCGGGTCCGCGCTAAAAAGTGTCCGCACTTGTAAGGCGCTAAAATCGTATACAGAGCGCTACCTCCGCTTTAGTCTTCATTTGTTCGACTGACAGCGCGATACTGCGATGACATTACAATTTAAATTTCGAATAGGTTGACTTGGGACATTTTTTTCGTGGTTTTTGTGTTAGACCAGTCGTCCATTTATTTGTAAGTCAATGTCTAAAATGAAATATTATTGTCAAGCAAATGAACCAATCAGATTGTTAGTCAGTGGCACCTGATTAGTTACTCTTTTAACATTGACATGAAAAAAGTACCGCTCATTGGCCAACGCGATATTGTAAATAAACTTATTTTTTGATCTAATGCTGATCATATTAAATATTCAACCTATAATGTAGCCTTATCATAAATCTTAACCTATTAACACCTTTGTTTCTGTAATTTGTTTTATGATTTTAAGTACTTAACGAACTAAAGTGATTTTGTTTCAGAAATGTAGTACACTAGAGTCCGTTTTTCGTGGCTTCTCCAGCCTGTTCAATGAATTCGTCCATTACAGAACTGCTGACTCCGAACTTGAGAGGATTGTCTTCAGTCAGGTGCTCAAAGTATCTTCCTATAGCCTCTTCATGTTCAGGGGAATTGCAAGAACCTGAGAATTTAGAGAAAATTACTTCCTTTTTCTTGCTTTCTAAATCTAAAATAAATGTGACGTTCAATATGAAATGCCAAACAATATTTCGTAATCCATCGCTGTTTCTCATCTGTTTCTATTTTTTTTTATTATATTAAGTGACGGGAGGAACAAGCCGTGATCCTGATGGTAAGCTACACGCCTGTCCATAACAGTTGGAGTGCCACTCAGAGCTTTTAATCGCAAAGATCTGAGGGGCACTGCCACTGCGCCCGTCACCCTGAGACATAAGTTGTCAAGTCCCATGTGCCTGTAATTTCATCAGCACCCTTACCCTTTAAAACCGGAACACAGTAAAAGTAACATTGCTGCTTGGCGGCAGAAATAGGTAAGGTGGCAGTACTACCCTAGATGAACTCTTTCACATGGAGCTCTATGTAGGTATCTCTAAATATCTATTTCTAGAATTCATTCAGAGCTTTCTAAAATAATTAAACTTATAGTGGTTGAATTGAATGTATTAGTAAAATCATGGCAGTAGGTATCCAAAAACGGAGTATTTGCTAAATCATCCCCTTTGACACGAATAAATGTATACCTAACTTATGATTTTGACGAAAAAATTATTTATATAGCTCGAATAACATTTTGTGATCTATATATTTCATTTACTTTCGAACAATTCTTAGTCGAGTCTCGTTTGTGTTTTAATTGATGAAATATTAACTCGCTTGGCGAGCACGCAAGCTCGTTAACGGTCACATTAAAGTCTAAACTGCAAGAAAACATATCTGTTAAACTGGACGGTTACTCGTTTTATATCTTCTGCGTAGATAACTACTACAATATTATATATTAATGACTGAAAATCGTATACGACAAACTACCTGGTCTGATCATCTGTATGACGTTGATGGCTTGGTCTGGCAGGAATCTGTGGAAGTGGACGAGGTAGCAGGCCAATAGTACGCCTGACCGGCTGCGACCTTGTCGACAGTGGATCCCAATTACCTGGACAATTAAGAATGTTTGTTCCATCTGACTGTTTCAACTCTGTTCGTAAAATTTCCGAAATAAGTACAATTGTACCCGAGTCTGAGCCGAATCAAAGTCAAAGTCAAAGTCAAATAAAAATAATCATTTATTCCACAGTTAAAATTTTTACACTTGAAAACGTCATTTTTTGAGCTACTGCTCTTTCACTACGCTAACCTCCCTGAGAAGTACAAGCAAAAAACTCTAGGGATTGCTCTTTTCAAATAAACTTAAATGCTATGGAATACACTTTGAATCATAATTGTATGGAATCTACACTCATGTTGTCTTTCCATACATCTTTATCTTTATATACTCTTCAATTTTTATACTTTTCAATTAAAATACTTTTAATGTAAGTTTTAAACTTAGGAAAAAATAATCTTAATATATTCTCCGGAATGTTATTGTAAAAACGTATACAGTTCCCCATAAAAAAGTCGTTTACCTTGGTTAAACGAAATGGTGGTATTATGAGTTTAGACATAGTTCCAAGGTTAATATTATGAATATCTTCTTTCTTAACGAAATTATGTATATCAACGGTAAAAGGACGGACGGTTTGTTTTTGTTTTCTGTGTGACGCAACCTGTCTAAATATTTTTGCCGCGTCGCACTTAAGGCAAACGTCGCGGTTGGTGGGTTCCACGGCTGAAAATGCCGCGAAACTAAATCATGCTAAATATTCTGCCTTGGAGCCGATGTACGACTTGGTGCCGGTCGCGAGGGGTTCGGAAGCTCGGAACTCATTTAAAGGTTGGCTCAGCAAGTGTCCATTGCCGTCCAACGAGGCAGGCGAGTATAATGGGACTTTTGAGCTGGCCACAATACAGGGTGGGGTTTTTTAGGTTAGTTTGAGTTTTTTAGGTTAGAAAATCTCTTGCAAATCCGATTTTTTTGTATTTTAGTACCTATCAATGAACTCCAGAGCTGATCTTTAACTAGAAATATGTTATATTATATGATTAAATTTGTTTTCGGGATTTTCAATAAGTAAATATTATACTTAAAAAAAATTGTAAACATAGAAACGCATAACATACAATCCCTACGACATAGATGTCCCCAAAATATTGGTAGTGATCGCCTTTTGTTTGGCTGTGCTAATTGGACAAGGTTTTTCGACTGAATCAATTAATTCAATGGGCTTATTGCTCGACAATAAAATTTGAAATCGTCTGTAAACACGAAGGCGCAATTGACTACCTTGACCGTATTCAGAAATTATCACGAATTGTCATTTTACTGGAAAAATATTTGTAAAGTAGTATGTTTTTTTGATTTCCGTGTTTCTTTGATTTGTTGATTATTTTATTCACCTGACCTCACGTTGGATTTTAACAACGCGACGTTATGAAGCAACTTTAGGCACTAATATCCACTTGCAATGCAAAAGACACTCTTAATACATTGTGTTAACGAGTGTCTTATCAATTTAAGCATTGGTTTAAGACATACTTAAGTTTAGTGCAAGTGGACATAAGAGTCGTATTCTAGAACTCTATTCAATGCTCAAGTCAGGATTTGAGTATGGTTTAAAGCACTCGAAATCATACTTAAGTCCCTGCCATTAGGGTCGTATCTCCAGTGCTTGAAATCATACTCAGATCCTGACTTGAGCATTGAGTAGAGTTCTGGAATACGACCCTAAGACTGGCATAGCACTTTTTTATCAAAAAATCATATAGTGATTCTATTAATCCTAAGGCAAGGACGACAATTTTCGCTTGTGACTTTGCTTGAAAATATTTAATACTTAATTAAGTAAATAATATATAAATGCATTCATTTACCTCTTCATTTTTGTCCGCCCTTTTGCAAATATCAATGAACTTCTTAATTTGCTCCAACGTCGGTAGTTCAAATTCTTCAATCGGCACTTCTGACCATCTCAGTCTAGGCATATCATCCATTGGTGGTTTTTTCCCCGCTGTGAGTGTTACCAGATGTGTTATCCCCTGGTTCACTAAGAACTGTAAATTCTCTTTATTTCTTGGAAACGCCATCGCAGCTAACTTTTTCGGAATTACCCAAGAAAATTTTAATGGAGGATAAGCGTCCACTTCGATTTCTGGAAAGGGATTTTCTGGTATTATCACAGTAAGGTCGTTGCGAATTTCTTTTTTGGCTCCAGCAAGATTTTTGTCATCTTGTTCGGTGATGTCTTCCATTCTGGTAAAAACTTGATATTCTTCATCCATGTCTTCGGCGTTGTTGTCCGAATTCACTGTCACAGAAAATTAAAAAGTTAACTTTCGAAATTTGAAATTATTGCCAGAGAGTTTGTATTTGTTTTAATTTGTACGGACACTGGCACTGGCACTTTTCACAGTGACACCGTTTTTCGCTCTTGACCATTTGCTGGGAGATCTGTATGTTGACTGATCCGAACTAAAGGTGGGAAAAGTTGGCACAGTGCTCTAGTTACTGGAGTAAGATTTATTTCTGGAGATACGAACCTTGACCACATTAACATTTGCCATTGCCAGTGCTACACGCTATTGAACTTTCGATCTTATTATTTGACATTACAAGACTTTCTACATTGTGCTAATGTGTCTATAAAAGCGTTGTGTGATTTACGCCCATGCTTTCCTATATAAAAAACTTTCCACGGATAATAAATGATTACCGGATGGGTTTTCATTCTTGTCTACTTGATGACGTTATGAGCTACTATGACGTAGGTAGCCATGTTTAGGAAGTATCTAATTTGCGAAATGATGTAAGACACGTTTTGTTTACAACCAGTTTACACAGGGTGAAAAAAAATAAGTAAATAGAGACAACTGTACATGACAGAGATAGTAACCTTCTTTCTAAATATACATGACAGTGATAATAAACAACTTTCCTTACAAAACCTAATGAACTAGAGATATTATTAACTGCATGAAAAATATTTTTAGAAAACCGACGTAGGGCCTACAGAACATGTTATTTATGTAAATATAACTTAATACAAGACTGAAACTCTTTTTATTCGAAAGTGAATTCTATAATTGAATGAAAATTGTTTCGGAGAATTTGTAATGTTTTGTAATTATAATTTTTTTTATTATTCCAAGTAACGGGATGAACAAATGGTGGTAACTGGTAAGTGGTAAGCGACACGCCTGAAAGGGTTGTAACCCTAACAAGCCGTGACCAGGTTCACGGCAGTAAAACAGAAAACTTCCGGTCCACAAATTTATTAAAAGTCGGGTTAAGAAGAAATGGTTATATACCTTAAATAAACAGGTACATTAATATAAAACACTCCTTAACTTGATGGATATAAAGAGTAATTTAAGTAGACACTTACCCCTGAAAGTGCCGAGTTATACTGAATTACAGATACGTATTCATAGGTACATGATAAGGCTGTAGACTGTGACACACTTATTAGAATTGACACATGATTTAGATTATAATTTAGTAAAATAATCAAAATTAAGACGCGATTGAATTTAAACTACTCCGTCCGCTGATCGAGCAGGGAGTGGCGATGGAATGAAACAAAATCAGAATGTGAGGCAAAAGAATGGAACAATTCAAAATTTAAATTTAAATACGAGTGGCCAGGAACCGGAGAAAGGCGATAAAAAGGTGGGATGACGATGCAAGGAGATCACACCGTCACACGCCTGTCCATAACACTCGCCACTCAGAGCTTCAAGTGTAAAGGGTATTGCTACTGCGTCCGTCACCCTGAGACATAAGTTGACAAGTCACATGTGCCAGAAATTTCACCAGCACCCTTACCCTTCAAAACAGGAACGCGGTAATGATCACACACATTAGGTAAGATGGCAGTACTTCCCTGGACAAACTTTTACACAAAGAGCTCTGCTGTTACTAAATATCTTTATATATTGAGACTCGTTAATTTTTGTTATACATCATCATCATCATCATCATCAGCCATACGACGCCCACTGCTGGGCATAGGCCTCCCCCAACGATCTCCACGACGATCGGTCCTGCGCTGCCCGCATCCATCGGCTTCCCGCGACCTCCACCAGATCGTCGGTCCACCTGGTGGGGGGCCTACCCACTGAGCGTCGTCCGGTGCGCGGTGGCCATTGAAGAACCTTTCCGCCCCAACGGCCATCGGTTCTCCTAGCTATGTGCCCCGCCCACTGCCACTTCAGCTGAGCAATTCTTCGAGCTATATCGGTTACCTTAGTTCTCCTACGGATTTCCTCATTTCTGATTCTATCACGCAGGGAAATACCGAGCATCGCTCTCTCCATTGCCCGCTGAGTGACCTTGAGCCTTCTTATGAGGCCCATAGTGAGGGACCACGTTTCTGATCCATATGTGATCACTGGCAACACACACTGGTCAAAGACTTTCGTCTTGAGACATTGAGGTAATTTGGACGCAAAGATTTTTTGGAGTTTCCCGAACGCTGCCCATCCGAGCTGGATTCGACGAGAGATCTCTTTCTCAAAGTTGGACTTACCTGACTGGACTGTCTGCCCCAGGTATACGTAATGGTCAACAACTTCGAGTGTAATGCTCCCAATTTTAACTTTTTTGTTATACAGTTTTGTTTTATTAACTATTATATTTCGTTTACATTGTACTTTTTTCAACCTGTATTTTGAAGGATTTATTAGACTGTTAAAACGTAATGCGTTGCACATTATTTTGGCAGTTTAATGTTATTTACGATAATCAAATTATTATTAGCTCTTTCGTGTTTTATATGTTATATGTTGAGCACATGCTTTGTCGTGTTTTCTCAACAGCGTCAAATTGTGTGCTACAGAATTTGACGCTGTTAAACCTCACTTCTAGACGTGATTTGTTTCATCTAATTCATACTATTTTTATGACTTTCATAATGCTTGTTATAATTTTTAATACAAAGATCGCACATTTAGAAAAAAATCCATCGATCCGGCCGGATTCGAACCGAAGTCTTTTAGCAAGCCGTGCCAGACGCTATGCCAACTAAGCCACGAAACGAACCAGCGGACCTCACGAATTTTTGTATGCGCTTGTTGTCGGAACTTTGTTTTTGGTTTTCAAAGACTTTTATGCCTTTTTATATATTATTTTCATAATAATAAAAATGGAAGTAAATCAATTTGCTACTCCGCGAACCTAGTGATGGTTAAATTGTGCAAATAGCCAGTTTTAGAATATTGAGATTGTTTAATGATATTTCAGCTATGCATCGCTAGGATAAGTTCCGATGAGTCTAACACGTTAGCTAATTTTAACTGCTTGTAAAAGAGAATCCGTCTTTTGCTATTTAAAGCGGATATTTTGACATATAAGCGGATATATGTCATCTGTTATATGTCACTTAGTAATTTGAATTTAACCAAATTCTTATTAGTAATAAAATAAATCACCAGACTTACAATCAACAGAAGCCATTGTTCCCGTTACAATATCGATCACAACAAACACAACTGTCGAAATCGCACGTAACACTGAGTGCACTTTGTTTCTCTCTTATGGCATCCCAGTATTTGGCACCGGTGTCAATAATTAATTTATGTGATAGGTCATGTGATTGATTATTAAATGGTCTAGTTAATTTTTACTTTTAAGCGTTTGACTGACTGTTGTCGAGTTACGACGGTTTTGAACGCGTAACGATATTCGAAATTTATTTGCAGTAGAGCTCCTTGTAAAAGAGTTCGTCCGGGAAGTATTGCCACCTTACCTATTTCTACCGCCAAGCAGTAAATTGAGCACAACTTATGTCTCAGAGTGACGGGCGCAGTGGCAGTGCACCTTAGATCTATGCAATTTTGAGCTCTGAGTGTCACTGCAACTGTTATGGATAGGCGTGTCGCTTATCACCAGGCGCACTACTTGCTCGTCCCGTCACTTGGTATTATAACAAAAAAAAAAACAAAAAATTAAGTAGTGAAGATATAAGAAAGAAGTAACCGAATAAACTTATATTAAATATCATGTTTCACTATCCTGATATCCAAATATTTTTTTTGAAATTACTAATTCATGATAATAGTAAAACATTGTGATATTCAATAAACTTAATATTACAATTATTAAAACGACATCTCTGGTCAGCCCTGGTAGCTGTAAAGATGAAAGGGTTGTAACCATAACGAGTCGTGACCAGGTTCACGGCAATAAAATAAGAAAACTTCAGGTCCATGGATATTTATTTCAAGTTGATGGTTGTAGCCGCCAGACCCAAAATAGTTGACGATCAGGAGCTCGACGACTCGTAAAATCAAAGACGATTGTAGTTGACTGTGTTATATTTTAAATAGGTGACTGGTTAATTACAGGAGTAGTGCCGTTAGATCGATACAGTGATAGTTTCCGAAGGGGTACAGTTTTAAAAGTGAACGGTCCTTTTTACCTTTTTAGTTGCGTACAAAATTCGTTACAAATGTGGTAGGGATGAAAAATACATATGTGGTGTTACTCGATTGGTTCAAAATAGGCCTACGTAATGTGCCCTGACGAGCAGCGTTTTGTTACTGCTTTGGAAATTAAGTTAAAATTACAAAAATTGTTGCGTTCGCAACAATGGTAAAGAGAAAAAAGAGGCTGTAACAAAAAAAGATATATAAAAACAGGTATAAGACTACAAAACACTTCGTAACTTCATACATTTATGTTATATTACATACATTTATTACATACGGTTATGCTTATGGATGAATATAAAGTAGACATTTACCCTAAAAGGGCCGTAGACTGAATTACAGATTGGTATTAACATAGAAACGTGATTAGCAGTAGCGATTATAAAGTGTTGTCAAAATTGACATATGATTGGAATAGTAGCTATTACAAATCTGAGCAGGAAGCGAGAGAAAAGAGGAATGGGTGGAATATCATGTGATGTAAGAATGGAGTGTTCTAGATTTTCTACACGTGTCGGAAGGAGATCGGGTGTAACTAAATTGTTAAGTTCCTGCGTATAAGTTTTTCTTGTGAATGACCATTGCCCAATTTATTTATAAATTTCATTAATTGAAAAAAGAAAATGACAGTGCCAAGAAAGTAACCGATCGGGAATTGTTACTTTTTAGACATTGACATTTCAATTTTCCGTTCAAGAAAGCTAATTAACGCTCGGTATCGTTTTCAGCGCGTGACTGATTTTTTGCCAAATTCCGGTATGCGATTTCCTGTATCACAAAAAGTGTATTTGGGGATCGGTTTTGCACAAGACACATTACGCGTAAACCTTGAACGCACCGTCACCGTTGCGAATTTTTGGTCTCAGTATTCAATCTTTATATTAACAATAATTATAATTTTCTTTTGTCGTTTAGTAAACTTTCGTTTGTTAGTGAAATAAAAAAAAAAACTGAATTATTACTCATTACGTCAGCTTCGCATCAATGTTTTCAATACCAATAAAATCGCGATGCCGACGTAATCCTACATTATTCTTGGATTACGGTTAGCAAGATCCGATTTTTAATCATTTTACAAACGAGCTCGTTCATATAAAAACGAGTAGGCAATAAATCAATCACCTCTCCATCGTCGTAGCAAAACGTCAATGTCAAAGAAGTATCTGTTACAAGATCACGCCGCGCCGTCTCGGTGGCTTCGGGTATAATTAGATTAACGAGCGCTTGCGCACGATCTACACAAGTATGTCATGTTTATAAGGGGACATTATCATAGCGTGGACTAAGAACCTGTGCACACGGCGTATATAGAGATAGTTTTAATTTCAGTTTTGTTTGTCAATTTTTTAAATGAAGCAAGTACATGAAATTCTATATAAGCTTCTTGCTTGCAACGTGATGTTTTCTCGCTTTTGAATCTATTCACTGCAGCGCGTATACGCGCAGATGACGCGCTTTTACGACACGTATAAAATATGCCATGTGCAAAGGCTCTAAGGGCCTATGCACACGGCGTATTTTTTGCGTGCAGACGACGCGCAGAGGACTCGCTGATGACGCGCGTTAACGCGTTTTGTACGAGATTCAGAGTCGTATTCTAGAACTCTACTCAATGCTCAAGTTAGGATTTGAGTATGGTTTAAAGCACTTACTCAACACTCAAGTCCCTGCCATTAGGGTCGTATTTCCAGTGCTTGTGTTGCCAGTGCAATCCTGACTTGAGCATTGAATAGAGTTCTAGAATACGACCCTAAGAGTCGTACTCAAGTCCCTGCCATTAGGGTCGTATTTCCAGTGCAATCCTGGCTTGAGTATTGAGTAGAGTTGTAGAATACGACCCTTAGAATCGTATTCCAGAATTCTACTCAATGCTCAAGTCAGAACTTGAGTATGATTTAAAGCACTAGAAATCATACTCAAGTCCTTGCTATTAGGGTCGTATTTCCAGTGCTTGAAATCATACTCAAGTCCTGACTTGAGCATTGAGTAGAGTTCTGGAATACGACTCTCAGTCGTAGCCAGTAAACCTATGCACACGGTCACAAATTCATACGCACCGTAGATGCGCGTGTGTATATTGATAAAAGATAGATTTAACTTCAATTTCGTTTGTCAATTTCAGTAATTTTTTTAATGATGTAACTACATGAAATTCTAAGCGTAAACTTCAATGGAGTATATAAGCTTCTTGCTTGCAACGCGATGTTTGCGTGCTTTTTGAATCGATTCACTACAGCGCATATACGCACCGATGAGGCACGTTTATTGTGCTGTAATAATATGGCGCGGTGGCGTGAGCTCGCGCCCCTCCCCTGACCCATTTCCTCAGTCTTGCAACGCGATGTTTGATTCAAAGCAAACTCTCTTCCAAAGCGCGTTTGTATCGCGTTTGAATCGATACAAACGCCGTCTACGCGTATAAAATATGTCATGTGCATAATAGGCCCTTATTCTAACATTTGACGACCTCGGTGGCCTAACGGTTTTCACTGTGGGCGCTGGATATAGAGGTCCTACCGGAAATCGAACCCGGGCGATTCCCGGTAAGACCAATTTGGGTAGTGAACTTTCTAAATTGTTTTTTTTTGAACATGTGTGCTTGGTAATAAGCGACACGCCTGTCCCTAACGTTGCAGTGCCACTCAGAGCTCCTTGTGAGAATAGTGTCCTGGGAAGTGTTGCCACCATACCTACTTCTCCAGTCAAGCGGAAATGTGAGCATTACTGCAATCCGGTTTGAACGGTGCTTAAATTACAGGCACATAGGACTTATCAACTATGTTCTAGGGTGACGAGCACACCGGCAGTGCCTCTTAGATCTTGGCGATTTAAACTGGTATTGTCAGGCGTGTGGTTTACTTAGGTACAGGCGCAGGACTTGTTTGTTCCGCCACTTGGCATATTAAAAACTTGAGCGGTTAATATTCTTGTCTGGGTGCTCTACCTACCCTTGAGTTTGGTACTATAATCGTGACGCTTCACCTATGGATTGGTGAATTCCAGTTAAACTAGATTTTAACGACTGGTCGCCTTCGTTTGCCCGCTTTAGCGCCTAACATACCCATTGGTTATTGTAAGCATTGACTCGTTTGGAAAACTCGGTTACCCGACGCACCATCCACATGCATTTAAAAAAAACTACATTTTAAATAAGATAATATTTTATTACATACAACACAAGTGTATTTAGCTTACAGTGTAGTAAATATATAACGTATCACCTAAGCTATGTATGTATAATAGATCTGACTAACTTGGACCTTTATTTTAATTTATTAAGCCGTTAAAAAAACTTGAATTTCGGCTTGTAATTTTATATGCTTAACTAAGGGTTAAACCCCACTTGACAGCATGTCTTAGCACTGTGCCCATACTAAACGTGTGGGGCATGTTTAGTATGGCCGCGGGGTTAATGCATGCTGAGAAGTAAAAGTTAACCTTAAGGCAATATGTGATTCTTTTATTAAGTACATTTTTAGAATATTGAGTTAAACAAAAAAAAAATATTTAAATTAAAAATGGAATTCGAAAATACTGGAAACCAAAAATACCATGATTTGTCTATTTGTACATAACAATAATGTATATTATATACTTAACATAAAACATATTATACAAAAACACATAGAAAATACTTTCTGACAAAAATTCCGTATCCTGCAAATAATCTATATTTTTCTTACGTACATTTCTTTTTTATAAATAATACCTAAACATGGATATGTAAATATGGTCACCGTGAAGTGCTTGTGGAACATTACACGAGGCTGATTCAGAGTCAAAACGCACTCACCGAGGGCGTTTGACAGTTTATCCATACGAGGGACACGATGGGGGTTGAAACCTACTTGACTGCAGGCATACTATACCCCATACAAAATAATTTAGTATGGACGCAGTGCTAAAAGTATGCTAACAAATGAGATTCAACCCTTTCGCATCGAAGTCAACCATTGTGTTTCTTGTACACACGTTTATGCCTCAAGAGAAGCAGTGTAAAGTCTAACAAGGTACCTTCAAACAGTCCA